ATATGTTTCACAATCATTTATTAATTCTGGTTTTGTTGCATAAACTCTTCTTTAAATAGGATTGAACTAAACGCTATACAGCACACGTGGAAAACTTCACGTTCCACACGTGGAAGCCTTCGGGTTGTGTGGAAATCTGACATACGCGGTAATGAAAAATCATAGTTTCCTCACTAATACTGTAATATACTATTCTTTTTAGGACTTTCTAAACATTAAAAAAAAGTGACGTTTTACAAAATTGACATTTAATTTTGACAAATTGTTGTGAAGTTGGTTACAGTTGGTAACATTGAATTTGTGTCACTTTGACGTTTAAACTTTATTCCAAAATTTATTTAAAGAAATAAATTTATCGAACCAATTTCAATAGTCGTGGACAAAGTGTAGTATTCTACTCACATATAATGAGCTATTATTCACTGAGGTTAAGTTTATGTCACGAACGTAGCGAGTTGCTCGTATAATAATAGACTATTAATATAACTTCACACCAGTAAAAAAGCTTCGATTACTTTTTAAATGATAAATTTATAAATTATTTGAAGCAAAACCCATAAATCATTGTGTTTATGATTAATCATAATCAATTTAAATGGGTACGATTTCTTTAACACTATACATTATTTTGAAATAGGTAAGAAAACAACATCAAGAACGTGCAATAGACTTCTTGGTAAAAGAATTAAAAGTATGTTCCTCAAAAGAAGCCGAAGAACGAATATTTTTTATTTCCGCAAAAGAAGCTTTATTGGCACGAATCGCCGAGGCCGGAAACAGTTCGCCATCGGCAACGTTAGCGGATGGTTTCCAAACGCGTTACTTTGAATTTCAAGATTTCGAACGAAAATTTGAAGAGTGTATTTCAAAGTCAGCGGTAAAAACGAAATTTGAACAGCATTCTCAACGCGGAAAATATATCGCCGGTGAATTACGAGAAGCCCTCGACACCATTTATAACGACGCTCAACGATTACGCGAAGCAAAATTAGTCGAACGAAAAGAATTACACGATAAAATTAATTATACCGAACAACAATTGATGATAATAACGCAAGAGATGAAACAAAAAATTCATAATATGGTCGAAGATGTTGAACAAAGAGTTTCGAAAGCTTTAAACGAAGAAATAAGGAGGTTAAGTAATTTAGTTGACGAATTTAATTTACCGTTTCATCCGGAACCTTTAGTTTTAAATGTTTATAAAAAAGAATTACACACTCACGTGGAAACGGGGCTCGGTTCTAATTTAAGAGCTAGATTATCAACAGCTTTAGCTTTAAACATGGAAGCGAGTCAACGCGAAATGACGGATCGAATGCAAGTGTTGATTCCTCCAGAAACAAATTCAACCGGAATTATTATGCCAAGGAGACAACAACCATTCGAAATCCTTTACCGTTTAAATTGCGATAATTTATGCGCCGATTTCCATGAAGATTTAGAGTTTCGATTTTCTTGGGGTATCACAACTTTAATTCAACGTTACGCGGGAAGTAAAAAGGCTAATATTTTGGCTTTAAGAAACGATAAAAGGGAACATCCCCAAAATTCAATTATTCCAACAACTCCAATTGATACTGTTGATGGGAGAATATTATGTGGAAATGCAACTGCTGAGGATTGGTCAATTTTAAGTCGAATTGCCTTAGCTAGTGTTAGTTCTCAAGGAACAATGGGTGGTTTACTTGTAGCTGGATTTTTAATGAAAACCGTAGGTTGGAGGGTTATCATTGTAACCGGTGCTGTTTATTCATGTCTTTATTTATATGAAAGATTAACATGGACCAACAAAGCTAAAGAAAAATCGTTTAAAAAGCAATATGTTTCACATGCGACGAGAAAATTAAAAATGATTGTTGATTTAACATCAGCAAATTGTAGCCATCAAGTGCAACAAGAACTTAGCGGTACTTTTGCTAGGTTATGTCATCTTGTTGATGAAGCCACCAGTGATATGGATAATAAATTAAAAGAATTAGAAGGACAAGTTAATGGTTTGGATAAAGCGGCTAGTCGAGCTAAAGTTTTGAGAAATAAGGCGAATTATTTAACGCATGAATTGGAGTTGTTCGAAGATGCTTATTTAAAAGTTCATCATTGAAAATTGAAAATCGTAGAAAAAAATATATCTATTAGTATGTTTTACATTAATTTGTAAATATTGTTTTAAAGTAATCCATCAAAAAAATATTTTTTTAATAGAAATTTGACATTTATTAATTGTTTATATATTTAATTAAATATTAATTTTGTTAAAGAAATAATTCTTTGATGATTTACTTTTCAATTTTGAAACTTATTATTATATGATTGTTTTATTATCGCAATTAAAAACTTTTTACATATTAAAAATTATTCATTCAATCAAGTTTTTGTTCAGTTTGTTTTGAGTGAGTTTTTTTTTGTGATTTTCTTTTTGTAACTTAATTTAAAGAAATCTTAAAAGAATGGTAATCTAAATTGGATCAAAAAAGATTCGTATAAACTATCTTACATTAGTTATAAATTGTTAGTTGATGTATATATTAAGAATAAAATCAATAAACGTGTTGTTTTTAAAATCTATCATTTAATGCAACGAAAAAAAAAAACAAGATTTATTTGGAAATATATTTTATTATAAAAAAATTAATACTTCTTATGAATGAGTATTTCAATTTTCTCTTATTATCTAAAAATGAGCAAATTTTAAGCCGATTAGGACTTGTATTTTGTAGCAAAACTCCTTTTGATAATTAAAAGGTTTTGTACTTATCAATAAAAAATATGAAATAGAAAAATCTGTATATAACATTACAATAAAATATATAATGTGGTACTTAATGGAATGTAAATGTATAAATAGTTAATTTTCAATACAAGTACCACAAATCTGAGAAAAACACTCAATTTAAATTAATTGAATGTCCTTATCAACAATGTATAAACAAATTTTTAGTTTCTTCTCATCATATTCATTAAAAAAGTCGAAATGAACACATTTAAAAAAATATACAGGGTGCGTCAAATGTTTGGAACATAGTCAATAACTTCGCCATTTGTAGTTTAAAAAAAAATATTTCAAATAAAATATTCTTTATTGTGGCGCATCTTTTGGCGATATTTGCTTGTTTACATTGTTTTTTGTTTCGTTACTATGGTCTAAATTCTAAAAATGACGTATGCGTCATTTTTTTGACATTAAAGCTGTCAATTTCGTTATTTCGGCGCCTATTTTGATTGTAAGAAAACGCATTTTTTTCTCGATTTTTTTCTTACACAATCATATGATTTGATATGTTCATCACATAGAGGGATTCATCCTCTATCAAAGTATGCAAAAAAATATATGCATTCCATCTAAAATAACAATGGTGGTTTCCATAGCAACGAAACAAAAAACAATACAAACAAGCAAATATTGCCAAAAAATGCGCCACGATTAATAAAGAAACTTGTATTTGAAACATTTTTCTTTCAAACCACAAATGGCGAAGTTATTGGCTATATTTCAGACATTTGACACACCCTGTATATTCCATTCTTATCTATTTCTTGTGATGTTTATTTATAATAAATAATTTAAATTGCCGTTCGACTTGTCCCAATACTTCGCCCAGGTAAAGAATTACTTTTAGCTGGAACTTCTTTTGCATGAGAATGTGCCACAACAATACTCAAACATTGAACCCACTCCTCAGCGTTTTTTCCATCTTTTGGTTTAAGTATTAAAGTTTGATTACCGGTGAATATCTCAAAAGCTTTTGGAATGTTTCTCGCCCCTCTGGATACTTTTACAGATTGAATTTGATTCACATCTATACTTTCACCACCACTCTAAAATTAAGTCCATTTTAATTAATTTAAACAAAATTAATTTTTTTGTCCACGACTATTTTATAATATTATTTTCACAGAGTGAATAATAGCGGTGAATAATCATTATTCACGGATAATCAACTTGACAGGCTAATAATAATTATTTGATTCATCAAAATTTTAAAAAACGTCAATTTAATTTAATTTTTTAGGACTTTCTAAACGTTTGACATTAAAAAAACGTAAACTAATTCCTTTTTTCGTATGATTTAAGCATAAATTAATTAATTTTCCTAAAAAAAAAACATGACGTTTCATAAAATTGACATTTAATTTTGACAAATTGTTGTGAAGTTGGTTACGGTTGGTAACATTGAATTTGTGTCACAGTGACGTTTAAACTATTCAAAAATTTATTTAAAAAAATAAATTTATGGAATCAATTTCAATAGTAGTCATGGACAAAGCATAATATTCTATTCACATATAATGAGGTATTATTCACTCAGGTTAATTATGCCACTTGGTACGCTCGTGACATAAACTTAACCTTAGTGAATAATAGCCCTCCTCATCATAAATATGCTCATACTATTACTCACCGATCCTCTACAAGATAAATGAGCTCCCGATAAAGTAAAATATCTCGTTCTCCACCGTCTAAATAATCTCCACCTGCCTTTTTTCTCTTTTAATTGACCTTCAATGACGGGTTGGGTGTCACCGCGTAAAAATCCTACAGCCCGTTCAGGATGGGCACACAAAAAGCATCCCCAAATAAATGAATCCTCATCTAATTGATTTGAAGATCCGGCTACGTTTCCGGGACATACTTGAAATACATCGAAAAACCCAGCATGTCTTAATTCGTTTAATAAAGCATCTTGATCTTTTGTACAAGGAAAGGCACTCGTTACAACTGTTAAAAAAGTTTTATTTTCACATTTTAGCATATCCCAACAATGTTTTAAACTGGTTACACTTGGATCTCTCGAACTTAAAGCGTGAGGTGATTTAGCCTGTAACGCAATGAACATTAAATGTATCCATATCCGTGGATTTCTTGTACGCATATGAAACGATGTTCTTGAATATAAACAATGTTGTCCTCTCGCTTGACAAACAAAATGTAATTTAGCTGACTTTTTTTGGCGTTTTTCTTCAATCGTACATTTAACGGGTGGCGGGATTTTAACGGATACATTTTCCATGTAAGTTTTAATTTTTTCTAAATGTTTTTCGCAAAAATGTTGTATTGTATCTCTCATTGGGTATGGTTCGAAAACGCTCACCCTTTGCGAAGCAACGGGGTTTTGAGCATTTAATAATGTTACACTTGTATTATTCATTCTTCTTGATGTAACTGTAGTTGGCCCGGTTACATTTACATGTCCAATACTTCCCGTTACATTACCAATACCTTCCGAAACGTGATTTGATGATCCAACCGGAATTGTTTGGGTTTGATTAACAACATTTCCATTTCCACTTGTTAAAACGTTTACAGCACCTGATCCATTATAAACAGAGCTAACGGTAACTGAATTGCTTGTAACTAACGTTAAAGGTCCTTGACTATGTGGTCTTTGCATTCTTGGTTGAGATATTGTAGTAACTGTAACCCCATTTCCTCCTAAAACTCGCATATTTGGGATACCCCATTTATTCATTCCAGTAACGACAACATTATTCGATAATGGTGGAATTGGAACTGCTCCTCCAGGTGGGACAACAGCTGCATTAATTTGTTGTGATGAACTTAATCTCGTCATGCTATGTAATCCCCCAACTGATCCTCCCGCTATATTTAAACGGGTCATACTACGATGATTCGTTGTATTTGTTGCTGTGTGCAATCTTCCGGTACTCCTCGAGTCACCGAGTTTAGCTCTACGTGTGTAGCCACCACCGGAAGGTATTGCTGGTGGCTGATTTGTTTCTCCTACTCTTACAATCGTAACTTGACCGGAAGTTACTTGATTTTGAAGTAAAGGTGCAGGTGAAGAAACCGAAATGATCTGATTTATTTGATTTGAAGAACTATTATTGGTTTGATATTTTTTGTACTCAGCTAAAACGTCGGTGTACATTGAAAAGAGTGCCGGATGTAATGTACAAAGCAACGTTGCTCCGCGCATTAATGTCGCGTGATGTACCCTGTCGATTTTTGAAATGTTTTCCAACATGAATGAATAAGCTTCTTGGGCTCTTGTCTAATTTTGATAAAAATAAAATATTTAGTACAAAAAATGAGTTGTGTAATTTGGGTTGCCTACTCACTCGAATTGAATAGTTCAAATAAATTGAGGTTATGTATTTACAACGAATTATTTTTACCTTATTTAATTTTCCTACAGAGGCTATAACTTGCACAACCAAATGTAAAACTTGAGGAAATCTTGTTCCACATTGTTTCATTGCCCCTAAATGATCTGATAACATTGCGGGCTTTTTCTCGGACATATTCACGAAAATTTGAAGCGTACCGGATGCGGTTGATGATGTATTTAAGTACTCACATAATTGAGGAACACTGGCTTCTAATAACTATAAAGATAAAATTATTAATAATTTAAATCATTTGTCATTTAGGTACCGCAGGATTATCCTTTGCTATCATCGAAAACAAATCTAGAAGGGAAAGTTTTTCTTGATTATCACAATGTGGAAGTAATGTAACGAGAGCCATCGCATGACCTCTTAAGGGTTCCGGAGAAACTTCATAAATTTGAGCTAGAACTCTACATAAAGGATAATTTCCTACAAAACATTAATTATATTATTATCTTGTGTTTTAGATTTTTATTAAAACAAACCGGATATAATGGAATCCATAATTGGTTGAACATGAGGACTTAATAACGAGGCATGATCAATAGCTGCCAAAGAAATATATGATGCCATATTTCTCGATAATTCTTTATTTCCTTTATGAAGAAATTTCACCGCCACAGGTAAAGCTCTTTGCATTACCGATTTTTTGCTGTAATTCTACAACAATTTTAATTAAATTTCAAAGTTTTATTTAACCTTCGAGTGGGCGCGCTCGATTTTATAAAACGAGCGGGCGCGTGTCATAAATTTTATGACATCAGGTCAGTATTAATAAGTATTACGTTATTGACAAATAGGTTATAAAACCTTGTCGTCAAATAACTTTACATCCAGTATCCATGGCTGCTGATATATGATGGGCACGTTTCTCATGTTGGGTTGAATTTAATCGAATCAGCTATGGCTAATAATGTGGTCATACTTAAGCTTCCTCCCCATACGAGTCATATCTTACAGCCACTTGATGTAACAGTTTTTAGGGGACTGAAATCCAAGTAGGACTCCATTCTAATAGAATGGGCCAGAAATCATATTGGTCAAAAACTTTCGAAGAGCACATTTTCTGATCTTATAGGGAAAGCCTGGAGAACTATTAAAAGGGATACAATTGTGAAGGGTTTCAAAAAATGTGGAATTTACGATCCTGCAATCCCTGGAGTTAATAGCCAAGCTATTGATGAATCAACCTATCATCCCGAAAAATTGGAAAGGTACAAAAAATACTTGGAATCCTTTCTAAATGAATCAAATCAGAAAGCACCCATAGAAACTTCCACATCCCCGAGTTTAGCAAATTCCTCAACATGTATGACTCAAAACTTATTTATAATACATTTATATCCCTTCATACATCCCATAATATAAATACGGCTTTATAAATCAGCAATTAATGGTAAATTTGTTGTCTTTTATAACTTTTTTTGCCATAAAGACAACGTCAATATATTTTTTTTTCATCGTGTTCTAAATACATAGTTACATGAATACTTTAGCATTAAATCCTTCAAATGCATAATATAATGAGATATATTATAAAAACGACAATTGTCATAAATTTTATGGCAGTGCGCCCGCTCGAAGGTTAATTATAAGGTCCTTAAAATTATTCAATTCATAAAGGAATCTTCATTTCTCACAAATCAAAACGGTACTTTGATGAAACATAAAAATTTTAAACTATAACTAACGCTTAAAAAAGGGATAAAAATCATCATTGTTTGTTTCTAAAATCGTTAAGTGGCAAAAAAGGTAATAAATATAACCTCAAAATGGTTCAATTTAAGTATTTATTGTTTTTAATTTACATGTTAAATGAAGGAAATACAACAAAAATATAAATTAAACAAATCTGTACCATTTCGATGAGTAAGAAATGAAACTTTCCAATATAAATTCTTATCTTTATAGTGATTCAAATATACATTCGGATACTAAGATAAAAATCAAACAAAAATCAATTTATTATTTTGATTAATTTTTCCATTAACTCACCAAAAATAAACATGATATCACATCGCTAGAAATTTTTGCATGGGGTGGATCATCACCTCTAGGAGAAACTTGTAAATTGTGATGCAAACAAGATTCTAATAGTTTAACCAAGGCTTCGCAATGTTTTTCTACACTCCCAGTTTCCCTTACACAAGAGGTAACTCTCGTTACACATATTTCCACCACACTTTGATCGTTATCATTTTTTGCATAATCTGGTAAAGATGATATTTCGATTATTTCATTAATCTAAAAAGGATAATTAAAAAAAAAATAAGATATCTTATTATCAACATTAAACATTAATTGAATTGGATTAAATATTAAATTCAGTTGAAAGTTTGACAGTTAAATTGAACTTCATCTAAAACTAACCTCAAATTTAAAATAAATTTGAGGTTATATCCCTGTCAAAAGTGTCTAAATATACATCAAAAAGACGTTAATTTAAAACTTACCAAATCAGTAAGATCATTAACAATAACAGCGTCGGGTATGGAAAAAAGATCTCCGGCTCTAGATAAATCACGATTCTTAAGAACTTGAAAGAACAGGTCTTGCATTTTCTTGTATTTCGTCGATTCTTCTTCCGCATTCATCTTCACCGTTTTTATTTTTTTATTTAATAATAGTGATGAAACATTATGGTACGGGCCGGTGAAGTTGGTGGTGGTGGTGCATTTCGGGGAGCGGCCCCCATTCAAAAAGTAACGAGACCGATTTCAACAACTTTCACTATTCCACACCAAGAACTCCATACGACGACAACTGGTTCAATGAACTTGTCTACGCCGAATAAACACGCGTAATCGCGGAAAACGCACCGCGAGGTGCTCAACAGGTAGTTATTGGGGGGGCACTTGTACGCATGCGCTAAACAGGTATGTTGAATAATTCACGTAGTACGAATTTTTTGTAGTAGTTGAATTCGTTTATTAAACATTTTTAACATTCTTGAATCGAAATTAACCGTTGATTAGCATGTAAGGTATTGTTTTAAGCAATTCCGATAGTGTTTTTCATTATTGGAATTTAATTTGAGATTTCTATATGGATTTAGATTAGATTATCTTGGATATAGATTATTTTTGTTAAAAAAAAATGTTCAAATCTGAAATAATGCTACTAACTCTGGTTTCTTTAAAATAAATTATATTTTAATTATTATTTTGATTAAATTAATTTTTTGTATAAAAAAGTCGTAAAAAATTTTAATTAATTATCAGCTATTTGAATTGTTTAATTTTGGGTTTGTTCCAACATACTGTATTTGTAAATCTTTTAAAATATCCCAAAAAACTAAACATAAAGCTCCGTGGGGTGCTAATCTCATGTAATTCGCTGTGACGCCTTTGTAAAAACCTGCAATTCCTTCGGATTTGAATATTTTAATAAAACAATCGTTTATACCCTCGTATAGAAGTCCTTTTCCAGATGCGTCAACACCTAAAAAATTAAGTTGTTTAGACCGGATTTGTTAAATTTGATAGAATTTTTACCTTGATTATATAAACGCACTGAGACCAAATCAAATGGTTGCATCAATAAACATTGAAAAACACCACCAATAATACTTGAAACTAAAGAATTTAAAATGGAATAATCCCTAAATATTTTGTATTCAGCTAAATGTTCCTTTGCTTGAGCAAATGAAGCTAATTGAGCTGAAGAACCAGCTAAAGCTCGAATCATTGTTCCAGTACAGCCTCTCCACAAACCATTTATCTAAAAATTAAATCAATTTATATTATTCTTATTTAAATTTTAAAAAAATAAAAGTGACATCTGACAGTGACATAATGAATAATGAAGGTTCGATTGACATTTGCACCAAAAATGTAGGTTCGATTAACACTAATTTATTGTTTATGAAAAATTGATTTTCTTACCCCATGATTGTTGTAAATTTCTTTAAGTGCTCCAATTGCATTAGAATGGCCGTGTTGGAATCCTACAGCAATATTTTTAGCGGCTTGCGATTGTAATTGAGTTTTAATTAAAAATAAGGGGCTTCCGAAAAAAGCTCCGGCGGCGCCACAAAAAGCACTCGCAATAAAACTGTTAACGAAAATTGTTTTTCCGTTTTCGCGGTTGCTTAAATAACCGTTATTATTTAGCCACTGGTAGCCACCCAATCGAATCGTATTTCGAACACAATGCATTACCAGAGCCGGGCCCAATCCTTTTTGCAACCCAAGAACCCCGTCGTGTTTAACGACGACAACGGCCGCATGAAAAACATTTCTGTAATGTACCGCATGTTGTCCTTTTGCTTTTAATTCACCTTGAAGTTGCATGCGGGTTTTTAAAACGTCTAATGGATTACTGAAAACGCTTGCTCCAGCAGCTGCTACACCCCCAATTAGAAAATCCATCTTATATTCTAAAATAAAAATTAATTAGTAATTTGAAGATATTAATTCAAAAATTAAGGTTATGTTATAACATACATATTTGATTATTTTGAATGACTAACTTACATTAACGAACAGATTGAGACTTAAAGTTGCTTTAATTTTTATTAAACATGTATCGGAAATATATACGCAACATTTTCAGGCCGTAAAGTTCGCTGAAAACGCGCCACTACGTATTGCATCACAATGCATCAGATTTAAATGGTAAAAATAGCTTGAGAACGTCACGGTGGAAATGTTTATGAAATTTTTCAAATGAAACTAGCACAATAAATAAGCTTAATCAGGATTTATTTTTAATTAAATTAATTTTGGAAATGAAATATGTACTTACAAATGTTTCACGTTATTTTGCTAATTCCATTGATGCAATTTAAAAAGTGATTAGTGATTAAAATATAATATCAAATATCGATTTTTCCTTATCTGATATTCTTTGCACTTTGATGTAACCCATAAAAACTAAAAAAGTAATCGAATTACAACTATTTCGTTGATAAGAAATTTGAATTCCGAAAATTTTTGGTTAATCAGGGTGACCAATCGATTTTAACCTTCAAAAATTTCGTTTTAATTAAATTAATTTCGTGGTTGATGATTTTAATCTTATTATTATAAATTAATCTAAAATTATCTTTTTTAATTCATAGAATCACGAATTATTGATTAAATTTGAATTAATCATTTTTAATATTGATTTATTTACCAAAACCACCAACAGATGTAGCTATTTTAACAAATTCCCCAATTTGAAAGATCAGCTGATTATCTATTGTGACGTTTTACACATTAAATATAGGTTAAGTTAAATGTCTAGTCAGATTTAAAAAATTTTAATAGATAACTAGGTTATTACGTATCTTTTTTGATAACCTACTATAGATTTACAAATTTTCATTAATTTTAGTGGTAAGTCTAATAAAAATCAGATAATAACTCATTAATTTTTAATTTTAAGTCAAAACTAGTCAAAAATGGAATTTTTAATTGGTGGTTTAGCAGCAACCTCCTCTTGTATTTTCACACATCCTTTAGAAGTATTAAAAATTCGTCTTCAACTTCAAGGCGAGTTAAAATCGAAAGGGAAACACCCGATTGTTTATAAAAACAGTTTACATGCGGCTTATTTAATAGCGAAACACGAGGGGATGTTCGCGTTGCAAAAAGGATTGGTTACCGGACTTTGGGTTCAATTAATAATGAACGGATCTCGATTAGGTTGTAAGATAAACATCGTAAATAAAGTAAAAATTGTTTTATATTAAAGGTTTTTACGATTTTTGGTCTTCAAGAGGGTATGATACAAATAAGAAAACGGGTGAAAAGATGATTTATCGTAGTGTGTTTATCGCGGGAACCGGCGGTGTTATCGGCCATTACCTTTCAAATCCTTTTTATTTGATCAAAACGCATTTGCAAAGTGAATCTGCTAAAGCGATTGCTGTTGGGCATCAACATCATTATAAAGGAACTTGGAATGCGTTAAAAGATACGTTTAGAAAACATGGAGTAAGTAAATTTTTAAGTTTAGCTGGGAATTATTTTTTATTTTAATAATGTTAGTTGAATGGTTTGTTTCGCGGAGGAGTTGCTGTTGTTCCTAGAGCGTTTGTAGCATCGTCGTCCCAATTAGTTTCGTTTTTATATGTTAAAGACTGGTTGAATAAAACAAAGTATTTTTCAAAGAAACCTGTTTTAACAGTTTTTCTTGGAAGTATGATTGGTGGGATTTCTATTAGTGTTATGACGGCGCCTTTCGATTTAATTTTAATTCGACTTTATAATCAAGGTATTATTTAGTACATTATTAGGTTTCATAATTAATTATTTTTAATTTAAAGGAGTTGATAAATCAGGAAAAGGAACATTGTACTCTGGTTATTTTGATTGTATTAAGAAAATATACACAACCGAAGGGTTTAGTGCGTTTTATAAAGGAGTGGGGCCCATGTATTTTAGATTAGGTCCTCATACTGTGTTATGTTTGATGTTTTGGGAGATTTATAAAAAAATTTACCATAAATATTGTGATTAAAAGAATGTAACTGAAATGGTAAAAAATGCTTATGTAAATATTTATAGAAAAAATGCTGTGATTAATTAAATTTTATCTTCATCAGATTTCCTTTTTAATTCTATCAACATTTTCTCTAACTCCTTAATCCTTAAATTGGTTACTTCTAAACGAGCCTCTAAATCTTCACAAATTGGTTGGCTAATTTTTGTTATTAAATGGGACAAAGATAAAGTTTTAAATGCTTCGTTATGAATATTGACTAATATATCATCATTTTTACTACATTTTGTATTGTGAATCTCCACCTCTTCTTGTATTAATATTTTTGGTAACTCGCAAATATCTAAAACAAAAATTAAATAATTCCCAAGTATTTATTTATTAATATATCGTACTTTTTAAATTGTAATCTCTTAGTGGTACTTTTTCAATAACTATATTAACATCTCTTCGTTCATAATTATCTGTTGCTTGAAAACAGGTTAATTGAACTTGATTACCAACATTATTTTCACTTAGAAAAACAGAAAATATTAATCCAACAAACAAAGGATCCATTATTTGATACATCGCTTGTGTGCGTAAATCTAAAAATTGTAATTAAGAAAAACTATATTTTTAAATTTCTTTTAACCCACCAACATGACTCGGCCACACTGTAATATGGGGATGCGAATGATACCATCCTAAAACACGCATGGGACGTCCTAATTTCTCCGCCAGTTGTTCTGCATGTGTTGAAGCCATGCAAAGTTGTTCAGCTGATATCTCCACTCTATCAGATTTTTTTTCACTTCGATGTAAAATTAATCCAGCCGATATATAGGAAATGTTCGAATCGTCAACCTAAACCTCAATCAAGATTAATAAAACAAAAATGATTTTAGTTAAAAATATAAACCTAACCTCTCCAATCAATAAACCCATTATTTCTTCTTTTTCCGTTGATAAAGCATGCTGAATACATACAGCGTATACATCTGCTGATAATACTACTTTATTTAATTGACGAAACATTTTTAAACTTAAATTATTTAAATATAAACTTAAAATTATTTTTTTATCTTAGTTTTTGACATTGACAGATGTTGACTTAATCGAGTTAATATTAGCAAGTAGAGATGTCAGAAATGTAACTATTCGTTACATGAGTATTCGTTACTTGTTGAGAACCGAATTACTCTCAGAATACTCCGTGGGATTACTTCACACTTTGAGTACTTTTTATCCCCGAAAATTATTTTCTTGTAATCATTGATAATAATAATAAGTTACTGGTGGAGTAGTTGACATAAAGATGGAGCTACGCAACTAACAATGATGAAATCTGTAATATTATTATTTTTTGGATGTAAATATTTACACTTTTTTTAATGTATTAAATAAAAATAACTAATTTTTAAATCACGTTTTTATTTAATATTTAAACTTTATATATCTAAAATTTTTTAAATTAGGTTGGGTTGGCAAGTGGATGCAGGAATTGCCAACATATGCGGTTCCAGATATTCATATAAAGGAGGCTCAACGTCAAATTAAAAAAAACCATCAGCAAACTTGACATCACACGTGTTTGTGAATAATAAAAGGAATGCTAAAGAATCTTTCTTAAAGTATTATTAATAGATTTTTTGTTAATTTATTTTTAGTTTAAGTAAAGGTGCAATTTGGGTTGCATAAATAATAAAATAAAATTTTATAATCATTTTATTTTTTAAAATAAACATTTTGAGCTAAATTTCTCTTAATAAACGAGTTTCACGTTTTTTAATCCCCCGTAATTCCAGTTGGATTTCTTCGAGTGTTTTCCGATTAGTTTCCGGTACGAAAAAATAAATTCCGATTCCGATTGTTGCGCAAATAATCGAGTATAGATAAAATGGGTAATAAATCCCTAATTTTGATTCTAATATTTGATAAACGTATAAAACTAATAAGCTGCATCCAACGTAAACGGTATCAGCAAATGTTAAACCAATTGCTTTTACATTTGTGGGAAATAATTCCGCTGTTACAATTACTGGAACCATTTCAACACCACCTTTTACAGAAAGCCCATAGCATATTATACAAACAATCGGAATCCAATTAAAATTATTTAAATTATAATAATTAACATCTTTTAGAACGAAATAGGTCGCAATTATTATTAAGAAAAAAGTTGTACTTGCTATTGAAGATAATAATAAGACTCTTCGACCTATTTTATCAATAACACACATTCCTATTATGCAAGAAATTAATGTTACAATTGCGAATAAAATGCAAACTATTTCTGGTTGTAAAGCACCATCTGCGTCTTCTAAAATTGTTTGTAAATTCATCAAAATAATAGTAACACAGCCAAAATGTTCTGCAACATATAACATACAACCTATTAATGTTGCCTTTCTATTTCCAGCATCAACAAATAAATCAACAACTCGATGGCTTTCTTTTTCTTGCCTTTGAACTGCTTCTTTAATTTCTTCGAATTCATCTTCAACGCTTTTTAGGTTATTATTTCTTAAAAATGTTAAAGCTTTTTGACATTTTACCATTTTTTTCTTTTTAATCAACAAATACGGTGATTCTGGTATAAAAAAGAAAGCCACCAACTGAAACGCGTTTATAGAAGCTGCCACAACTGCCGAAGAAGTTATTGACACAAATGGAGCCACTGAATACATTATAATAACACCTATAACACCACAAAGCGCGTTAAAAGAGGAAAGAAATCCCCTCACTTTTTTATCAGCTATTTCAGCTATATAAATTGAAACGGCAATAAAATTTATAGCGGATGATAAACCTCCCAAAAATCGTGATACATATAGGGTTTCTTTATTAGTTGCAATTGCGATTAATGTCCATGATAATAAATTTGTTGATGATGCGATCATTATTGATGGTTTCCTTCCTAATCTATCAACTAAAATTATCGTTATGGGTAAACCAATTAAACTTCCAATTAAGTATAAACGTTCAATCCATGAGGCTGTTTCTTCATTGAAATTTGATATTGGACTATCTGGTTTTTTTAACTTTGGTGTTGCCGGTGATGACCAGCTTACTTGCATATTATCCGAAATTAAACTTAAACATGCTGAAAAGAATTGAAAAAAAAGTTATTGATAAAAATATTCCATAACCTCGTTATAGGTTATGAGCTTATGAGAATCATGTGGGTTGAATATATTAAAAATTTAATTAAATTGGTTTGTTAAATTTTATTAAAATATTGAGTTGTTGGTAAAAAACGAAAGAAAGAGTGATTAAATAAATAGATATAAATTAATGATAGATTAAATGTAAATTAAGTGATTGTTATTTGGGTTGCCTGCATAATAGTGAAAGTTTCTTTTAATGTTTAAATTTGTTAAAACAAGACGGAAAATTTGTTGTATTAGTTTAATTAAATCTCTTGAAATGATTTTAATATTAAAAAAACGATTTTTAATAAAATTAAATTTAACCTACCTATTGATGTACATAAAATTTGTGTTTGTTTATTAGACAAAAACTTTGCAATTCCCATAATTAATTTATTATCATTCGAATTGTTTAAAAAAAAATATTCCAAACTAACAGAAAGTCTTTCGATTACATATAGACGTATTTGTGTATACTCTACAACTACTGCGTCATGTCTACGATTTCTTGAATGCCCCCCGTTCGCCAACCAAACGTGACACCATTATCTCGAAGTAAAATGATAAAAGGAGGAGACGAAGACGAAGAAGAAAAAGAAACATTTTTTGTTTCGATCCAACTATTTAGTCTTGAATCACTTTTTCACTCCGAAATTTTCGATTTGATAATGAACCTCTTCCCAAAGATAGCCCAAACATAAACTTAAAACAATATCTTGATTTATAATCGGTATTTTTAGGCGGAGAGAAACGATCCGGAGAGGTCAAACGTTATTTTAACCTTAAACACTAATAAGATAAAAACAAAAACTTCTAGAAGAAATTAAAAATTTATTTTCTTCGGAATCAAAAAAAAATCTCTTTATTTTCTTTCATCAGGCTCAAATTGCAATTTCATTAGAGTGCAAATTAAAGAAAAAAAAACTCTGGGGTGCGAGAGAAAAGAATTTTTCGAGTGGTGAAACTCAACGTGGAGTAGAAGCAGCACGAACAGTGGAGTAAAATGCAAAGTAGAGCCACGTCATTGTTCTTTCTCCTACGCTTTTTATTCCGTTCCAATAGAACTCGTTAAAATACATATTCATTTATACGGATTTATTTGCTATAAACACGTATTTTGATTATTATTTATTTCTTATTAGTCATCTCTAAGTTAGGACGTCATGAATTCCTTTTAATGAATATTTAAAGATATTTTAAATGATATTCTGCACTAATCGATATAAATATCATTATTTGTTACTTAAGGAATTTTACAATTTATATATACACGTTTTAAATGTTAGGAGTACTTTTTTGAAGATGGAAATTTTTAATAATTCATTCTTTTTATTTATTCTTGTTATCGGGGGTTTTATAGAGTTTATCTCCAACCCTTGTTTGTTTTATATGTCCCTTCGTAGCTACGGTATATATTGGAATAGCTCTGCCTTCTTGTACCCACAATTTCTTCCATAATGTATCGAATCAAAATCTGGGGATATTTGTAGGTGACTCTGCTCCCAAAAGTGCCGAAAAATGCTGAAATCTATGGAGTATGTTGTCCTTGTCATTGTATATGACGAATACAACTTTATTTATGTCAGGCTTGTCATTAGCAACCTCATTGTAATAATCCCACTACGATATACAAAATCTCTTGTTGCAGTTTCGTCTAGTTTCCTTCTGTTCGCTTGTAATTCATCATCACATTCATTACTAACAGAACTGTCGCTGTTATCACTTTCGATTATTAATTAAAGCATGCTCTTTTTAATACAAGCCGTTTTGAAAAATCGCGTTTAATTCTTGAGAAATAAATTTTTGAAATAAACGACAATTTTTACGAATTTTGCAATTTTCGCCGATTAAGTTTTAAAAATTCGTATAAAATCCATTTCGTGGAATATGAGTATGAAAATTTCCCAAAGTGTTAATAAAAGTGTCCTCTTTCCGATGAACCAACCCGTTTTGACAAATAACTTTTAGTTTTTGAAAAAACAATATTTGAAGTTTTGATAAAATTTTCGCTGTAGCAATTTTCATCGATAATTTTCAAAATTCGCTATAAAATTCATTTCTTGAAGGATCTTTGTGGAAATATCGCCAATATCGTTCTGGAAATATCGTTCTGCGTTGTTGCTTCTTTCAATATACTTAATTTTTTTGGTCTCTGACCTCTCGGCACTCTTCATCAAACGATTCATTTCTAGCCAGTGGTTTTTCTGAGATGCTACATCAACACACAAACTAGACAGATTTCAGAGATGTTACACCTGATTATACCGTGGTTCTTTGAGGCGCAATATCGTTATCATATTGGTAGAAAATTTGAACTTTTACAAAGATCGTCCATGAAGAGATTTCAAAGATTTATAACGAGATAAATTTAGAAGATAAAAGGAAAGAACGTTGCATCAAGTATTGGATATTATACTGGCGAACTCCTTGATATTATTGCGAAAAGTGTATATTGCTGAATATGAAAAATAGTAATGCTGGTAAACTGGAGATGGATGTCGTTATTGTATCGATATTGAATAAAAAAATTGTCAAATCCTTTATAGACGCCATTTATGATAGATAATCGGATAAGTATTTTCGATATAACAAATTTATTATTTTTTTCCGTCTGATTATGATAATAAAACTTAAAAATCTCGTAAGAGCGGAAACGTTTAATCCTATCTCCTATGAATCACTAGAAATAATTTGAAAAATAAATCGTTGAAAGTTTATGAATTGAAAGGAAGTGCGATAATTAAATAAATGATTATTAAACGAATATTTTCTGTATATACACTATAATTATGTACATTTCAATTTTTTCGTGGGGAAAAAAAGATGAAATATTAAGGTTAGGGTTGAGAACATTAGTTTATTGAAACGGGTGTACATCGCGATAATGATCGGCAGTAACGAGGGGGAGTGAAAAACAGGGGTGGAACAACCCTATCATTTTGTAATCTTTAATAATCCGGATGCATTAGCAGCAAAAACGGTAAACGACAGCGACATTACTGACAGATATATCGATTAATTCCATAAAACGCCCCACTAAACAAAAAAAAATTTCGTTTTAACATATTTTAATAAATAGAAATACCCAATATCGTTTCATTTTAATAAATTAATAGTCCTGGGTCGGTTTCCTGTTGAATATCAGCGTGCATCACGAGCGGTTCTTTATTAATTAAGTATTGCCTAACGGCGATTAAAATTACGCTGCTTACATATAAAACGAAAGCAACTAAGTTTAACCTAAAAAATAAATTTAATTGTATTATATTAAATTAATAAAATAAAAAGAAATTTACCAATAAGAATAATTTAATATTGCGTTTACGGTATATCCATCTGCAACAATTGTATCATAAACGCTTATATTATCAATTAAAACGGACGCGTATAAAACTCCCCACATTATCATCGTTAATAAACTAAAAAAGATTGCGACACAGTTCCATATGAATAAGCCGGTTATATTAACATAAATTTCAATTGGGTTGTACACAGTGTTAAACATTGCCAACACCGTTGCACCTAATCCCGCAACGGAAGATAGTACTAAAAATATTATTGTTGATAACCATAAACCGGCGTTTATAAAAGTACTTTGGGATGAATCATCTAAAAATAAAATAAGAAAATATAACAAAAAAAAATTCTTTTTTGAATTATGTTACCTCTTGTTGATGTTAATTGTGGATTAAAAAATATTTGTCGCCTTTCCATACAACCAAATGATGAATTATTGTTTTCAATTAAAGCCGTTAACTTCGCAGATCTTGCCTCCGACGTTGCTTCACATAACATTGCACATTTATTATCCGACATCGAACAAGTCACTTGAAAAGTAAAGAAAAAACAGTTATTACAAAAATTTTAAATAAAAAATCGATTTGATAACCAATAAAATCAAACCACGAGACGTAAATCTATATCTTTAAATCTTTAATCTTATATCATGCATTACTCATTATTATTTTAAAACCTTTAATCTAAAGTTAATTACTTCATTACTTACTTGATATATCATAAATCATCGGTCTCTCAGAACCGACTGTTCTTCTATAAAGCCCCGTGAATAAACCATAATTAACTTGGCTAAATTTTTCAGTAATTTTAACTTCGGAGGAGACCCAATTTTGAGTACCCAACGAGACCAACGTTGCTATTACAGCCAAACCGGAGGTTACGAACGTTGCAAACACTAATTCACGCTTTGTTTTAACCATTTTAATATAGTTTTTTAATTAGAACGATGCTTTCTCTACGAATTAACCTAACAGTGTGAGTGTAACGCATAGTATTATCTTATCTATGTGAAGGTACCTGTGTTTCAACACAAAATCGATTCACTCCTTATCGTTTTTACTTATTTTTGTGTTGTTTTTCTTACTTTTATCAACACAAATTTTATTGATAGATTTTTTATCTAGATTGATTATCTATTTAGAAATTTAATGCTTTTTATTACGATTTATGATGTCATTGTGTATAATGGGATTATTATTAAAACTATTTTAGGGGTAAAGAATAAAAATTGACTATTGTTTTAATCAATTTTTTTAAAGAAGTTTTAAAAGATTAAGTTAAAGTGTAAAAAACAGATACATAATGAATCTGCTATAAAGACGGTAACAAATCAGGGACTATGAAAGCTACGAACAAAAGTGAAAGAAACAATATTATAAAGAATAAAATTTTCTACAACTTTTGTTTTAAAAGTTCTTTTATAGCATGCTCCCTTTCCCGAGTGTTACCATTAACAACTTGAAAAAGCAACAAGTTCATCCGATTTACATATCTTCGTATTTTTCTCAATATTGACGCATCTGAGAGCAAAAGTGAAAGAGAGTAATTTTGCTAAGAATAAAATTATCTACAACTTTAGTTCTAAATGTCTTTTTATAACATGCTCCGTTTCCTGAGTGTTACCTTTAAGAACTACTAAAATGACGAAATTAATCAAATTTTCATATTTTCGTGTTTTTCTCGGTATCTATGCATCTGAGAGCAAAAGTGTAACAGAGCAACATTGTTAAGAATAATATTTGTTACAACTTTTGTTCTAAAAGTTTTTTTGTAACATGCTCCGATTCCCGAGTGTTACCATTATCATCTTGTAACTAGGGTGTTCCATTTAAAAATACAAAGTTGATCCTTTTTCGGAAAAACTAAAAGCGATAAACAATTTTTTATGCTAAATTATTACAAAAAATAGAAATCGACTATATAATATATATAAATTCGTTTGTAAACCTTCATCAAATAACAATTTCTGAAAAATTGATTCTACGGACATTTGTTGGGCATAGGTTGGCAACGCTGATGACACTAAGTCACCTTAGTGACATTTCTAACCTTTAATTTGATTCTAAAAATAATATAAGTCAAAATGAAGTTTAATAAGGGTAAAAAAAAATTAAAAAAATATTAAAATATAAAGCGAAATATTAACGGTTATAATTTTATTATTGTTAGGTTATCCAACTTGACTCGGTTACCATGGTGATTGAGATCCAAATATTGCAGATGCTTGTCAAAATTCAAATTGAATTTAAGTTTTCTTAAGGAAAAAGTCTTATTTAATTGGTTTAAAAGGCTGTATTTAACTCAAAATTGGTGTATCTAAGGTATTATAAACAAGGTAAATGGATTAAATCAAAAAAAAATTTTAATTTATTTCTCTTAATTAGAATCGATTTAAATTAACTACAATTAACGAATTTGTTATGAATGCGAGATAATCGTAAAGCATTCAAATTGTTTTAAAATTAACAAAAATTAGGTTAGAATTGATAAAAAAATCGGAATAAAATTTTATTATTTTAAGGTTATCCAACTTGATTCGGTTACCATGGTGATTAAGATCCAAATATTGCAGGTGCTTGTCAAAATTGACGTTGAATTTAAGTTTTTTTAATGAAAAACACATAATTAATTGGATTTAAAGGTTGTATCTAATTCGAAATGGGTAAATGAATGAAATTACAAGCAAGGTAAGTTATTTATACTCAAATAATTGATATAACCTGAACGCCAGGAAAAGATTGCAACTTGTTGATTTGTTGTTATTGATTTGAAACCTGATATCTCAGAACAGGAACTAATCTTTTCTAATCGTTTTTGTCAATTTTGTTTACACTCACTTTTCAACCTCAACCTCAAAATTTAGAAGAGCTTCGTGAACTTTTAACACAAAAATAAAATTTTTCAAGCAGTTCAAATATCTATTAATTCATGGCATTCAGCAGAGTGAGACTCTCCGGCGTGCTTTAACTCTTCATTGCAAAAAACATACACCCAAACATCATAGAAACGATCTTAACAAGACAAAGCCGGAATCCGATAATTATTTAACTAACGGAATTTAATTTTAGATGGAGTAAATGGTGGATATACACTGAGAAGAACAGCAATAAAGATTGTATGACGACGCCATCATCATCGCAGAATCGAAGGATGGACTACAATGGTTTCTAAACGCATTCAACGAAGCATGTCACAAGGTAAATATGAAGTCATCGCAAAATCACCCATTAGATGCAAAGTTGTAGTGCAAAAACAGATCATTGAGTAGGTATTCCAATTCGACTATCTTGGAATACAAATCAATGCATATAGGAATCAAAAGAACAGTGTCACAACGCAAGCCATAAAGGCAATAAGAGTATTAGCCGTGTTCTAGGTCTACTATTAGTCTAATTTTAGATGTTATTTAATGCTAGATTGTTGTGTTTTTTATTGAGCTAAAAGTAGAACTAACACTAAACATAGAACTAGAAACATTCGGGTTTAGCCGGCTTAAAGGCCGCATGGCTAAACCCAAATGTTTCTAGTTCTACGTTTAGAGCTAGTTCTAATTCTAGTGTTAGTTCTAGTTTTAGTTGTTATTCAGCGCTAGATTGTTATATATTTTTCTAATAGAAAACGCAACGGTGTGGATAGATGTCTGAATTTCTATGCATTAAAATTATTCAGATAACGGATTTTTGGCTATAACGGATACGTATTAAAATACTCCGTATTAAATATGCGAGATAGTTGAGTGTAGACCACTTTCAGTTAATTTTGGCTGTTTTAAATGATATATTTTTTGGAAAACATTATTAAATTTTTTAAAATTTTATTTACTTTTTTTGTCTGTGCATGGAAAATTTGAAGGCGGATTCCGATTTTCCGCAAACGATGAAAGCTCCGCCTTTCCTCCGGGGTGGCTCCACCCATTTTCCCGGAACGTAGTGACGCCGTCAAAGGCACTGAGATCCCCAGTACAAGTCGGAACCGACGCCGCCGTCGCCACCACCGTCAACGGCGTCGCATAAAAAGTATCATTTTTATTAGTTTTTATCAAAACTCTTACAAACGAACGCACGCGCTACTACATTTTTTTCTCCACAATCTCTTTTTCCTTCTCAACATCCCATCAGTGATTTTTGGTGTTAAAAGCGAAATCGTTTAGTGTTGGTTGTTAAAGTAATCTTAAGTGCGATTTTTTTATTGGTGAAGTGGTGGTCATGAAGGTGAAATTGTTAAGGCATTTGTTTGGAATTTTTATACTTTTTAGTGCAGGTAAAAAAAAGTTTAATTATTAATTCTCAATGATGGTAATTTTTGGCGAAAGATTTCTCGTTCGAGTTGAAAAAAGTGAAAGCGGTTTCTTCCTACGCAAAAGTAGGTCGTCGTATGGTTTAAGTGCGGTCACTTTGTGTTAAATAATCTTGATCGTTTTTGATTCAAAATTTTTATGTGGATTTTATTTTATTAATGTTGGTATTTATCATAATTTTGAATTAATTGACATTCGCAGATAATGTGTCGCCATCTTTTGATACTTATGTAATATAGTACTTTTAGAGAAGATATTATTAACCAAATTAATTTGTTTATTTATATATTTCAGTTACTTATTCTTATCCTAAAACAAAAAAATTATTTTTACAACGTTTCTTTATGAGCAGGGACAACATTTCGCTTCAGGTTCAACTGCTTTTATACAAGCTGGGAAACATTGATACTCATAATCAACTTCATCGTCTCCATGTTGGCCATGATGATGTCCATGATGTCCATGATGTCCATGTTGGCCACCATTTTCTTTAGCACCTCCTTCTGCGCCAGAATTAAGTGTAGCTTCTTTAGCTTTTTTCCTTAATAAAGCCCTGGGTCCCCAAATTTTCTCTAAATGTTTTGCACCGGCAAATTCACTTGGTCCGCATGTTGGAGGTTTTGTTAAGCACGGAGGAGACCCGTGACATCCAGTTCTTTGACAATCGTCTTGTAAGCCGTTTCTTTTTTCACAATCACACCCAATGTACATAATTCCACCGCGAAGTTCGCGAGATTTACTTTGTGTTACCCGATGAACAACTTCCTCACCTTCATTATGTGATTTTTTATCACCCTTTTCGCCACCTTTACCCGTTTTTCCATGTGGCTTTTTCTCTTTCGGTACTTTATAACAAACCATCACCGGTGGTGGTTCTTCAACTTTAGGCTGGTGTTTTGGTGCTGCACATGGGCACTCACAACCTTCACAATGACATTTATTTTCATGGTGGTGATGATGTTGGTGGTGGTGTTGTGGCGGTGGTAGGATAAATTCACACGCACATGGATAATCTTGCTTAAGCTCATTAGCTATTCCATCGATTACGTTATGGGCGGCTAAATTTCGAGCCAATTCTTCCATTTTAGGACATTTAAAAGACATTTTTATTAGTTATTTTGGACTTTTTAAGTAAAAGATTATAGTCGAACAAGAATTTAGATCAATTTTAAAGATAAACTAAGAATTTTGGATGGAAAGCATTAAAAAGAAATTTTGACAGATCGAAAATAATTTGAAAACTAATTCCATCATTTTGTTTTCATGGTAACCAAGTTTATAATCCAAAAGAATCTTGATCAATGCGTATTTAATCTGATTCAATTTTAAGTTTGGTGATTTTTTCAAGATCCTATTTTAAGTGATTTGTGCAGATATTCAAAATGCAACACAAATATTATTCATAACGTATCAAGTTGGTGATAACTCGACCGCATATCGAATATTTATTCGTATGTGTTTACGAAGTTGATGGTTTTAAAAATAATTTTAGTCATAGTTGGTTTAGTCAACAGGAAAATGTTGCTATATCCTTTCTTATTTATTTTTTGAGATTTGTTCGTCATTCCTGCTTCTCCTTCTCCTGTGATATTGAGTTCTAACTGTCTCTTGTACATTTTGCCATTCTTGATACATGTTCATTTCAATCTCGTTGTCTTTACCAGATCGATCTGATGATGTCCGGGGTGTTGTATTTTTCTCTCATTTCTGCATTTCTCTTACGATCCTTTTGCTTCCGCCGTATACATAAGAACGGGCTTTACGCATGATGATTCGGACCTTCTCTTGATTTTCTTATTGTCTTTATGGCTTGCTTTGTGACGGCGTTAACTGCTTGAAATATTTAATTTTTGTTTTAAAAGTTGTTTAAAAATTGTTGAGGTTGAAAAGTGAATGTAAACAAAATTGACAAAAACGATTACAAAAGATTAGTTCTTGTTCTGGGATATCAGGTTTCAAATCAATAACAAGAAATCAACAAGTTGCATTTTTTTTCAATTATTTAAGTATAAATATAAAATCATATACAAAGTTTAGTCTTAATGAATAATAAACATTCAAACATCAATATGACAGAAATTGATTTCAATCTTACCAACTGTTAATCTTGCCAAATGTTAGCTAACTAGCTTCACAACAACTTGACAGAAAGAAGAAGTATTGAAAAAATGTTCACGCCTATGCTAGAAGAATCAGCTAATATATTACATCTAACGAAATTGACAAAAAAGAAATTTTTATGAATCGAGATTGTTTTTTTACTTTGCATATAAAGTTGAGGTGAATACATATTCTTGTCTAAGACATGTCTAGATGAAAAAAAAAATTCAGAACTCCAACGTCCTTATTCAATCACGACATGGTAAAAAAGTTGTAAAAGTAAATATAGCTTTTGAGCAGACATAAGAATATAATCGAAATGATTCCGACGAGATTAATCTTGAGTTCTTCAGTATTTGGAGCTTGAAAGATTGCAGAAAGCTGTACAAGCTGAAATCTTTGAGCCAACTCAAGTTTATTTAAGAAACCAATTAATTGGTGCGTAAAGTGGCATTTCCGTGGCAAATAGAGAGTAAGATTGTTGAAAGGTCGCAATAACTTCAAGCAATCAGACAGCGTCGAATGCAAGAGATCACTCACAAAATTAAAATTTGAAACGAGAAAATTATTTTTAATTTATGGAAAATGTAGGAAGATTATCGTCGATGCAGCCACTTTGTAGGCAGAGTATTTTTGGCAAAGCATAGTCTCGTTTTAAAGTTGATAGAGTTTGTTTCTGACCTTGGCTTATTTAATTAAAAACCAAAGTTTTCTGGTCCTGCTTTACCCCAGGTCAATTCCTACTGGAGGATTGCAATGCGCTGGGCAGTCTTGTTTTAACATAATATCAATCTAGAACCTCGGCCACAAGCAACCTTGCCTTATTTTATTAAAATCTATCATTTTTTAGTCTTGGTGTAGCCCAGAATTATTCATGCTGGGACATTGCAATAAGCTAGGCAGCTTTGTTTTAAGATTACATCAATCTAGAGCCTCGGACGCAAGCGACCTTAGCTTATTTTACTAAAATCTAACGTTTTTTAGTCTTGGTATAGCCCAGAATTATTCATGCTGGGACATTGTAATGAGCTAGGCAGCTTTGTTTAAAGATGACATCAATCCAGAGCCTCAGCCGCAAGCGACCTCGCCTTATTTTACTAAAAACGAAAGTTTTTTGGTCCTGCTTTAGCCCAGGTCAGTTCCTACCAGAGTATTGCAATGCGCTGGGTAACCTTGTTTTAAGATGATATCAAAACATTTTCTAGTCTTGATTTAGCCCAGATTAGGACGTTGCAATGAGTTGGGCAACTTTGTTTCAAGATGACATCAATTCAAAGCCTCGGCCGCAAGCGACCTCGGCTTATTTTAATAAAATCAAACATTTTTAGTGTTGGTTTAGCCCAGAATTATTCATGCCGGGACATTGCAATGAGCTGGGCAGCTTTATTTTAAGATGACATTAATCTAAAGCCTCGGCCGCAAGCGACCTTGACTTATTTTACTAAAAACAAAAGTTTTCTGGTCTTGATTTATCCCAGATTAATTCCTGCAGGGACGTTCCAATGAACTGGTCAGCTTTGTTTTAAGATTATATCAATCTAGTTTCTAAAATGTATTAATTTCTTTTCTCTATCTAATTAAAATTTGATTAAACATAATTAACGTAAATGAGAGAAAGATTACAAAAAGGGGCGTTAATCCGCCAAAACGAAAGCAACCTTATAGATGTCGCGACCAAAAAAAAAGGAAAAATCAAAAGCTGGGGTGAGAGGCAGAGACTTTAGACTCGATCCGATGATGATGTAGTAATAGACTGAAGTGGTTTTATTCCGGGGGTGGTATTAAAACCGAAAAGCGGGGGAGTTGGACGTCTCTCGTTACCGCGACTGGTGGCCCTGAAGCCGCCCTCTTTGCCATCGACATCCCTCTTAAAAACCCCCCGAGCATCTTCCCTCTCTCTCTTTCTCTTTCTCGGACAATAGATGACGCATCGATCGTTTGGCGTATTCATTTGCCTTCCGCCTCATTGCTTTCGAAGAGGACTTTTCGACGAAGAACCCCCTTTCGCTTCATTCCCTCTTTTTTTTTTCGTTTGTGGTCCTAAAACCTTTCCATTGAAACTGAACTTTGGGCGCCGATTTTGTGTGTTTTGCGGTAGGATTCGGCGCTTTGATGATGAAAAGGAGACCTCTTTTGATGTCTGTTTGTCTGGGTGTCTGATTTCTAGATCTTAAAGGTATAAGTCGAGATGCACCAAAAAGATTTATCGTCTTTCTCGTATTCTGGTTCTTTCTGATGGTTTCTTTATCCGATAATTTGTTGCGCGACGATTGTTTCAAATCGGCGTGGCTTAGCGAGTATTATCGGATTAGGTCCCCCACCGTATCTATCGATTCCCCCTTCGGGACGTTTTCCCCCGTTACGACGTTACACGTTCTTTGTTTCTTATCATCTTCGCACATGAGTTCGTATATTTTACTCGTCACTCATTCTTTTGAAATCAAAAACTAAATGAAATATATAAAAAAAAAATCTTTTCGTTTTTTTCTTTATCTTATTATGCTGATCGATCCCTCAATCACCATAAATTTTCTTTTCTAATGATATCATTAAATTATTCCGAACATCCCTTCGAGTTCTTCTTCGTCCCTCAGACACATTCTCATTACCATCTTATCGAGATTCATGATCACGATCGAGATTTGTTAACGATAGAGGGCGTGACGATTGTCGTCGATGACGTCATTGTCTGCAGTTTACGGCCGTAACCGAATCAATTTACCGGCGGTGATGATGATGATGATACTCCGTCCGAGCCACACGCTTACAAGGCAATCAAAATCCATATCATATATTGAGTTTGAATCCCTTCTCCCTCATCCAGAGAATATTCCCGAGAGGGTGGCGCCCCCCCTTTTAGCTCGACGTTGCGTAATTTACGATGGGTTTCGTGTAAACCGGGCTTTTCGCAAATTGGTGATCTTGTCTATCGTCAACACCATAAAAGTGATAAAATAAAGATAGTGTGTGTATTTCATATTATTATTTTTATTTTATTTTGAGAAACGATTTCGTTGGGATTTTGACGTGATCCATTGGGGGGATCGAAAAGGGAAATAAAAAGGATTTCGAGTGAGTAGGGCGAATCTCTGGGGGAAGTTGTTTGCGCCTCAAAGTTATCTGTCAATCTCTTCGCGAGAGATTACGTTATACAAAGACGTCTGTCGTCTATGGATAAAAGGGGGGATGGACGTGAAGATAGATCTTTAACCCAACATTTAGACATTTATGGACATCTCAAAATAAAATCAAAATAAAATATCACCAATTTTGTATTATTTCTAAACTACAAATAACTTTTTTTTCAATATTTTATATTAACAGATGCGAAATAAGAAATAAACTAAAAGATTGGGGTGGTACGTGTAAAACTCCCAAGGGGAGAAGGGGTGGAGTGTAGACCGCTTACATTGATTCAGGCTTTGAATTCAAATCCCACGGGAGACGCTGGATACGGGACTTACTCCCGCATAATAACATGATCGCCGCTCGGGTCGCGATCGATATCACCACCAGGTGGCGCGGAGTGAAGGGAGGCATGCGGAGCGCCCCCTCGCCGTCCACTCGCTTAAATAACTGCCCCTATCCCCGCGTTGCCAAGCCGACTTGATTTCCATTGCTCGGCAAAAATTCAACACTTTTTTTAAGGGTTTATACTTAATCGGCAATTTGAAAAATTTTAAAACGTATTTTTGGGATATTAAAAACAAGAAAAATTGTTTGGTATTTTCATACAGACGATTCTCTATCAATGATATCTATAAAAGGCTTTCATAATTTTATAGATACATCTATCGGTGGCGCTTTTAGGTAATACCGGCGAAAATATCGCCATAAATATCAAATTGGTGGAAACTGAGGAATATATTTACCTAGAATATGCCATCAGGAATACAACTGACATGGGCAACCTTTGGCAAATCAACACACACACCAGACATGCTAATACAACTAAATACAACAATATGGCCAAAGATGAATTTTAGCAAAACATAAATAGTCAGCAATACATTTCATCAAATCGGTGTAACAGTTCACCACATATCTTGCTCCTCGACCAGCAATTTTTGACAAAAAGTGATTCAACCAAAAATACTAGACCTAGAACCAGAAACATTCGGGTTTAGCCGTGCATCTCTTAAGACGGAAACTCAGAGTTATCTTATTATATGAATTACAAGCGACGAGAAAAAAACTAGATGAAACTGCAACAAAAGATTTAATTCATATAGCATTTTGGGATTGTTACCATGAAGTTGCTAATGACAAACCTGAAATAAATAAAGTTGTATTAAATGAAAAAAGTTCTATTGGGGTTGAACTTGATTATTTTCTGCAGTGTGCAAAAGATATTAACCCCTGTGAATGCTGGAGTACTAATAGGTTTTTAATATCCGGCTTTGGTAACTAAGTATCCAGTAGGATTTTAAAAAATGGCTAGATAGGCCGAATAGTTGCCTGATATCCGTTCCACCATTACTTTACACCAAAAAAAGCTAGGAAAAACTAAAAACATTTTTTGACAAAGGGGGATAAAAACAGAGAAGATTTTCGAAGGAAATACTAAAAAAACGAGATCGCTTAATTTATCGGTTGTTGAGAAGTTCAAGCCTGACAGTTTAGGATGTTTTCGATTCGAAAAGGCATTTATTGGAACGAACGGAATGTCACTCCGTTGAGAGGGTGTTTTGGGTTCTTTTAACCCTCTCACTGTCAATTTTCACGCAATGCTGAAAATAAAGTGAAAAGAACTTTTATTTTAATACATTTTAAAAAATCCACAATCTAAATTGATGATTATTAACACAAGATGGCGCCACTTAACAAAAAAAATTATTATTAGAGTTTAATTTACAGTAAAATTCCTTTTTTTATTAACACAATACAAAGTAAATTGCCCATTAATAACTATTTTATAAAAAATTAATATTAAATATTATAAAAAACTAACTAAAAAAAATGTATAGGTATTTACTTTATCGACTGATTTGTTCTAACTGTCACTAATTTAATATTTTTAGGTTATTTTTAAAAATTCAAAGTTTTAATGCGATTTTATTTCTTTTTTTCAGTTTTGTGTAGAAAACACTCGGAACCATACTACGGAACGAAGATCGGTAGATTTGAAACGTTCGCTCATAATGTTAGAGGAACCGTATACGCAGTCGATTACCGAACTTTATTCATTCATCGATTTTCGTACGATGGAACCGCTGAAGATACATATTTTTGGGTTGGAAATACGCTAAGGCCAAGTCCACAAGGAAATATAGTTAGTTATCCAGACGAATATGATGGAGAGTATGTTTTATTTATAATTTTTTTTTGCTTCGTTTCGTCTCCTCCTCTCATCTCCCATTAAGGAGCCAATTATCTAATTGACGCCAAGAAGGGATGGATGAAATTTCAGTAAAGAGAGGGGGTGATGAACACTGAGGTGACTTACGCGGATCCGCAACAGCAGACAATAAACTAAACGAATGGGGAGGACCGTAGGGGGTCTCACGCTATATTTAATCAGGGTGATATCTCACGTTGTCGGAGAGCCTTGACGGCTTCATTTCCATTTAAATTCGTCGTCGTCGCCCCCTTTTTTGACCGGTTATCTGCTGTTTGTTGAATTGGAATCATTATTAAGTCTCAAAGCGGAAATGAGTGAACATCATTAAAATTATGTAAACGGAACTTAAATTAAATGAAATTTAAATAAGTCTTTTTTTGTTAAGTCTTTTCCTTGTTGTAATTATAAACGTTTAATTTAATTGTAATAGTAAAACGAAAGTAAATTAATCTTCTTAAAATGTTACACAATACGCTTTTGGTTAATAGAAACGGTTTGTTGGATAAAAGGGGGCCTTCAAACTGAGAAACAGACCGTGACAAAAACAATGACGTCTTCCACTTAGATCGGAAGCACAAGGAGCTTTGGCGTTGAGATTGATTTGGCGTGCTCTTGTATATGCGTCTCTTCTTCCGAAAACTGAGAAAGAGAGGAATAGCGAGCGAGAAAATCGATAAAGCGTGAAAAACGGTTTTAATTTTTATTACTACTTTTTTTTTAATGTTTCACGCTATAGATCCATTAAGAATAAAAGGAAAATAAGAAAATCTCTTTCCCCTGTTTTCCACGGGGATATCCGGTAATCGCCTTCGCTGTTCCTTCGAGATAAAAACATTTAGAAAGAAACCCCCGTCGACAACTCGACACTAATCCGAGACATTTATTTTTATTATTTTTCCTCTGTTTCTAAAGCAACACCTTTTTATTTAAATTTTTTTTTCAGGGAATCACCACCTCTCGGTGAATTTAGTAACAGTGATCTTATATTACGACTTCCGGTTGGAATCAGAATTAAAGATATCAAATGGCTATCAGTTTGGTGTAGAAGATTTACCGTAAGTTTATAAACTTAGAGATTAAAGTAATATAAAATATCCCAAAAACGGTTAAGTTTAGGTTATGATGTGCTATATGAATTTAGTTAAGAACTTCGAGATGAACTTTTTGACTGACCCTGTATACTTAATTTGGGTGTATGTTAACATTTTCGCTAGCTATCTTACTTCAGGAAATAACCAATCGTTTCTAGACATAGCAAAGACCCTGTATATTAAGGGCACATTAAATTTGGTATGAACAGAAAAAAGGGACTTCAACCACAGCGAAACGTGATGCATGGTGACGAGTTGCTCTAAATATATATTATCAAAAGTCAATCAAAAGATGGGTGGTTTTTACCATATTTAAGTTTTCTGTCAGTTCCCATCCTTCTTAGCACCTCATCATTGCTGACGTGCTCCGTCTAAGAGATGAGAATTAAGGGAAGTAGATGATTTGAGGTGATCCAGAACAGAGGAACATGGAAACATGAAACAGGGCTTCGTCTAGGAGTGGACAACTGATGGCTGAAGAAGAGAAATAAACATATATTATCAAAAGTCAATCAAAAGATCAGTAGCGGTTTTCTATAACATGATAGACAAGTTACCACACGACGAATCAACCAAGCGTCAGGCACAAGATAATACAAGAGAAGTCAAAATGCGTTGTAGACGATCAAAATATGCTGATCGATAAGCAAGATATGTGGAGAACTGTTGCATCAGTTTAAACAAAATTTTAGATACTTGTTATATTAAAGGCTATGAAGGAAATGAATTTTATCGAAAATTTTTTGTTGATTTTAACCTCAAGTATTAAGGTTAGAAATTTTATTACTTTTCGTTTCCTTTAAACGAATTTTTTTAAACTCTTTTTATATAAAATCCTGAGTCAGCAGTGATGTAGTAGAGTGTAAGAGAAGAAGGGTCGGCGTAAAACCGTATCGAAACGGGTCCGTTCCGGCGGCAAACCCCCTTAACAAATGGAATCATCACTCCGTGAAGTATAACTGGAATGAAGGCGCCCCGAGGCGTCACCCCCTTTCCTACCGGCACGCGCCGTTCTTCCCGATCAAAAGGTTTAAATGGCATAAACTCGGCCGGGTTTATTACCGTCCGGACCCAATTCAAAAAAAAATTCATAAAATACAATTCTAACCACCCCCTCATTTTTAACGTTGTATACAGGAGTACACCAAATAATAGCTTTTATTAGGCTTATAAAGATTTAAATTTACAATACTAATATTTAAAAAAATATTTAACAAATGTCAAATAATGACATTTAAACGTCAAATATTGTATTTGTCAAATTGGTTGCATATCATCAAAGTATATTTTAATTATACCATTTAATTAATGAAATGGGGAAAATTTTGTTATTTTATTTGTGATCTGTGAATGTTAATAGCTCTTTTGGAGTTTTTGAAAATGTTTTAAAATGAGAAATCAAAAGGTACTTACGCCCAATAAAACTTGTAATAAAACGTCGATAAACGCGCTAGAGAACGCGCACAAAATTTTCATTTCCAAAGAGTTTCATTCCCGCGCCTCCGCCACCCACCTACCATACCGACCATTCGCAAATTGGGGATGCGCCTCCTCTACGGTCGCCGCCCCCGCCAATGGGACCCCAAGTTGCCGAATATTGACCTGCGTCGCGACGTCTACTCCAAAATGGCCACTGTAAAATTATTGTATTTATAATAATATGCATCAACAAAAAAAAAGTAATTGTACAAATATACCTACTTATAATATAAATTCGTATTAAAGTTTTTAAGTAAAATTAAAGGGGGAGTTATAATTAGAAATGAATGGGAGAAAATGTGTGTGAGAGAGAGAGAGAGTGAATCAAAGATTCTTTGAATTTTTCAATCCAATGGTTTTGATTGAGTGTGTCATTTAGCTTTTTCGTTTCCCTTTTCTCTTTTTTATCAAGGGGTTTCCGGTTTCGTTACTAGGGTGAGATGATTCTTAATTTAGCTTAAGTGGACTTTTTGATGTGCTTGAAAAGTAATGAATAAAAAAATTCCAAAACAAAATTAAAAACTCCACTTCACTCGTTTGTCTTGATTTTGACACAATTACCATCGATAATTAAATCATAGTAACTGTTTTGTAAAAATGTGCTAATTAGACAATTTGTTGTGATCTTGTGCTGCGTTATCTGACATTTCTCCTCAAGTCCATAGTTGTAGTATGGTCAGGGTTCGTTTTATGCTAATTAAGCCATTAGATTGCATTACTTAATAACGTTAAAATTATTTACAACAAAAAAGAAGGTGAGAGAGGAATAGCATTCGAAAAATGTGCTTTACAATACCTTCGTGAAGTTGAAAGTGGATCTTTTCAAATAACGGAGTGTGCTAAAATGATTATACAGGGTCGCTGATATGTATGGAAACAGTCGATTATCTCCTAAAGTAAGATAACTAGCGAAAAATGTTAAGATAAAAGTTTTAGTATTTTTTAAAGTCTATTACAATAAAGACAAATTAAATATACAGGGTCAGTCAAAAAGTTATGACGAAACAAAGTTACGATTTCTTTAATGGAACACCCTGTATATTATTCCATATTTCGGTTCATTTAGAAATTCTAAACAAAATTCATGTAGCACATCATAAATCTAAACTCAACTATTTTTGAGATATTGAACTTTGATGATCATTCTTATAAATTACACAACAAAATTTTAGTCGTCATCAAGTTACCTTTGAAAGTTTTTCATCTCCATAGCAACGCAGTGTCAAAATGTCAAAAAGACAAAAATAGTTTGAATAATTTGTGCCTAAAGATAAATTACGTCACTAATTAGATTAATTCTAGTGCTAACCAGCGCTAACTAGAACTGTCACTAGAACTAGCAACATTCAGGTTTAGCCGTCTTAAGAGCCGCACGGCTAAACCCGAAAGTTGCTAGTTCTAGGTCTAGTGTTAGTTCTATTGCTAGTTCTAGTTTTAGTTGTTATTCAGCGCTAGATTGACTAACCCGAAACTTTCTGGTTCTAGGTCTAGTGTTAGTTGTCTAACGCTGAATAATAATTTTATTAAAACTGTCCTTGATTTATACATTGTATAGACAACTCGGGGAATACCCCGACTTTATCTATAAACACGAAATATAGCAATTTTGAGAATAACCCGAGTAAGATCTTATAAAAGTGTTATTAATAATGATTATTTTTGCAGATTAATTTTGGTGAAGTTTTTATTCCTCAAGACCTCGACATACCAAAAGTTCGAATCCTCCCTGAATTTAAACGTTTTGCTCACGGTTTACGTTCGGATAATATCAGCATTCTAGACGCGAAAACCTTTTATATCCCAAACCTCCATTATGATGGCGCTGGTCCCGCGGCTTATTTTTGGGTTGGAAACGGCTCCGAACCGCATCGAATGGGCATTAAAGTACCGAATGAACTAAAAAGTTTAGAACCATTAAGAGCTTATCAAGGCGAAGATATCGAGATACAACTTCCTGGTTCTTTAACCGTTTATGATATCGATTGGTTTTGTATTTGGTGTATTCAATATACGCAAAATTTTGGGCACGTTATGATACCGAAAGATCTTGATGTTCCACCAGCCTTGAATCAAACTAAAATATCGGTGAGTATTAAAAAAATTTTAATTAATTTATTTATTAATAAGTAACTAAATTAATAATTAAATAAAGCCTCCTTGGTGGTACAACCCGGTAAGTACAAAATTTAACACAAAAATTTCAAGATTTATTATCATTTAAGGTTATATCATAATTTTTTATCTGTTAAAAGACCGTTCCAACTCTTGGACCAACCAGATCAACATCGAATTGTCGCCAATTTTTGGATAAACGCCTCCAAGTTCGTTGGACCTTATTAGAAGACAAAATCAAGGTCACTTTAGATGCGAGAATAGAAGACGACCAATACGTAGCTTTTGGATTATCCGGTGATCAACATCATTCAAAAATGGTAACATAATAAAAAAATTTTCGATTTTTTCCCTAATTTTACCTTTTTAATAGATTGGTGGTGATGTAACTGTTGTTTTTTACGATACCCATGATGAAATGTTTAAAGCCGTTGATTATTACATGTCAACAACTGCGCAATGTGATGGAAAAACAGGTGTTTGTCCGGATGAGGTAATCGGGGGTCGAAATGATGTCGTTTTTATTTCCGGCGAAAAAAGCGATGGTGTCACCTCGATAACTTACACGAAACCTTTACAAACGAACGAAGCGGTTAATGACCGAGCGATTCCAAGCCGAGGAAACGTAAGTGTTATCGCAGCAATTGGACGATTAAATTCAAAAGGCGAAGCAAACGCTCATGATCCAAATGATAAAACAATGGAAGATGTAAAAATCGATTTCAGTCAAGTTTACGAAGCGTGTCCCAGCATTTACGATATATTAGATGAAAATAAAACGAAACCATTCGAAATGAATAAAATTTCGGATAGATCAACGTTTTATGCAAAAATTGGACCTACTGGTGGTAAGAAAGGTTACTCTGCGATTACGGGGTTACCATCGTGGGGTATTTCCTGGTACATTGATGGGTTACTTATACCGGAATTAACTTTGGTTAGGGGAAAAACTTACACTTTTATCGTCGAGGGCGGTGATGATTCAACGAATAAAGCTCGTTATCATCCGTTTTATATAACATCTTCCCCGGAAGGCGGTTATGGGCAAAAATTACCTTCGCAACAAAGGAAAGAAAAATTATATGCGGGAGTTGATTTCGACCAACAAGGACATCCTTACCCCACTGCGACAGGAAGATATTGTGAATATGCTCATATTACCGTTGATAGAGCCGAAGAATTCGATAAATTCGAAGATTATAAACAAACATTAAGATTGACTTGTGAAGAAGGTGAACCGGGGATGTTAAATTTTACAGTTCCAATTGAGGCACCCGATACACTTTATTACCAGGTATGATTATAAACATTTTTTTGAATAATATATATTATAAATTTTTTTGTTGTAGTGCTACGTTCATTTTAATATGGGATGGAAAATAAACGTGGTAGACGCAAGTTCAACATCAGTTCATTTACCCTACAATTATTTAATTTTAATAACTCTGTCTGCTTTAACGGCGCCGTATAACTCGCGAATTTTCTAACATACAAGCGAAGCCGACGGACAAAAAGATGGGGTAAATTAGATTGAAAGAGAATAATATTTTTGAAGAGCGAAAAAAAAAATGAAATGGTAACGATGACAATAATAATATACAATAATAAAGAAAATGCAACAAAATGAAATGAAAATTAAAAAAGGAGTCAGTCCATATCACAATGTTAATTATTAATTAAATAATTAATCGATATTAAAAATATAGTTACTTGGGCATGGTTATATTATGGGGCGGGTTTATTACGGGGCGTATTTACGTCATTTTTTATATAAAAGAAATCTTTTTTATTGAATATATGTATAATTCTAACGTATAGTTGAAAAGTGATCGGCGTTTTGTCTTTTGACGAGATTAAATCGAAAATGAATAAAGATGGTCAAATCAATTATTATTAAGTCAATAGAAAAACTATTTGGGTGGTAATAACGTAGTGTCCGATCGATATTTCGATGTCTTTCTTAAGATTGGGATTTCGAATAAATTCATAACACACTATTGCACTACGGCTCATTATAGTGTCGATTTGGGCTAAATTGTAATTCTGCATCTGCATGGTGCTCAAATCCTCTCTAACATTGTACATCCATCGTCCTCTTGGCCTTCTTCTTGATCTCATTGTGTGGCATTCTACACACGTGTCGCACCTCAATCATTGGGCTTTAATCCACGTTGATAGTTCTGGTCCTCCCTGTAGTTCTATTTTCTCAAAGTTTAAACCTGTTTAACAACTTTTGGTGAATTTTATTGAGCGTCCATGTATCAGATTTATACCTCACTACAGGGTGTTAAAACAAGGTGCTTGTTAGAAGTTTGGAACGTAGTAGTTTGCCCATTGCAAAAGCTGCTCTATTACCTGCTAGCTAGTATTTGGGCTTTTATCGTTATCGATGTTTTTACTTTGATTTATGATGGAGCCTAGATATATAAACTGATTCACCAATCTAAGGTTGTTACCTCCAATCTGTATATTTACAGCTCCCTGTTGAGGTAACTTACGTGCTGTTACCATATATCTTTTACCATCGTTTTTAATTATTAGCAAGATTATTCTTCTGCATTTTCAGCAAATCAGGTTCACCCCCTTTTTGAAATTTTCCGTCTTCACAAACAATTTAAGAATGGCCTTCAACAGGTTTCTCAAAACAGATCTCGACCAGGAAGGTTCCTTAGTGCTCATGATGTTCAGAAGAGTCAAAGTCTAGTCAGAAGAAGCTACATTTTGTTGAAAATATAGTTTCAGTAGGAAAGTTCCTTCTATATCTAATTGATTTTTGAGAACTTTAGTAATTAGTAATTTAATAGTATGTCCAACATATCCAAATAGGATTCGCTATTTAGATTTCCATTGATAAACAATCCCTGAATTTTTTCAGGATACTTTCTATAATCAGCTGACGGTTTTCGCCATTCCAATATCTGTAGTTATATTTACAAATCCATGAAAATAAAACGTATATTTATCATTAAAGTAAGTACTTTTTACAAATACATTGTTATTTTTCTGTCAAAATTGTTTCCCTCTTTAGCCATCAAACTCTTCTTCTTCACTTCTTCCTCAATTTGTGATCGTACACTTCTGAACATAGGTCTCTCTCGTCCTCTTGCAGAACTCTCCCTGTTCTAAACAGGGAGAGTTCTGTGCTCCAATCAAATGATGTCTACGGGTTGGTTTTCTTTTCCCAGTTTAATCATTTACACGTTCTATGTTATTATTTTGACACAACAGAGATGATTAAGACGAGATTTAACAAGACAAAGTAGGAATTTAACTTGGGAACAAGTTCAACATGAGCAAGTTTCCACATAGATAGATCAAAAATCAGCAAAGTTTGCTTCATGCTAATAAATGTAAACCAGCGCTGTTATAAGAATCTCTCGCTCCCTCTCTGCACTCATTGGTTGTCCACTCCTCTTTCATATGTGTCTGTTCGTTTGCCCTGGGCCACCTTAAATCATCTACTTCCCGCAATTCTGTTTATGGCGTCTATCCATCAAGCGTGGTCTTGTCTGGCTGCATGATGCCACTTTTCCGTTGGATATTCATTTCTGATTCTAGCTGTTAAGCTGATACCAAGCAAAGCTCGTTGATTTGCTCTCTGGATGACCTTCAACTTTGCACTTTTTTTGGCAACGCCATGGTTTACTTCTGTTAGGATTTCGGTCTAAAAATGAGTATCGATCGGACACTAAGAATAAGTACTTTCATTAATTAGAAAAGTACATTTTTAATCTAAGGAAACGTAAATTTTACGTATTTAAAGAAAAAATTGTTGCGCAGACATTAACACTGTATACAAGTATGTATATCAAAACGAAAAAAAATTTGAATGAAAGAAAGACGATTTTTTATAGGTTAATGCCTGTTTGATAACAATTTTTTTGATATATTGTGCACAAATCGACAATAAATATCAAACAAGATAATAAAACTTAGGCGTAATTAAAAAAAAAATAATTAAATAAGCGTTCTCTATAACTGTGTATACTTTTATAAAAAATAACCTTTTATCTAGGCATTTAAGAGTCGCTACCCCGACTTGATATATTAAAAATTAGTATTAATCAAAAAAATCTATTTTAAATTAATTTTTAAGAATGTTATATCTTGTATATTTGCCCACAAAAAAATAACCCCAAAAGTTTAAAGTTTTTTTTATTATTGATTATTGCGAAACTATAGTTTTATTTGCACCTCTAGTTCGTTTTACGGACAGTAAACTGTCTAAACCTGCCAAGTAGTTATTTAACTCATAATCTTTACATACAGGGTGCGGCAAAATCATGGACTAAATTTGAATAAAACGCTTAGCAATAGTAAATTAATTTGTTGATGACGTCATAACTTAAAAACAACATCCTAGTACTTAGGCCAGACTAAGTATGCCAGTACCATGTCCATAAATTCTTCGTTAGCCATATTGTACGTCATAATTTTTATAAGCTTTAAAGTTATTACACCATTTAAATGTCACAATGACACAAGCGTACTTAAACAACAGTTGCAACCCAATTTATCACCAATTAGTCATTATTTATCATGAGGAATAAAACCCCAAGTTTATGTGTATAGGTTGAGAATCACCCTGTATATATTTTCTTCCGTGAAGTGTTTATATACATCATATGAGACAGTTACATACTCCTAGCGAAGGATAGTAGGGTTAATATTTGATGGGTTATTTTTTTAAATGGCAAATTTTACAATTTAAAAGTTAAAATGATAATAATAATAATAACAAAACGTCACGCAAGGCTGTTTTTTCATAACTGACAATAAAAAAAAATGAACGATAACATAACATATATAAATACTATTATATTTAAAAATAAAATGTAGTAGCTCTTAACATATCCGTGGTTTCCGAGCGATTTACAATCTTAATTTGAAAAGGTGCTATTTTAAATGAAAAAAAAAGGTCAATTAATTTAAAGATTTGTTTCGTTTCTAAAATTAAATTTTACTTATACAAAACCTTTTCAAATCAAGATACTAACATTTATCTTTATATAACTATACACCTTAACCTTAACGAATAGTATTATACTCATATAGTTGAGCTTTTGAAATGTTTTACGTGATCTTGTAAATAACGTAATTACACTATTATTACTAAAAATAATAAAAAAAGAGTCGTTAATTTTTACATTTTACTTTAATGAGTAGGTTGTAGAATTTTCGATGGAGCTCCAAACTTGTTTCGTTCGATTGTGATCGGGTTGATTGTTTAATAAATTGTTAAATAACGGTCGTGTAATGTTGAAAATAATTCTAATAAGGTTGAGTTCAACATTGGAGTGCCTTTTGTATCATAATCTCCACGATTTTTCATTTTAAATGAATCGAACTTTTTGTTTTGTAAAATTTAAAATCATCTCTATGTCTATACAGCTGTTTTAAAGGTTTTACTTATAAATAAACTTGATGTGAAAAAATATTTGTCTTTTTTTAATCATTATACATCATTGTACCAAAACTTTTTTGAATCCTCCGTACATGTTAAAATAGCAAAACTCTAGTGGTGCCATCTGTACCGAACGTTTCGAAATATAAAAAAAAAATATTCAAATATATATTTATTATTTATATTAAATAATTATTAATAATCTTCATCTCAATCATTAATAAGTACATGAGATATATTATAATTATTTCGTTACTTTTTAGTCATCTAAATTGACAGAAAACAAACGTCAAAATTTATAGGTTATGTACCCAATCAAATTAGTTTTCAAATTATTCTCCCAATAAATACGAAAACATTAATATTAACGTATTTAGAAGATGAATACCAACTCCTTCGTAGGCGATTGGGAGGTAAGTCACCATTAAATAAACCCCTAAAAAGAATTAACCTCAACCCAAGCCCTAAAATTTATTTTTTTTAAGGTGGTTACATACGGACATATTAACGCCCCTGAAATACAATCGGGACTCGAAGGGTTTTTATTTCGATTTAATAAATATTTCTTTTCTATTTTGATTTATATTTTAGTGTTCGATTTAGGTTAGATCGTACCGGTGATGTTATTTGGACCGTTTCCGATGAATTAAAAAGCATCCCGCTGTTTTGGTGTGATACTTATGAAGTAGATTACAGCATATTAAGATTTGGAGCCTATGCGGGTCATGTTATTGAATTTAATGTGGAACCGTGTATTCCAATAGATATGATGATATTACGATGCGAAGGTTGGTGCATCATGCAATGTAACAGAATTGAAAATGAGCCCCCTGAGAAGTATATGATGTTACCCTTTGTACTAATGAAAGCTTTAGATGAAGGATACTTCTCCGATTTAACAATCACTGCTTCTAATAATAAGAAGGTATCTTTAAAAAAAATATTTTTGAGGTTATAATTTATTTTGTGGGTAGTTTGAGGTTCATTCGTGCATTTTACAACTTCTCGCTCCTGATATATTATGGGAAAGTGATCCTTCTCCATTTACTGGGATTGAAGAGCCAGTTATTAACACAATTTTGCATTATTTGTATATGGAATGTTTACCAAGTGATGAAGATAAACGTACGATTGAAGCTGTTCGAGATGTTTCAAAAAATTATCCTTGTTTAAGTAAACTTGTTGATATGTGCGAAATGTATATTACAAATATGGCTTTAAAACAACAAATTAACGAATTAATGAACGATCTTCATAATAGTATGGATCAAATTATTGATTATTTTACAGCAAAAAATCCAAATACATCCCCCGATTTAGTAACAAATCCTGCAGAATTATGTTTCGTCATAAAACAATCTATAAGAGATATCGCTGTTAGTAAGTACAAACGGATTTATTGTTATATAATTCATTTAAATTTCCTTTAATTGTGTAGTTGCGGCTAAACTTCTTGTCCTCTGTGATACATTTGCAAAGAGAAAATCAGTTTTAACAACAGATGAAAGTAACAACATCATCAGTTATGCCAAATCAAGATTACCAATATTTTTATTACAACTTGAAAGGTTATTGCAAGCTTTGAAAGTTACTTTCAACAAAATGACTGTTGCACAAAAAAGAGAATTAGCTGTTTATTTAGTTCCGGAGGTAAAAATAAAAAAAATCTTTTTTTGAGGTTAAAAATTTGAATTGTGAAATTAAAATGTCACTTTGACAGCAACAAATATTTTAGGTTAGAAATTTCATTTCACATGAATTTTGATATCAATAATAATATGGAATCTCTTCTTTTTATTTAAAATACTGGTAATCCATTATCACTTTATATTAATACAATACAACATCAAAACTTTATAATCAGTGATAAAATCGATTTTTTCAAAAATCATCTTTAGAAGAAAGCAACTATAAGTTTTATAATGCAAAATCATTTATAATAACGTTTAAATAATAACTTACGTCAATGTAAAAGAAAAGGGAATAATACTGAGTCAGTTATAAGCATTTTTAAAAACAATTAACCACATTGTAACACTAGATATAACCTCAAACAAAATATCATGTTGTAATATATAATATAATATATAAAGTGATAATGGATTACTAATATTCTAAATAAAAAAAGAGATTCCATATTATTATTAATATCGAAATTCATGTCATTAAAAATAATTTGAGAAATGAAATTTTTAACCTAAAATAATTTTTGCTGTCAAAGTGACATTTTAATTTGACAATTCAAATTTCTAACCTCAAAAAAGATTTTTTTAAGTATAAAGTCTATTATACTTTATTATCTAGTATTATATACTTTTCTTTTAGGTAGCATCTTCATTAAATTTATTGGTTGTGATAACTGTGGATGTTGAATCGAAATTATCTGAAATTGTTAATTGTTTATTTACGGAAGTTAAAACGAATGAAAAGAAACTTTCTGCAGCTGATGTTATAGGGAGATCTTTAAAAAACGTTTTACATCGAAGAGAAATGGTGAAATTAACCGACATTCATTATCAAATTAAAAAAAATATTCAGATGTTTATGAATTTAAAGTAAATTCTATAAAAAATTCTTTCATCCTAAACAATTTCTGTATTTTTATATTTTTTTAAAGGAGTGGTTTTAATTCGTATACAACAAATCAAAAAATAACTGCTATATCTCGAAATTTGGATTATCTAATAACCGAGTTGAGGTTTTTTTTGATACGTTTGGACGAGTTTAAAATTGCATTTGAAGAAAAATTTCATTGGGGTGAATTTAAATATTCATTTAAATTGCTTACTAGTGAAGTTGTGAGTTTAAATTATTCAAAAAATAATTTTTTTTTTAATAAACAATTTTTTAGTCTGGTGTTCTTCAACAATTAGTCGCCCATAAATCAATCGTGTTAAATTTCATCCAAGATTTATGCAACAAAGTACAACGTGAGGCATTTACTCAATGTTTTCGAACTTTAGGACTTTTAGATCAAGAAGAAACTTCGTCAAGCGATTTAAATTCAAGTTTAAATGTTGGAAAATTTATTTTAAATTGAAATATTTGTTATTGCTGTCTTATTTTAGTTGGGATTAAATTTACTTGAATCGTTTTGTTTACCGCCACCACCAACAAAAAGCAATTTGGGTAAAATGGCTATGCAACTATTTTTAAATGGCACAAAAACTGATATGGAATTTGAAGTAATTTGTTCCCCCGTTTCCGAATTAGACGATTTAGAAGCGAATCAAGAAGAAAAAGTAATTATTCCAGCTCACAGAGCAATTGTCGCCTCTAGATGTGAATGGTTCAAAAAGGCTTTAACATCGGGAATGAGGGAAACAATCGAAAAGTAACATCATAATTATTGTAATTAAATAATTATTAATTCTTCGTTTTTTTAGAAAAATTACGATTCATGATACGAATCCAAATATTTTTAAAATCTTCCTCGAATATCTTTACAGCGGCATTTTAAAGCCAAGCCAATTAAATAATGAGCAATTAGCTGAATTATTACTGCTAAGTGATCGTTATGAATTGGATTCCTTAAAAGTGGCATGCGAATATGCTCTTCAATCAAATATCGATAATGAAAATGTTATGTCTTTGTTGAGTATTGCAGATCAATTCACAGGAAAAGTTTTAAAGGTTTCAAAACAGCTAAAAATTTTCATTTCGATTAAATATAAACTAATACTAATTTATTTCTTAGAAACGTTGCTTAAGTTTTATATCAAGAAATCATCAATCAATTGATCGCGAACTTTACTACGAACTACCAAACGCCCTACAAGTGGAAGTACTTCAAATTATCAATTCGTCGAAACCAAGACCTGATCAAATGCGGGTTAGAACTGGTCTTTGCTTTTTACAGAAAGGAATATCAAGTTTACGTTTAAATCAGGTATCTGATTTTGAATTGATCTTTTTTTTATACAGCATTTTTAATTTTAATAGAGTCATTCTGAAGAAAGTTCTGATGAGGAAGATTTATCTTTGGAAGGTGAAAGACTGGATGTGTGCATTGCGCAGTTAAGGGGTATAATTGGAGATACCGCCCCCAGAGATCGATTGGTACATATTGTTTTAGCGGCTGATTTTGATTTGTGCAGGGCGATTAATTATTTTTATTCGCGAGATTATGAAGATGAGTAACATTGTTTTTACAAAAACTAATTTAAATTATTAACAAATCTCGTTTTACTTTATTTATTGAAAATGTATTTGCATTTCTTAATTATTTTTTAAAGCAGATATTAAATTGTGATTAAAAAACATTTAACTCGAAAAAGTATTTAATAGATGTAATTAAAAAAAAAATAGAAAATAGCAAAAAAAAAATAATAAGAAAATATCTTTATATTAATTAAAAAATATTTTAGTTATTCATCAAATTTTAGTCAATTTTTAAATAAAATTATAATCGTGATTAAAAAGACGATAGAAAATATTTTTCCTCCTTGAATTCACCTTTTTCTTGTGAGTGTGCGTTGTTATTCATAAACGAGTTATCACGTTTCATGTCTAAACTAATAATTATTACATTTCACAAGTCACAAATTGTGTTTATTGAGCACCTTCAGTATTTGTGCTAATCAGAAAAAAAAATTACAGTAAAAGAAACCTTTGATGTTGTTGTTGAAAATTATTATAAAAAATACAATTTTAATCCACATAGTTTTAAAATGATTTATGATTATAACAAAAATAAACCTTTCTTATCCTTCACATCCATTATTAGTTACGTTATAAGTTGTTTTTAGTGGTTCTGAGGTATACTGTAATTACATATTAACTTTATGCACGCATAAAGTTTCTCTTTTGCAATTATGGCGTGTATTTCAACGATATTGCGGCCTGATTGACAGAAATCAATATTACGTAAAGTAACACCGCGTGGTTTGAGATACAGTAAAACCTCGATATATCGGAAAAAATATTTTTAAGTCATATTATTTATATTATCTATTTAATATATCAGTATATTTATATATAACTATTCGCGCTTATAGTTGGAATCCAACTTGAGTTATTCCCCATTGCTCTATTCCAAGTTCAAAGATAAACCCGAGGTATTCCCCGAGTTGTCTCTACGATATATAAATTAAGGACTGTGGTTCTAGTTTTAATTGTTATTCAGCGGTAGATTGTTGTATATTTTTATTGAACTAACAATAAGAGTGGGACTAATACTTAGCCGTCTTAAGAGATGTGCGTCCTCAGACTGCTTTTCTTAATTAAACAGTTTGATTATGAAAGTTATGTATTTTTCTTTTATTGTTATTTAATTATAATTGAAATCATTCATCTGGCCAACCTTGGTGTGCATTAGCTCTGAGTGCAAATGTGGCAGTTTTGCATCACAGTGTATGGGTCGGTTTAGATTCTACCTTCCTTGGCATAAATATAAAGCCACGTAGACTGAACGCAATGATATAGATAGCTGTCAGAACTTGTGTACATTTAAATTATTCATATAACGGACACTATTCCCCGTATTAATCAGTTATATCGAGGTTTTACTATAATATTAAATGTAAAAAATAAGAAATATTAAGAACAATTCAGAAAAAGGTATCTATATATTCATGTTCTATGATGTTCAATTTCTTTTAGTTGCGATATATACAACTCGAAATTAATAAAAAAAATGTATTGATTTAAATAGAAAAAAAAATCTAAAATCTTTTAGAACGGTACCAAACATTTTATTTTATAAATTCGATTAGTTCAAAATCCGATTATTTCAACATCCGGTCAACAGACAACATCCGCTTTTAAATTTCGATGGTATCTCAGTTATTTATGATGTTGTTTTCGAAATCGTTTTTTATTTTCTAAAAAATAATGATTTTAATATTTTTGTAGACGCAATAATCAATAGGTCGATGAAAAATTGATTACTACTACATACTTGGGTAGTACTACGTCGAGGTTATTATATTTTCCCCGATTCAATAATCCCAAAGATCCCAAAATCTATTGAAATTGTCGTGAAATAGAATTCTCAAATTTCTCCTCCACATAAAAGAAGGATTGTACAATCTAAATTAATCTAGGTATTCAAGAAACGAAGTCTATTTTGCGAGGTAAAAATTGAATTGTAATTCTTTTTTAATTATTAATTTTTTTTTTGTTTTAGTATTCCGAAGAAAATTAAGTTGTATATTCAACAATCAAGAGAAAGAAGTTGTGCTTTACCTCAGCTTTTTTTTCATTCTCCGTAGTTATTCGCCACCATATCGGATCAATAATCCTCCTCCTAGGTCCGGGGGACACCGAAGCTGCCGGGCGAGGAGACGAGGAGCGACCGGGACGCTTGCGCGTCGCGACGCCGCCGCTTCCACCACCGGCGACGACGCCTCCACCGTTACCACACTTTTCCATTCCAGTCCCGGGCGACACCGAACGAACGTCGTCGACGTCGACGCGTCCCCTCCCCCCGACGAGCCAGTATCGTTCGTCCCCCCCCGCGGACGTTCGATGTGGCCCTCGCGTTTACAGCCGTAGTAGTAACTAACCACCGTCGTCGGCACAGCAAATCGATCGATTTTTAAATCGAAGCATTATTACTTCCGTTTCTAGTCGATTGCTAAAAAAAAAGAAAATAAAATAAAAACGGAAAAACGCGCGACTCCGCGACGACCACCCCTTAAATTAAACGATCTCAGTGCATGGTGTAAGATAGAGTGGCCTCGGATGATGCCCGTTCGACGATTATCAGGTGGGTACTAATGATAGTGTTAAGAATAACTTGATCAAAAAGTAATTGTTTGATTTATAAGGATTTAGACACAAAACAATGATTTGTATCAAAATTAATTTCTTTTAAACGAATTTTTTTATATAGTCTGTGTAACGAGAAAATTATTGTAATTTCAACATATCGCTACTTATTTCTTATGGAATCGTATTTATGACTCATTATAAATTAACAAATTCCAGAATGATAAGGAAACGTTGGCTATATTGAGAGTTTGACACATTGAACTGTCATTCCACAGGTTAGCGTTTGCAGATTCATTTCATACTCTCCCAACTTCATTTAAAAACTAGGAACAGTTATAAACAGTTGTAAATCATCGTGACAGGTAGGTAAATTTCTTCTACCTTCGGTTCTTTAGACAGGAATATTTGTGTTTTCAAACGTCAAAAGTTAGTAATAGTTGGATTTGAACAAGGTTCTAAACTAAAATATATGTATCTCAACCTAAAGCATACTCTAAGATATTTGTGCTTGATTTGTTTTGTTTTATGTAAAAATAAGACAAGAAATAAAGAAAAGTCTCACTGAGGTATACAAAGTCTGGAAAAGCCTAATTACTCCTAAATGGGTAATTTGTGTCACGCAAAATTTGGGACAAATTTCAAAACAAATCACCGTTTCTTGGTAAACAAATGACAAACACCTCAACACATTTATTATACATACATCGTCTTCATTGCAAATTTCATGTTCATTACTTTCCGAGTCAAAATCTTCGAGATTTATGATGAATGGAGGAAAATCTTTAAAGAAAAGAATTACCTATATGAACGTGCCAGTCTTTTTCAATCAACTTTTCAACGTGATTTGTTTCATACTTCTGCTATACAATTTGAGTCAGTATGCTATGTCTTTTTTTGTCTTGGAAGGAAATGGTTAATTCATTATGCTGACAATGATAAGGAGCAAGTAACTTATTATATCTTTTGTTTTGTTTTGCTGCAAAAGTTACGCGATTATGAATCAGATTTTTGCACTGCTGTACAAAACAATATTGGAGAAGAAGTTATCGAGGAAGATATGTTGCAATGGTTAGAAATACTTCAAGTCTAAGCGAGAGTCTAAATGAAATAGCAGGAAGTAATGATGGTGGAAAATGAGCTTGAAAGCGAGAAAGATGAAACAAGGTTAAAGGTAAAATTATCAACCTCCAGTTCACTTCTCGACGATGTAAGAAGATTTATCAGATATTATTACGCACATTTTCGTAATTTTAAGGAGTTAATTTAAAAGCATCATTCCTAAAGATGAGCTTTTATGATGATTAACATATTATGCATCATCAGTGAATGAACCGACTGTCTCATATATGAATCTCAATATTCACCTAACTAACTCTCTTCTTTACTTTCCAAAAGTAAGATATTTTTGGAGTCTTTTTTGTTTCTATATTTTGTAATTGTAGGTAACTGAAAGTTTCAGATATCATCCAATAGTTTTTTTTTAGCAGTGGAATAATATAAAACCATCTGGTCCTCCCTGTTTATACCCGACATGAATTGGTTGTAGTCAGCGACTATATTTAGTTTCATTTTCTCATTACCATTTCTATTTGCCACGGGAGTAAGTTCAAATTTATAGCAGGTAGAAATGACCAATATATCTCTTTTATCTCTCCATTTTCCGACAACGATATTCTCTCGTGTTGTCCATATTTATTACTTCTCATTACTTCTGTTGGGTTCCCCTTTCTGTTGATTCGAAAAGTACCAACTAAATATGTTCTATTTCATAGCGTATCTTCTACAAGTTCTAATCTTTGATGAACTGTTCCTTTCCCAGAATAAATAATAATAATTAAAACATTGCCATTTAGTGTACACAGTTTATAAAACCATATTTGGCAGTTTTATTTGGAATATATTAACACACTTTTAACCCTCGGTTATTCACGTGGAGTTTTGTAACGTGCTTAGTCACACTAGATCTGCTGGACCTATAACTAATAATTTTAGTTTTTGATGTTACTTGTAGAGTTACATAATTTGCTGGTGGTGGGGACAAAATTATTCTGTTTAAACGGCCCTTTACGTTGCTGATTGCAATAAATTTCTATATTATAAATGTATGTATATCTTAACATCGCTTAGACACAAATTTTTTTCCATATTTATTTTTCTTTGAAGGAATGTACTGTCTAAATCATTTTCCTCGAAATACTGGAATCATTTCATTTTTCACAAAACAAGTAAATATATCTCTTATTGCAGCTAATTTATCTTTTGTTGTTTTTCTTTGAAATCGGGATGCTTTTCCATCAAAACGAATACATCATATATACGTTTCTATTCCGAAGCTATCGGTTGACCAAAAATCCTCAAAGCTTTGAAGACCGCCTCGAAATACTCCCGCTAAATATAAAAGACCGAGAATAGCTTCAATTTCTACACGATCGGTTTCTTTACGTCTACATCACGGACAAACCTTTTCTTGATCATCGGAAAAGAGTCGCCGCCAACAGACAATTTCGTTTTTTTGTAACCCGATGCAACTGACCGGTAAATCCCCTGATTCATGGGAAAGTAGTGTGAATTTCGAGGTATGAATTTGTGACAGACGACTAAATGAGTATTCTGAGATGTCACGGGAATTTAGCGTTATACTTCAACTCGTTTTTGCAATTCATACGATGTACTAACCCATAGGTCTTGGGGATCTATAAGTGACTAAGAAGGATTAATATTACAGTGCTATAAATCTGGATTAGAATTTGCCTACATTATCATCCCAACTATGAGTCGTTTGTGTATTTAGAGAAAACCAAATTCAAACCCAATCATCCAAACACCCTCCATTTATCCATGTGTTACCAAATTCTCTTTCATTCTGATTATCTTAATCCTCTGCTAACCAAACTCCAACACCATCGAGGATATAGAGTCGATGATTAATGGATTGACTTGTAAATCATTTTACATCGTCAAAATTTCATTCAGTTCAACCTCAAAAACTAATAAAATGTTAATAATTGTAAATCATACTATCAATATCATCTACATCAGCAAATTTAAACATAAATGTTAACACTCATAGATAGAATCCAACTTGGGTTATTCCTCAAGTTGCTCTATCCCATTTTCATAGATAAACTCGGGGTATTCTCCGAGTTATCTATACGATGTATAAATCAAGGACGGTAGTTCTACTGTTAGTTGTTATTCAGCGTTAAAATGTTGTATATTTTTCATTGTTATTCAGCGCTGACGTCATGAACGGGCCTTCGAGCTATGCACTTGTTCCCAGGATATAAAAGTCCTTTATTCTACCATCTTTGGTATAAATATAAAGCCAGGTAGACTTAACGTAACGGTGTAGAGCTGTCCGAATTTGTGTGCATTAAAATTTTTGACATAACGGACACTCCTTTTCCCGTATTAATCTGTTATATCAATAACATCACATAATTAGATGTATTAAAATTGTTAACTGGTTTCATCTATTGTATCAAATAAAATCTAATTTTATTCTTGCAATATACTTCTAAAAAGAGAAAAAGGAATTATTCTTTTTTGGGGTAACAGCATCACGATTGACGAGAGCAACTTAAATGTTTTATGTTTACCCATCTCGTCCCAAGTTTCATATCCGGAGGCCATCAAGTTATTTTTATCGTTCATAAAACTGTTCTGCTGAAAACCATCTCGCGATCGTTAAAATCGTCGATTTTCTTGTTACCATCCCACATTCGAAGCATTACACACAACGATTACTTATATAAAATAAACCACTGAAAGCAAAGCTTTTGAATTATTGACAACCGTTGAAAACTATTGATCACATCTTTCAGTTTAACATAAATATTTTATTTATAGTGCTAGATTGATTTTTTTTTACTTTAATTAATGGTTTTTGAATTAAATTCAATTACAAAGTCAGGTTAGTGAAAAGTTCTTTTTAAAGTTTTGTTAGTAATCGTGTTTTTAAAAATACCTTTTTTATCAATAAAAATCTCTTCACATGTTCATCATAAATCGTCATCAATGTGTCAAAGATCATCTCGTTTCTAATTAATCACAATTAATTACTAATTATTATACAATAATGATTAAATCGATAATCATCATCATCATTTACGCATGAAATAATAAATCATTTCAGGATAGGCGACGTTTTCACCTTCACATATCAATCTGCGAAAGTAATAATAATAATAATTTATTTTATTTTGTTTGAACGTGACGTGTACGAAAGGAGAACGAATTATTTATCGCTGACGTCACCTGGATAAATTTACTGTACGATAAATACTCTTGGGGGGCCTTTGACGTTTGTGAAAACCCGCTGTTGCACTTCCTACGTTCACTTTCCTATTAAAACGTGAAATTGAGGTAGCGATGCGTCAGCAACAACTATGATGTGTAGGAAGTTTCAATGCAGCTGACAATTTAAGATAACAAGAAGAAGGATTTAATAGAACAAACAGTAGCTTGTAGGAAATTTCCGAATGACAGATTCGGGTTAATTATTTTCATGAGAAGTGTAAAAAAAGCGCTTGCACCGACCAGTTTATTTACAACGAATCTGAAGAGTGTGTTTTCTCGAAACTAAAATACCATCGGGTTATTTATAAACCGTGGGTAAATATTAATGTAAGGAGAACTTACCGAGAGTGTTTCTGCGATTTTACGTCCAAAATGTGTGTACGTTTCTCTTAGTTTCCTTTTTGCGACTTCTAAAACTAAAGTTTTAATTAAAACACTAACAATGAGATAACATAAATGACAATTGAGGTTATGTAGTACGAGTAAAATGTGTTACCATGGCAACAAATTTAAATCGGTAGTACCAATATTAAAATTTAAAAAATAACAGAAGAATTTTGTTATAAAATGAATTTTTAAAGAAATCTATTACATTTAATATTAAAAATAAGTATTTCTCAATTTTTTTTAATGTAACACGATTTTTAACGTAATCTCAATTATATAACAAAATAATTACAGAAATTTAACTTTTTTGAATGTTTAATTTTTCTAACAGTGGTTGCGCCCATAACCATTTTTAGTTCAAACTTGAAACGTGTTCACTCAATGATTTAACTTGAATTAGTTATTAATTAGTAAATATGTAAGCACTTTAAAGTTTTATGTCTCAATATCGGTAATAATAGCTTATTAGACGACACCTCATTGTTTATATTCCGCACATCGCACCTTCGCGGTTAACCTCCAAAATTTGACAGATAATGTCAAAAATTGTTTGTTAATCCTTTGTTAAGGTCGGAGTATCCAGAAAATACCTGCAAGTATGTTTTTTAAAGTAAATCAATCGGTTAATGTACCCATCTCAAAGAAATTGACATGATGATCGAACTGTCCATATCCGGAGCTAGGTACTTGCGACGTCCATTCATCCGGAAACTTCCGTTTTCGCTTGATTTCTTCCGTCCGTAACCTTTTTAGGGCACGCCATCAATTTTAAAATTCAACAATTTCAACAAAAGTATTACATTTCATTATTTTTTAATTTATTTCTATTTCTATTTTGCGATTATTGGAAGATTTATTTACTGCCGCTTCTCGCATTCCAACCGCTAGCGGTCCTTATCATTTCAATCATCTTCCCCCAGTCCTCTCCTCATTGACATCCTGGATCCATTTTTTCCTAGGGATACCTCTTTTTTTTGTTTCTGCTGGCACCTAGTTCTATAGCTTAAGTGGGATTCTCTCTTTACTCATTCGGCGTACATGTCCATAGCATTTTAGTTGCTTGTCATTTGTAGAGTTTATTATTGAGTCCTCTCGAGTGAACTCGGTCCAGCATGGTTATGCCGCAGCACTTCTCCAAAACATTATCTCTGTCAGCAGTCTTCGAGTTGTGTCTTTGTCTCCCACACTTCTGACCCATACGTCATTAATAGTTCTATAATGGCCCTACAAATATTTTGCGTTTTTTGTATCGTTAGGTTGTTATCCAATTGTATGTCCCGTTCCTCCAAGTTTCAAGTACCATATATTAGGTCTTATCTTTGTTCATTTCTAAGTCCCATTTATTGTATTCTTCTTTTAGTTTATTTAACATATACCTCATATCCTCTTCGTCTTCTGCAAAAACTGTTTGGGCTTCCACGAACAGCATGGTGTGAATGTATCTGTCTCCTACCCATATTCCCATCGGGTTGCATTTCCTTTTCCAATGTTTTAGGGTTGAGGATATAGATTTTGAATATTGTGGGAGAGTGGGAGCATCATCCCTCTCCCTCAATATTAATTTATTAAAACAATTAAAAGGAGCCATTATAGTAAAGTTTCGTTTAAAACTATAAGAGGACCCTCGTTAATGTTCACTTTGAACGTTATATCAAAGTTTCTTTTGAAAGAGACACAGGGAGCAATTAAAACCAAACGAACGATTAAGGATAATTGGTGTTGGCATATCAATATTCCGGTGAAATTCTTGTGATCTTCGTTGAGCATTTTTAGGTTAGGACAACAAAGAACGGAAGAACCGTCGAGTTTGGCATTGTTACCAACTTTATTTTAGCGTGACGTGTATACAAGAAATAGAGAAAATCATTACCACAGAGAAAATGTACAATGGAACCGTGTGTATTAACTCTTTGACCTACATTTTCCAGGACCGTAATGGATTTTCCCTTATAAGGTAGAAAAACCACTTTCCATTTCGGTCGATTTCGTGTCTAAGTGTTATCATCAGAATACAAATGTCAAAGTTAAAAAAGTTAGGTTATGTTAATAATTTTATAGTTTAATTTTTTTTTACAATGAAATTATTCTTTGTTATTTTTGGTTCGTTGGAGATGTTCGGATTATTTTCGCCCCCCGAAAAATGACTGCCCTCAAAAGGGCGATTTATCATCCGTATTTGCTCGGATGGAATGCGAAGAATTTTTTTTTGTCATCATTGCTGAACATCACTTTGCGGGTGCCTTTAGGAAAAGTGATTTATTGGTCAGCGAGGGGGTGCAATCAATCTTTAAATTCAACGTGCGGTAAATTCATTGAACCTAACATAACCTCAATTTTAAAAAATGATGAAATTTATTTTTAATTTTAGTTTTTTTTTGTGTTTTATTCAGGAAAAGAGATCTTTATCTTGTGCATTTTTCTTTGTAAAATCTACGTTTTCAGTGTTTTTTACGATTTAATACGTTTTTATTGGAGGTTAATAAAGTAAATAATATATTAGCCAGAATGCACGAAGAAATGCAAAAGCTTGTTAATAGAATAGTTACTGTAAGCGAAAAATATGAGCAAAACAAAGTACATGGTTATGACAAAAACAACAAAAACAATAATAAGATAGCTAGGCACAACGATTAATGATAACAAGGACAGCTTCCAAGACGTGCCCATTAAATTGAACAGGCTAGAAGAATGCTTATTGAAATGAAGAAGCTTTTTTTGTTATCGGAATCTAAGTGTGGAGTTGAGAGTGAGAATGTTGAGATGCTATCGGTACTGTTCTACGGAGTGGAAGGCGATTGAGACATGGATATACCGACGAATGTTAAAGATTTCATGGGTAGAGAAAGTGATCAACGTGAAGGTGATGACACGCATGCAGAAAGATAGAGAGTACTGACTTTTGCGAATTATTATGCAGGGAAAAATTCTGGGAAAGAGGTTCATATCAAGAAGACGTATCTCTTGGCTGAGGATCCTTTGGAAATGGTTTGGCTACACCAACAACGAACTATATTTAATCAGATCCATGGTCTCAAAAGTTATGATTGCCAACCTCCGAATCGGAGACGGTACTTAAAGAAGAAGAAGAATAAAGTAAAGAAGAGAAATTAGTTTTACATAGCAAATTTACGTTGAAATCAGCTAAATTTTGGCAATAATATCGAAACAAGCTTTATAAATTTTATTCGTTTAAATTTTTTTATCACTCTATTATATTTCACTTTTACTACCCCCGAAGCAACACTACACACTTTTCGCAACTCGTCACATTTTTATCAAACGATTCATAAAACCCATTTAACGACATCGTTAATGTTTTACGTTCTCGTACATTAACACTTAAAAAAATAGATGAAATGGTTCAATTAAAAAATTTTTAAAACATGTTCAAACACGATAGATTTATCAGAACCTGATTTTTTATTTTGTTTGATTTCAGTGCGTATGTGGGGGTGACTACAGGAGTGATGGGGCGGGGGCAAAGCCCCATGGAGCTCGGCTAGGAGCGTGTTGAGGGCAGCCCGGCCCCTCTGCTCCTTAGCCGAACCCGGCCGACTTATGGATCCGGTTGGGGATCGGTCGTTAAGGCCGAGCGCCTTTGATAAGGTAAGAATTTAAAACTTATAATAAAAATTAATAATTAAGGTACAATTTAAATACAAAAAATTATGTTATGTTTTCCTTTGAAGTGAATACTTCAAAAGATAATTTTACTTTCGACAACCCAAGCTCATAAACACCCACGATGACGTAACGCGTCGTTTCAGAAACGAAAATGAATCGTTCGGTTTTTCATCATTTCGTTACATTCAAAGAGAAAGGAAGTAAACTGCGTAAACAAATAAATATTGAATTGAGATTCGATTTTCCTCGGGAAAGATGCCAAAATTATATTAAAAGCACTATTTAGGTTGGATATATAGAGTATTTCGAAAGGAATTGTGGTAAATTCTCCCCGATTTTTTATTTCCACTACAATCACGCTCATAAATATTTATACACTTTAATCCTTGTCGCCCTTTCAAAGTGAATCCAATCACTACCCAGGTTTTCAACTCACCTTCTCCCAGTTGACTTTGAGGTGTAAATTTGTCGAAGTTAATTAAGAGCTGTTGTGAAAAGTAGTCACTCACCCGTATGTACATAGTAAACTAAGGTGGTTTCAATACATTTTAATATAATACAATTTAGAGAAAATGTTAAAAATTTGATTCTAATTTATATTCAATTTCGGAATTTATTGTCATGTTTAACAAGAATTTGTGAAACGTAATAAACCTAAATTACGTTCCGGTTAATACGTTTTAAATTTATGCGAATTTGGAGCTATATAACAACTCGTATGTTGTTGTTGGATGCTTTGTGACCTAATTTGAAATTTCCATAAGGATTTATCACGTGGATTTGCGGTAGACACACCACACCAGTATTAACAATCTCTAAAATACAACGTTTTATGTACGATTTAAAATTACATTTATCGTATTAATCAAACTTTAATCACTTGCTAAACACGTTTTGAATTGTAAAACAGACTTATGAATCGTACACGCGGACGAGTTCATATTCATGAATTGAGATTCATTTTTTTTGCTGGCACCGAAACTAATCCGAGCTTCATAGCAAGTTGCACTCGGCCCTGAAACTCGCGGTAAATTAGTCGTTCCAAGCCGGCACACGAGCTTAAATTAATCCTGACGAACATTGCAAGGCACAAATTAGCTTTCTACGACCGTTAGCGGATGTCATCGGTGACGATGATTGGCTATAACTTTTCGCTCCAAACGAAAAATACAAAGAATACTTTGAATTTTGTGTATTGATTAATGCAATCTAATAGTTAATGGGTTGTTGGTAACGATGGGTGGGTAATAAGTAAACGGACCGAATGGGATAGTTGCCAAAGTGTTAGTGGTGAAATAAAATGGAGATCCAAATTTCTATGGAGGTTCCCTCGAGGAAAGGGCTTTGGTAACGGCGCTTGTTAAATTTATGGGGTAGACTCTAATGGAACATTATTCACGCTCTTAACTGGCTCGGATTTTCAAAATGAATTGTGAATTGCCAACTTATAATTTTCGGTAAATATAAAAGATTATCGAACTTTCGTTTGGTAATATTTTTTGTAAGAATAAATAATTGCCCACTAACAAGATACGCAAAAACCAACCTCCAACGGCAAAGCTTAATCAATGCGCTTATTGCGTAATCAGAGTCAACGTTAGTCATTTGCATTTTTTGATGGTTATTGACGGCATGGATTTAGGTGTAAAAGTTTGCGAGTTTTGAAAAGGTCTAAGAAATACCAAAATGAAGGTTGAAGAAAAAAAAGCAACATCAACTCCAAAATGACAGAAAAAAACTGGAAAAGCTGTTCTCAACAATTGCAAAATTGCAAAATTTTTAATAGTGATGTAAAATTTGTAATCGCAAGCATGTGAGGATTCGTCATTCCGATAAACGGTTGGTTCCGACCAGATGAGAACGATTCCAACGTCATTCATTCGCTTCGTCAAAATCAAAGTCTCTTTATGTCCAAATTCATACTTTTGAAAAAGACTGCGTATTGAAAATTGAAATTGAAATGAAAGTTATGGAAATTTGTTAGTAAAGGCAATAATGCCTTTGACACTTTAGGACAAACGTGCTTAATTTTCATATTTTTTTCGTTTTTTCTTAGAACACATATTTCTTAATCATTTTGAAAGATTAAACACTATCCACATAGGAACAACTTATCACCCGTTAAATTGCCCGCTGTCTTAGACGACCAAAACTTTTAATTTCTGAAACTATCTCCCTGAGAGTATCAACTCCGTGAGAACTTCCACAACTAAGAACTTGATAACTTCATCCGTTGTAATAAGTTGAAAATAAAATTTCCCCCGATAGACATAAATTAATGATTTCTTAACATATTCCGTTCCATTATAAACAATCTTATTAGGCTCCAAGAAACCATTTCATTTTTGATACCATCTCCGCATTGGAGATTGCGTGCAGACATCGATCGGTCTCCATCTCTCCTTACGTTTCCACAGCAACTATAAACACGCACTTCGTTCTTTTATGTAATTTCTTAAAATATGTGCTAGAATGTCATTCGTGTGTTATGAATAATCGTTTAATAGATAAAATTGAATCAATATCCCAATTCCAGGGATTTATGATTTTCCCAGATTTTCATCACTGCAACTCTGTGAATTGTGAAATTCCAATCTTACTTGATAACCTGAATTATTCATGTATTTTTTTGGAATCATGTTTTAATTAAAAGGTTGAATTAAATCAAATAAAAAGGGCATCGTTTTTGAACTCATTCCAGAACATTTCTCCTCGCTGTAATTTTACTAACCGCACTTAAATCACGGTCACTGTTCGTTCTTCGGCATCCTCACGCTTAGCAAGGGAATTTTAATTAAAACAGACGGAACATTTCCGTTCATATTCCTCACGTACTCTTCTAGGTTAATTTTCCAGCTATTTCCCGAAAATAACAAATATAACTTTTCTTCCTTCTAAATGTAATTTTATATTATATAACCAATTCAACTAATTGATTAACCATAATGATCTTAATGTATGGAGAGGAACAGATGGTTCTAAATGGGTTGGATGTTTATGAATCTTATCCCGTGGGATGCAACCGGGTTGGAATATTAAATGCGTCGTTATTGAAACACTAGAACCGGAGGGGTTAAAATGGAAGGGTTGCGGTTTGAATGGAATATTGATTGGTCGTGGGAAATTGCCCTCCACGCAATTATCAGCTTATTATCCTCATGAGATATCTGTGAAGTTCGAAAAAAAAAAATTAAAATAAAAAAATTGGCGTCTATCCAAGAAATAAATACCCATTTTACTTCTTCATACACAACACTGCCTTTGGGACATTTAGAAAAATAGAAAAAAACTCATCAAGATTTTTTCCCTTCGAGCTATTTAAATATTTGCCTCTTTTAACACACAAAGAAAAAAAAATATCGAAGCTGTTATGACTCTCAAGGTTTAAAAATAACTTCAACAATCCGGTCGGTTTTTATAATCGCTTTCACAATTAAACCGAAAAGGTACGAAACAGCAACGTGCCAGTAATAATACACAACCGAACCACGTTTTCGTTCGACTTGCTTCCGCTTGAACACAATTCGGTTAGTTCCAAAGCGACGCTAATTACATCCGAATTGCATGCGAAGCTTTGCCTCCATTAATTAATTTCGGTTTTGACTCTCTCTTGGGAATCCTTCCGAAGATATAATTCGAAATTCACTCCTTATTGGAACTCCATCCCCATCATTATATACCTGGAAATTAAACATCATGGATTTCCAAAAATTCAAGAGGGTTTGGTTCACTTCAGCCGCAGTTCTAGCTACATATTCGGCATCAGTGGAGGTCAACGCCACAGATGTTTGCTTCTTTTTTGTTGTGTATAACCGCTCCATAAAGTTTAATTAAATAACCGCTAGTTGATTTTCGATCGTTATCAGTGGCCTAATTAGCATCTTGATATGATATTAGTACTTAGTACTTGATATTAGTCTTCAGACGCACTGCTAAACCCGAAACTTTCTAGTTCTAGGTCTAGTGTTACTTCTAGTTTTAGTTCAATAAAAATATAAATCGTAGTAATATCTTATGCTACCTTCCACTGCCACTAGAATTAACACTAGAAGGAGAGCTAGGAACATTAGGATTTAGCCACACGTCTCTCAAGACGGCTAGTGTAAAACTAGCACTAACACTAGAACTAGAAAATATTGGGTTTAGCCGCCCCCGTATTAATCCGTTATATCGTGGTTTTAGTGAAACTGTCAAATTATATTGACATGTTGAATTTTTGTGGGACACAGTAACTGGTTTTTATTATATTTAAACAAATAGGTAATTAAATTCGTAACTACAGTTTGCTTAAAATCCTCTCTGGTTTTAAAACTCCCGCCAAAAAACAGCTTTGAAAAATTACACTGTGTAAACGTGACTTTTCATTTTACTCCTCCGAATTAAAAAATAGAATATAGATTCGTTTAGTTCGTATGAGAAAACATTTGTAAAAAGCAATTGTATTATTAAACTGTTTTAGAACTAAAATAAAACTGTTTTATTTAAAAGTAAAACCCAACATTATTAATCGTTACAATTCTTTTCAACAACAATTCACGTTGAAATTTTCCATCGCACGTTCATCATCATGCGTCACAAAATGATTACCTAATAATTTTCCAATTTCAGCCCTTCTTTTATTGCATCTGCACTTACATAAAATCGTTATCTTCATCATCATGAGTCTCTGTTTGTTAGCTACTTGGGTGTTTTTAATAGCATGACTTGGAGTATTGTCCGAAATATAAAGAATTTTTAAATTCATATATAGTCTAATTTTTGAGACGATACATTCTGGGAAACTTCTCACAAATATACTTGAAATATTGTTCATTTTTGGTTAAAGCTTTCTTGGTGCTAATTTTATGTGTAAAAATTTTATGTGAGCAGAATGTATGTCCTTGACGCTACTGTGACATTTATATAATATAGTGTTTCGTAAAGCCAATTTACAATCCAAGAAGCTAACCTGATATTTTCAAATCATCACATATCTGCCAACGATCAGCACAATATGTACAGAATGAGTAATAGCCTTTATGCCCACATGATTCTTTATGTTTACATTATTCCAATCCAGTTGTAATTCAACAAGTCAATCCACTTGGACTGGATCGTGTCATTCACATGACCAGTGATTCACACAATCCAGTCACTGGAATGAGTGCATTCCAGTACCGGTTCACATTATTCCAGTGGAATTCCAGCACTGGCATTAAACAAGCTTGATGAATCTTTAAACAGCCTCTATTCATCCTTTTTATATCCAATTCTAAATTCAAATTAGCAATGTCTGAGTAGTATACTGAAGCATTTAGATGTTAGAATATAGAATATGATTAGTTCCTGCTGCTAAAAGTTTTCCTAGGCTCAAATCTTTTAATTGGACTTGAGTAGACAACTTAGGTTCTAAATATTCTGTGTATTTGAAAATCCCATCAGTTTTTTCCTCTGACACAGACATATCACTAACAGCATCTGTTGACATATTGAGAAACATTATTGAAAACTTTTTCTGATTTAGGGGCTTACTGGAGAAATGGCAGGCGAAAGACAAATATACTTTATTGTTTTCTTATTTTTGAATTGTAATCAGTAATGTGAAAGATTCTCCTCTTGACCAAAAGTTTTGATCACAAAGTTTAATTCCAAAGTAAGAGTTATGCATTTTGTAGTTAAGTAGTTAAGACTCTTAACTTAAGAGTAACAATAAAGTGTGATAGCACTAATTTATAAAAATTTATATAATAATTATATTAATACCTTTTTGTTTTTATTTTAGATGGAGGGGCTGGTGCAAGAGATGCAGGATCCAGAGAATGGTGTACCAGTACGAAGTCAGAAGCTTTTTTTAACATCAATACCCTCCGCATTTATGGGTAACGTTTAAATTTTTTATCATAAATTATTTTAAAAAACGAAAATTTAATATTTCATTTATAATTATAATATTAAATAATATAATATATAATTAAAAATAATTAAATATAAATATATAATATATTATAATATTTAAATTAAAATTGTGTCAATTTTTCATAATGACCCAGAAAAAATACGACAATACAATATATTAAATTTATTGAACTGGAATTTATAACCTGAAAAAAAAAATCAGTATAAAATTTCCATCCATGTGAACCTGAAAATAGGAGCTCGGTGCAAGTTCAATCTTTCCGAAAGGAACTTCCTCTTTGTCACTGCAACATCATTATTGATCCCCCTTTGTGTTCTCTTTATGTTCTTCGTCCTTACTAAAACTCAAAATTTGCTTTCCATCGAATCCATTTTGGTTGCGCATTTATAAATAATGGCTAAAAATTTTTTTTTTGTTATATTTTTAATGAAAATTTTAGTGGGAGATAAATTCGTTGCCAACAAATCCATTTACATTTTTCTGGTTAATTTAAAATCTTTTTTTTTATACAAAATCATTTTACCTTTCACGATATTCTAGATAAACTAGATACCGGAGGTCTTCTTCAAGATTACTTCAAGTAAAAGCTTGCTTTTCAACGGAATGCTCGAAAAAAAGGAATACAAAAGGTTATGAAATATGAAACCTGGAATCTCATCCAATTCAAAAACGACATCTTTGTGTGGAGAGTATATTTATTCTAGGTCGGAAAGGAAACGTGAAACTTGAATAATATTTTAAATTAACTTTTTTTTCACTACTTCAGCCAAGTAGTATCTAAGAAATTCATTATCATGATAGCCATCAACTGTTGTAATTAACCCAAAAATTTATAAACTATTATAAGTGGTGTGCTTTATGCATTGAATGGGAGACATTATGATTACGATTATGGTCAACACAACGTTATGTGGTTGTAAAACAAACTAATAATGAGAGATTAACAATGTTATTATTAGAGTTATAAAATAATGTAAGAAAGTTAAGTTATATGTCAGTTTAATTCTGATTATAAAATGTTTGTATAAGAATGTTAAGAATATTTAAGTAAAAAAGCTTAAATATTAATGTTAAATATTGTAAAGCTTTCAGCTAGACTGTATCAAATTCATTTTTTTTTACAACCATGATAAAACTTTTGAAGTATGATATGTTGTTTCAATTTGGTTAAAACATTTTATTGAACTTCATTTCAGTTTTATTTGTCAGTTCAGAATTTATTATGAAAAAAAGAACCTATAGTCGTCTTAAGAGACGCATGGCTAATCCCGAATGTTGCTAGTTCTAAGTCTAGTGTTAGTTCTAGAGACAGTTCTAGGTAGCGCTAGTTAGCACTAGATATTACTATGTTGCATATTTTTATTGAACTAAAACTAGACTAACACTACACCTAGAGCTGGAAACATTCGGGTTTAGCCGTCGTAACAGTCGCACGGCTAAACCCAAATATTTCTAGTTCTAGGTCTAGTAGATTTTTTTCAGTAAAATAAAACTTTGAAACTTCATCCTTCTAAAATAAAGCAATAAATTAGTTAAACAACTCAAATAGATTTTCTTAAATACAAGTTAATCACCACAAACTACGTAATTTGCAAAAACTTTTCCACTTCGTCAATTACCCCGCGACCACCAACAACTGCGTCCATGACCCAAAGTTTTTGAGTTATTTTTTACAATCTGTTTGTACCAGGCACTTAACTATCGTTTTTGTGTTTTCTCAAAAAGCTTTTAAGCATTTAGGTTTAACTTAAAATAATGGGTTTCGAACTCTACGTTCTTCTAATAAATAATCTCCCTTTTTACAAATAGATGAACTTAACAACATTATTCAGTGAATTTGAAATTGTCATCTCTCTGTATATTCCAGTTCAAAATGTTTAATTTGCTTTGACGTATTTAAATTTAGCAATTTATGAAACTCACCGACGCGTATTAACGAATTAATTTTTGTGAAACCGAATTAAACGAAATTAACTGTATGACCAAAATATAAATTATTTACTACAAAAATAACGTGATTTTAATCATTTTTTTTATATATATTTTTTAGGATATGACCTGATTGAGTGGTTAATGGAACGACTTGGAATTGAAGAGTCCGGTATGTAAGACATTAATTCTTAAAAATTCCCTTTCATTTTTCTTTCGTATTGAAATCCATCATAATATTACAAAAGGGGTGTGAAAATGATCGAAAGAAAAACGAAACTGGAAATATATCTTCCCATCAGTCTGTGTTGGCCGGAAAATTATTTTTCTTTCTTTTTTCTTGTTTCAGAGGCCCTAAATCTGGCAAATCAACTCTGCCAATACGGCTACTTTTTTCCTGTCAACGATTCCAAGAATCTCGCCGTAAAAGACGACAGTTCTTTATATAGGTTTCAGGTAAATCATTTTTTTTTCAGAATCTATTTAAATCAATATCGTTAAACTTTCAATCGCATCACGCCACATCAACATTTTAATAAAGTGTTTCGAAGAAAACTCAATTTCTCGAATACAATTCGTAGTCAATAAAACAGAATTTCGTTTGGCATTCAATTTCGGACCGACACTTTAAACCGATTTCCGATTTAACGTCAAGTTTTGAGTGCGAATCGTGTTTGTAACTCAAAACATTTCGCGTATTTATTAAGTTGAGTGATTTTATGTAATACTACATGAATTGATTGATGGGTTCAACTTAGATTATTTTCATTTCAGTCCCCAAACTATTGGCCGTTTCAACATAGACCACCCGATCAAGTCGAATATGCCATTTATTTAGCGAAGAGAACGATGAGAAACAAGCAACGTCACGGTTTGGAGGATTACGAATTGGAAGCGCTTGGAAACCTGCGAAAAAATCTCGTTAACAAATGGGAGTACATCACAAGTCATGCAGAAGAACAGGTAAAAAATCTATATCAGTTTGAGAGTATCTTTTTCAAATAGGATAAACCTTAAAGTTTGAAGTTAGAATTCCTTTATTATTCCTTTCCACTTTATTTCTTGTAATATCCCTACGCCAAACTTGCGAACTCCACAGAATTTCGAGTCCTCGCAAAAGTGACAGTTCACCCACGGTTCATTCGAAGATTAATTACAGCTCGTCTTATAGTTTCCGGCCGAAAAAGACTTATTTTCGATTGGTTTCGCGAAAGCCAATTTTGAAGTGTCACTTTACAAAATATTATTTTCCAAGCAATCAATTGAAGAAAGACGATTAAAAACTTTAAAAATATGTTTGGAATTTCCACGAATAGATCTTAATTAAGATTCTGATCGATTCGAAACGCATTTTTCAATTTCTCAAACGATCCGGTTCCGAAGGCGTGCTTCCCATTTAATAAACCGGATGAAAATCGAACTCGTGACGTAATACTATTTATTATCACGATAAAGAAATTAAATTATAATTGAGAATTTAATAATGATGTTAAAATTTGTTATTTAATTGTTTAAATTATTTTTTAAAGCAATTTGGGTTGCCTATATTACCTCAAAATATGAATTAATTTATTTTTATTAAAAAAATATATTTTTGGATGTTTTTAACCATATAATCGCTATATTTATATAGATAAAGTTATTTTTTTAAATTTTATATGAAAATAGATGTATGTTTGAAATTTCAATGCTAAATTAGAAGTTATAACCTCAATTTATTTGACTTCTTCTAATGTCACAAAACATTAACATCGTAATAAATTTACCAAAAACTGTGTAAATTTAAGCTTGGGTTACGTTTATACACATGAAAATGAGTCAAGTTGCAATGGGTGGACGTTCTTTTAGTCTTTATTATGAGAAAATCTCAAGAAATCGGTAAATACATGTAACATAACCTCAAATTAAAAATTTTTATTCCTATTTTTGGGCTGTTAAACCGCTTATTTGTTTAGTAATGATAATAAAAGTATGTTGGGGGAAGATTATAATTGATGCAACATCGCTTAAAACGTTTTATTCGATAAAAACAAATAAATAAAACTTTGACATAACTGTACATAACCTCAAATAAATTTTAATCCTTGATTTTATGAATGTTTTTTCACAAGTAAATAGGGATATAAGTACTGCAAAGGTGTGTGAAGCAAGTTAAATCCACTGATTATGAAAAATAACCCTTTTATCTAGATTTAGATCTGGTTCTTGCTATGGATGATGCAGAATTTAACACTGAGAAAGAAAATAGCATTTGATAGTATTTAATCATTAATTGATTACTATGTAATCAATTAATTTAACATTAAAACTTTTTTTGCAAATACTTACAAAATATGTCTTTATCTAAATTAACAAATACATTTATCTCTTTAAAAACGATAAGAAAATAACCTTTACTATAAGTTGGTTTGAGTTATTTTTGCGACCGGTTTGTTGAAAGGTACTTGATTATTAAGGATGGTGAAGTTAATTGAAAAGATTTTTAAAAAGCGTCAAAAACCGAATCAGAGAAAAAGAAATTCTTTGATCTTACAAGTAAGTTGAAAGTGAAAGTCAGTTTGTTGCAAGATAAGATTGTTTTGTTTGTGTTTTTTCAATTCAAACTGATAAAATAATTTTTTTTTGGAACGGTAAATGTTAAAAGACATTTTTTTAAATTTAACTATCAAAACGCGATACGTTAAGTATTTTAATGGTTAATGTTTAGTAACAAAAAAAGAATTCCATTGTTGGTTGAGATGGACAAAAATAGCTCAACGCTTACTAAACCGACACTTCTCCAACAAATACAATTAGTACTCGAACATTTTTTTATAAGAAAATCATCAAAAAAAGTAATTTATCATTATTTAATTATTATTTTTACTAAATTTCTTTTTATTTCAGGCGAAAGCGGCGAAAATGTTGAAAAAAGGTGAAAAAGTTGTGAGTGATTCGCAAGAAAGGGCCTATTGGAGGAGCCACAGACCTCCGCCTGGTTTCGTTAGTTCGTTAGAACAATGCCCCGTTCCCGTTAAAAATAGGAATGGCCCTAAATTACGTAAGAAAGCCCTAGAAGATTGCCAAAGAGAGGTAAGTAACACACAAAATGAAATTAGATGAAATTTGATTAGTTCATCTATTTGATTAGTTTCTTCGAAGAGACAATAAAATGATATTGTGTTAAAACAGGAAACGCTTCCTCAAAATAACGTCACCTTAAAATATAATTAATTCAATGAAGCAAACGTTTCGAACAGGTCCGTATCGAAAAATCTTTTTTACAGTATTTATAATAACAGAAATTATTTTTTAAATATTTAGTTTTTTTGTTAAATCATCATCATTGGCACCACAACCCTTGGTTGGTCTTGGCCTGTTCTAGGATCAGTTTCCACTCTCTTCTATCTTGTGCCTTGTCCTTCCAGTTTCTAACTCCCAGCATTAGGACCAGGTGGGAGGTTTTTATATTTGCTTCTAGGTCTGACTCTCTTACGAGATCCAAAAGCTGTTTGGCAGAACATTTGCTTTCGGAGTTTTCTGTCATCCATCCTTTTTAGATAGCTGATCTTATGTATAGACACGATTATACCTATGTTTCAGTCATTTGGGAGTTTTAAGTGCTTCCAGATTAGTTCCACCAGCCTACATATATGATCCTTCAGCTTGTTTACCCCATGTCTCAGAAGTTCAGACGGTATGCCGTCGATACCAGGTGCTTTTTGGTTCTTCAACCTATTCACAGCTTTGAGTACTTCTTCTTCCGCGGGGGGTCATATTTCTTTCTTTCATCTTCCTTCTAAGTGTTCATTACCGTCCAGCGGTTCTTCGATTTCCTCACTTCTCATGTTTAGTCTTTCTTTTTTTGTTAAATATTAAAAAAAAAATCTCAAAATATTTATTAAACACTTAAGCCGGATCTGTTTTACAGTTATTTAAAAAAATCTTATCGCGTGTTGACTCAGAAACAAACCGAGCTCTTCCTCATTTACAAAGGTTTCATTCATTCGAGCGTTTATTTGTAATAATAATAATAAAAAAAATAAGGTTGAAAAATAAAATTTATCGCGCGAATAATGGGGAAAATCAATCGATTCTTTCAAAATAATCGTAAGAAAAAGAAAGAGGTAAATAAGTGTTATTATTATAAGTATTTTTTTAAGTTTAAAATCGATCTAATAATATTTTTCTTAATTTTAGGTTGATATGTTAAAAAGAAGTTTATCCAGGACGAGAATAAAAGTATCGCAAGCATTGGAAAGTATGGTGCAACACGTGGAAACGTACACGGAATATGATCCGATGATTACTGGCACGTTGCCTTCAAATCCTTGGGTTTCGGAAGATGCAACATATTGGCAACAAAACTCTCCGTTGTAAGTTTTTTTTTTTAATTCATTTTTCTCATTGAAAATTATTTGACGTAATAAACGAACGTAATTTACGTAATATCTTTATCGTCGAAAAATTCCACCCACCGTATTTTTAATATTTCATTACGGAAGGGGTCGAGCTCCAGATCGTGGACGAGACGCCGCGCAATTCTCGAGCTCCGAGACACATTAAATTTCAACTCAAGGGCTTTACCGGGGAAATTGTGTGAATGCAGGTCGCGTCGGGACCGTTTCCTCAATAACCTGACCCTCCAATTCACTACATTATAACAAAATTGATTGAATTTTTCAAATTACTCAAACAGATCTTTCTTATATAATTTATATTCCTTATATTTATATCTTATATACAGGGTGAGTTTTTTCCATGTTTAGCATGGAGATCTCGAAAACTAGCGGAGACAGAGAGACGATTAAATAGGGACAGAATTGCAGTTTCATGAACTCAATTTAATGAGCTTTTTGTTTTTTTTTTTTGGATAAAATGCATAGCTAACTAGATATCTCGAAAAAACCGTTTTTTTGTTATATCGTTCGATATAACGAAAATTCTCTATACTAAACATGGAAAAAAAGTCACCTGTATATATCCTTATATAAATTAATATTTGAAATGAGTTAATATTATTTTAGATAAAGATTCAACTCGTTTTTGAAATATTTTCATTCTTTGTGTTGCCTCGGTTAACGTCTACGATTCCACTCTATAGAAAAGCACTGATAAAACATAACATCTGATGAGTTTGATCTTGATATAAATGCTGATGTTGTGGCTTTTGTTTAGTCATCAGATTGCAGGTGGTTCTTGCTTTCTGATAGAACACTGAAAATTTTGGATTTAGTTGATCAAGATCCAACAATTAACATAAGGAATATGAGAAGTCCAAGAGCTGCAAATTTTTTAAAATATATCCATTTTACCGACGAGGCCACCTTTATGCTACACGGAATGTTCAACTCCCATAATACACACTATTGGGGTGATGATTATCCACATGTTTGAACCCCAATTATAGCGTAAAGGAATCTCGGTTTTCTTTTGTGCCCCAATTATAGCGTGAAGAAATCCCAATTAAAGCATAAAGGAATGTTAGGATAGGTCGGTTATCCTTTGAAATCCCAATTATAGCGCGAAGAAACTCCAAGTATAGCATCAAGGAATGTTAGAATAGGTCAGATTTCTTTTGAAACCCCAATTATATCGTAAAGGATTGTTAGGATAGATCAGTTTTGTGTCCGCCTGTCAATCATCTCGGAAAAGAATGTTTGGTAAGGTTAATTTTTCATAATTTTCTAAATTCCTTAAAGATGTGACTCATAAGGCTAATGTTCTGTAGTCACTTAGCTCCCTATTTCTTTCGCAACAATATAAACTCAAAGATGAGCCATTCATTTGAGATATTTCCAGTACTATTAAATATGTCAGTCAAGAATTTAATGGATTTATCTTTAAGCAGCTATATTCCGTCTGGTCTCGGAACTTTTCTTCTGGATGAGTGTGTTCATCTGTCATGATAATAGCTTCAAATTCAGTCTAAATGGATGATGGAACCCCTCTTTCGTCGAAAAAAGTTGTCTATTTACATTCTCCAATTTTCTTTTATATCTACCGTACCCATAATCAGTTATCCCGCATCATCTTCAAGTTTTCTCACAGTTCCCTTTCCGTAACCTCTCTCACCTACTTATGCAAATTGTACACGTCAATTTTATCTTGCAAATTTAGTGTAATAAGACATTTTTTTCATAAATTTCCAAAAATTGAAGTGGGAACTTTTCAAATAACTACTAATACTTGTATATTTTGAAGTACAAATTTTTAACTAATTCTATTTAGCGAATTGTTTGACCTCTCTCATTTTGTTATTTTTTGTTTTTCAACAAGTAAAAAGAAACTGAAATTCGCCAATTACAGTTTCGAAGTTGACCTTTGCTCGGTTTTCCTGGTCCCACTTCGATAGTTGGTAACCTAATCGGACACGTAATTTAAATCACAAAAGCCTTCAGAAACGCCTTCTCCACTCCAACTGTACAAATTAGCATTCAGACTCATTCATTAACCAGCACAGAAAAGCTAACTGTAACGACTCGTATTGATCATATCTCCAAGTGATAAAAGAACTTTAAACTTATTTTTCTACTTTTTTTAGTGTTGAAGTACCAACAGAAAAACGAGTAAAACGTTGGGGTTTATCGATGGAAGAATTGGTTAGGGATCCGACCGGTATACAAGAGTTTACGAATTATTTAAGAAAAGAGTATAGTCATGAGAACATCCGGTTTTGGACGGCGGTGAACGATTTAAGAAGATCGTCACAGTCGCAAATACAACGAAAAGTCCAGGATATTTTTGAGTGGGTTTTTAAATTTAAATCTAAATTAATATAAAATTTTTTTTTTTTCATTTTATAATTTGAGAAATTAATTTTTTTCAGAGAATTTTTAGCACCAGGCGCTCCTTGCGAAATCAATATTGATGGTAAAACGATGGAAAGAGTGCACCACGAAATGAAGAACCCAACCCGATTTACATTTGATGCGGCTCAAGATCACGTTTACACCCTTCTGCTCAAAAAGGATTGTTATCCGCGTTTTATCCGTTCGGAACATTATAAAAATTTATTGGCCAATGGGAAACAGCCTTTACAAAGAAAAAGGTTAACTTAATTAATTTATGTGTTTATTTATTTTTAATTGTTTTATTGGTGTAGATTCTTTGGTTTTGGCCCGGCGAAAAAGAAAATATCATCAACGGCACCTCCAAATCCCGCGGCTCTTCTCCAACATCAAACTCCATCGGGAAGTTCGGTTGCTGGGGCGTTAACAAAACGAAGAGGTAGCGATCGCAGTCTTTCCGGTTCAGCTCATGAACTCGCCGTTTCCGGTGTTAGAGACACCAGAGTGCCACATTCGCATTCGCAAAGTAATCTTAGCGACATTCCTTACAGGTAAATAGAAAAAGATTTTTAATTCTATTTGGATAAATCGCCAATAAATTTCCATAAATCTTTATATATCATACTGATATTATATATTGATTAATAGTTCTTTGTGCACGCGCATGAGCTTAACAATTTTTTTTGATGGGGTAAAACTTTACATTTAACACAATCTTTTTGGTTTATAATCAATTTTTTATTTCCGATGTATTAGTTTATTTGATTTTCTTTTTAACTTGGCACACCAATTTATAACATCAATTATATCAAACATCTTTATTTATTAAGTAAAATCTTTTTTTGGAGAAATGTCTTATTAATTGATGTTATACATGGAACTTTTGTGGGGAATTTGGTCATATTATATCATTTTTTCGGGTAGCTAGAAGTCATGCTTGACACGATATTTCAGGGGCGACCTCGCGTGCCACTCCAAAGCTCCGTTGACGCACCTTCAAAGCCCGTAAGTTGGACATTCATTTGGCACTAACTAAAATTCATGCGTGCCAAACCGTTGTATATCTCGATTTCTAGGTGTTGTACGTCGGTGTGTGATCTCTTGACCCTTGCCAGACAATTTAAAAAAAAATAACATTTATTATTAATAATATTGATATTTGTGGCTGTTCACACTCCTAATAATTATCACAACTCTTTTTACCTTCTTTTTTGTGATATTTGTGTTTTTCTTAATGTGTACGAACCCCATAATTTACATTACACTTTCCTTATTTTCTTTTTATTTTAATTTTTGACTTCTTTTTTATTAGGTTTGAACGTAATCTCGCCTCGATTTTATTTTATTTACAAATTTAGATTTATCAATTTAACTTTAATATTTAGGGGAATCAGTTTTAATGTAATATTTTGCTTTATTTTTTTTTTGACGGCAGCGTGTACATAAATCTAATCGTGTATTGCATGCTTCCAACAGAAAGTCGCTGTGTCACGAAAGTAACAAGAAAAAATATGTAGATATTTTTATTTTTCTACAAAGTATGCCGTAATTATGACAAAAACTTTTTACAGTCGTGGTCTTTATGCTTTATTGCAATATAAATTATTATATAAAAAAAGATATTGCAATTTCAATATCTTGTTTCTTTGACGACACTAAAAAAAAGTTTATTTTTAGCTTTATTCTAAAACAATAAGAAATCTAACAAATTGTACAAATTTTCTTCGCAAATTTTCATCAGCCGTTCTCGCGATATTTCTTCTTCAATAAACTCTGGAAAGTGTTTGAATGATCCTGACAGTTTTTGTTAGTCAATTTACGTTTGCTAAGCAAAAAATTACTTCAAGATACCAAGTTCTAATCAAGATAAATCTTGGGCTCCACACTTAGCTTGTAAATCATGTGTTCTTAAGACGCTGGAAGAGAGCGTTTCCATCATGTTAGCCAACTATTGCTAGTCACTTCAACGTGATCAGCCACATAATCAACACAAGAGACGATCTTTCATAAGATCTATGGAACACAAACAAAGAGATTCCATAAAAGTTAAATACAATACAAAATTCGGACTAGCATCTCCTCTGTAACTGATCCATATGCTGGGTAATATTGTGCCTCTTACACATAACTCAAAATCCTCGTGTGATGGTCCAATTCTGAGCTCGGATTCTGATTTCACGCAGAAAATTACTTCAGAAATGATTGTCAGCCATCCAACAATGACGTCTTCGAAGTCGGCCGAGATTATTTTGTATTTCAAAAGAAAAAGTTAAAGCGGGGCATAATCCGGGAAAGCTCCACGAAAAAAAGGTTGGGAAACCCTGCAATGGATGTTCTGACCTTTCATGGAATTAGGGATATAATCTCACAGAACGCGAAGTATTACACAAGCAACTGTGCACATTTTTTATTTTCTTAGTAAAAATTTCTGTAAAAAGACACCCACTTCTTTTGTAATAACTTTATAATGAAGCAGAATATAGCTACAAAATATATGTTACAATAACGGTACAGAAACGAATTTAATTTAATTAGTCATTTTTTTCCTGAAAATGATCACGACTATCTGAAATATTAGTCCATAATTGTGGTATACTTGTATGTTGAAAAAGCACATAATTTTTTTTAATTAATTTTTTTTCTCAATGTGTATTATTTGAGAAGCTCGTTTTTGCAGTTTTTTAATATTAATTTTTCTAAGAGTCTAAAAAGGTCACTTCAAATCTTTTTCGGCTCAACATACAAAAAACTTTATTATTTCAAAAATCAATTATTTAATGTTAAATTCTTTGTATGCGCATAATTCCCATTAAAAGGCACAACATTCGTCCTCAACACTACCCCTAACCTAAAAAAATAACAATATATAAAGTTTATAAAAATTGATTGAAAATTGTTTTAAAAACAATGGTATATTAGGGCCGAAGTTGCGGATGAACAACAAGAAACTGACACCGAATCCTCATCTTCACGCAGGGTGAAGAAACCATCAATAGCCGTAATAGCTGGTGCTTCAACATCTGAAGACGTTTGCCCTTGGGAACAAACGGAACCACCGCGATCACGAAAAAATTCAATTCAATTAGATTCCGGGAGTTCATCATCAGATGTAAGCGTGGCAATCGTTTCCGATGTTTCGGACCGTTTAAGAAGACAATGCGGCATTCAACAACAATTTACTTTGGATGGTGATAATCGGGGTCGCGGTCAATCTTCATCACGAAGACTTTCGACGGCATCTTACGTAGTTGATGCCACAAGAAGGGCATCGATTTCGGCACCTCTTCCGGTTACAACATCCGAATCGAGTATACAACCGAAAAGGGCTGCTTCTTCATCGGATGAGTGCCCCCAAACGGAAACGGAAAAGGACAATAATAATGTTGCTTCTTCTTCTACGCAAAAAACATTTAAAAAGAGTCATAGTCTAGTTAAGACGTGCTCTGTAACAGGTGCAAATGCTCCTATTATTAGTGTTAGTTCAGTGGCGGACGATAATTACGTTGTTATTGAAGAAAATAAAGAGATTAAGGAAAATGAAAAGGCAAAAATTGAAGAACCCGATGATAATAATGATGATAATAATGAAAATGAAAGAAACGAGAAAGGAAAAAATAAAATGACCGATGTTGTTTTAGTTTACGAGGAATTAATCGATGAAATTCCTAGTACAAGCGGAGCTTTATCAACAACAATAACTTCAAGTAGTAAACAATTAGCTCCTTTGGCTGAACCAGATTGTGAATCACCGATAAGTGAAGTTGCGCCGGAAACCCCCGGTGACGGTGATGGCCAAGATGCTGAAGCTAAATCGAACGACGTTTGTCCATGGGAAGATGAGTAAGTGTTGTAACAAAAAAAATTTTTTTGCAAAATATTCGCACAACCACTAATTTATAAATATATATTTTTTTAAGTTAAGTATTCGAGCACAAAAAAGTTTAAACCAAAATAATTCCCTTTAGCACAACACACCAAAAAAATCACAAAAAATAAACCGTTTTTTTTTAATTAAAATTGAATAAAATTAAGTTAAAAAAAACAAAAACGTAAGGTGGGTGCATTTAATAAGGATTAAAAAAAATTATGAAATTTGGCAGTCACCTTACGCAAAAATCCGTACGCTAAAATTCCTCATGTTTTGTTGCCCCACAGGGAGTCGTGCAAAGTGGACACCCCGTTCGTCAAGACTTATGCCACACTCGGTTATTTATAAAATGTCTACTTAAAAAAAGATATTTAGAAAAATAATTAAATAAAACCAAGAAAACCCCACAAAAAATGCCACTAAAAAATGTATACAAAAAATATATACTGGACGTTTCATTTTTTTTATAACAAGATTTCAACATTTAAAATTAAATCAAAACTTTAAAATAAGTTGAGTTTAATTCAAACTTTTTAATTTATTTTTAAAGTTCTACAAAGTGTGAATCTTGCTACACCAAAATCTGAAATACATTATATATTTAATTTTAAAAAAATGTTTTTTTATGGATACTTATAATTGATTAAATGAGTTTATTAGATTATGGTACCTGCATCTTTTAATGTTCCTAAATAAATTACAATCAAATCTTAAATAAATCTCCACCAATTTAACATATTCAATTAAATAACCGAAAAGTATTTCAATACATTTTTATCCATAATTGATATTTATGAATAAAATAATACGAAGATTCATAGTACCACAAAATCTAATGCATTCACTAATTATAAGTATTAATAAACAATATCAGATATAAAACGATTGTGAAAAATTTTTTTTATCATACATCGTGATTATATTTAAATAACTGGAGATTATATGACACTTTAAAATGAAGTTTAACGTATTTAATAACGTATTAGTCATATTATAGGTCAAGGTTTTTTGTGGCCGAGACGCTACATTACCAACTAGGGTTTTAACATGTTGACTGCTTTTCGTATTGCCAACAAAATCTCTTTTAGGTTATTTTCTAGAGACCCAGACGTGAAATTGCCAACTTTGTGTCTCAAATTTTAAGCCTTTTTCTGTACCATTTGATTACTTCCATAATAAATCAGCTACGCAATAAAGCAGGCAATATTAATAATATTATAGGAAAAAAGCTAATGGCCATTTTTTGTCACCGATGCGTTGAATATGTTTGTTGATTCTGGTTCTCCAATTCCAGCTTTATGCTGTAGTAAAAAATTCTGTCTGGTTTTTTCTTTTGGTTTGTTTTTGGTATATCCAAATTTTGCGCGACAGAATTGGGTTGAAAGCAAGGCAAGCCCGTCTGCACATGGAGCTGCTCGACGTAGACGAACACAATTTCAGTTATATTGACACAAGCGTAATGTAAAACATCAAAACATGAAATTTTTTAGGACAGATCTTTGTATTGCTCCAAAATCTTGTTCCTTTATGTCAGTAAGTGTCAGGCACACCTTCCCGAAAATTTTATATCTTACTTAGATCTGACTTGTCGTTGCAAAATCAACAAGTTTGATTCTCAACTTATCCAATATTGAAGAGATGGTAGTTTAGGGACGTTATGCCTCCCTTTGCTGAGGCAAAAAAGCTCTATGGTTTTCTTTTCCGACGAAGTCATCATACTTTTTGCTTATCTGCGTCCTGGAAGTTCTTTTGTAGTCCGGGTTTGGGGGTCCAATAAAGGGTGTCCTGTTTGGCCAGCTTCTCTCTTTAATTCAGTGTTGATTCACACGTGTAAGCCTGAATTGCCTTTAGGATGGTCCGACTGTCTGTAAAGATCTTAATCGTTTTGTCCCTTCTCAACAGTCCTTTCTGTCTCTTTTTTGAGACATTAGTCTTCATCGCTGTTTATCTGAAGCAGTTCCTTTTCTTCTAAACTATAGCAAAATCATCTGCTTTTTGACATAAAAGTGACATAAATAAAAAAAAATAATAATGGGACAAACTTTGTGCACTTTTGTATACAGTACATAGGTACAGTTTGTATTATTAATAAGTATGTACTCTCCAGATATTTAAATATACCATTAATAACATCATAACACACATTTTTATTTAAAAAATTCTTGGAAATAAACTTCATCGAGATTCTCAGCCATATCTCAAAATTTAATGATAAGTTTAACACATAACATCACATTTATGAAAATATAAAACAATTTTATTAACAAAAAAGTATTTGAATAGCACAAAATTAAAGATTTTCCATAGAAAAAAGAATTATTTATTTTTCCGGTTAATTTTTAAAAATTTTAAAAGTAATGTTGTGTAGGCAACCATTCGAACGAGTTGATTTAAGTTGGCTTACTAAATCTGAGCCCTTGGTTGGAGCCATCTATCGACGAGATTTTGAAAAGTTGCCTTCACCACGATAAATACTGAAAAATTTTGAATTTAATCGGGATTTAAAAAAAAATTTAAATCAGGGTCGTTTTAAAAATACTTAATGAATAAGTAACCAAAAAAAAGTATTATTAATAACACGTTTATATACATATATACTTAAAAAATAAAAAGTAATCTTTTTTATGTGTATGTAGTTGGCTTTTTTTAGTATTTAAGGATATAATACTTAATTCGAGGAGAAAAAATAAATTCCGAAATTTTTGTAAATGCGGTGCAGCTTTTACAAAAAGAAAAAAAAATCGGACCAAAAAAAAATTAATTAAATGATATTAAAAAAAAAGTTATAAATGTGCATGTATTTTTTAGTGTTAAGCCATTTATTCAAGATGTTAAATGTCTTTAACGTAATCAAGAAAAAAAATTAATCTATATATTTAAAAAAAATATATATATAAAATACAAATATATATTTCAATGTGAACTTGATGTTTTTAGATGTCTCGCTATTAGATGTTAACTATAATAAAATCAAAACGGCTCTGATTTTTATAAACAAAAAAAATATATGAGAATAATGTTTTAAACAAATTCATTTTGTTAATAAAATTGTTATTGAAATCGAAAACCAAAAAATACAATCAAAAAAAAACAAAACATTCCAAAATCAGTCAGTTGTTTAGATCGTTCTTTTATTCGATACCACAAAAAACAAACAAATTTAAGAATAAATACAGGGCGGCATAATTTTAATCACAAGTACTAAAGTCACAATGATCTAAACCCATAAATGTCTAAAAAGCCTTCAATTTAAGGGTTCACGACATAATAAAAAAGTTTTAAATAAATAACATTTGTGAACACTTTGTATAACATTATTATAACATAAAAAATGATCTGATGGTAACATTGTACTGTTTGCCAAATTTTATCTTTTTAAGTTAAACCATATTGAAAATATTTAAGAAAATCTTAGCCATTTATGGATTAAGACCAAAAATTTTTACACGCATCGTCATCATTTTTACTGTAGTAGTTGTGATTAAAATTATACCACGACTTATAGAAACAGCCCTGTATGTTTAGAAAAAAAAACTGAAAAAGTGGCAAAAAATTTGAAAAAAATAAGCGTGCTCGATTTTTCTTTTTTTAGAATTAGACTCGAAATAATCGGTGATAAAAAAGAAATACAAGAAATTGTTGTGCTTAATAATTGTTGTAGTTAGTACTATAATAATGCAAAAAAAAACTTGTAAGTAAGAAATGAAATGAAAACACCATTGAAAATTATAAAAAAAATAATATAATAAAATAATAATTATGTATTATATTAGAAAAATACTTTTAAATTTGCCAAAAAAAAAATTAAATCAAGTCACCATGAGAAATAAAACAACAACAAAATAAAAGAAATTAATACTCATTTAATTCGTTGTCGGGTTGTGTAAATAAAAAGCAACCAGATGTCACTACTACTATTTAAATTATATTTAAATTAAAAGAAAATAGTTAATAATAATAATAGTGAATTCGAAATTGTTTTATTGAATTTCAATCTATCATGATGTCACATAAAAAAAATATTTATGATTGTGCAAAATCATGTTTGTAAAGAATCGATTATACAAAATACTTGTATTGATTATTATTATTATTATGAAAAAAATTAATACATATTTGGCAGCAGTAAGAGCTTAGTGATGTATATAGTTTTATAATAATCGGCTAGTAATGTATTTACCAATGTTAATATTAATAATTATTAAAGAAAAATCTTTGAAAAGAAAAAAATTTAGAAATAATAAAAGCGATGACTTGATTGAACGATAAAAAAGATTGTATTGTACTAGTCATTTAATTTTTAATTTTAAACTTTTTAGGATCGATTGTTGATAGGCCAATGTTATTATAATTGTAGAAACAATAAAGCAAACATTACGAAATGTTAAAGTGGTTTTTATTTCTTATAAAAATAATACTTTCTATTTTGTTTAAACATGATAATTAAATGTAAGGACAAGGACGATGTAATCTAAGAAAACTGCTACATCCTGGGAATAAGTGCAGCGCGAAGGCCCGTTGGTGACGTCAGTACTGAATAACAATTAAAACTAGAACTAACAGTAGACCTAGAACTAGAAAGTTTCGGGTTTAGCGGTACTTTTGAAGACGACGACGTTTTCAATAATTTGACAGGTGGTATTATAGGTAACTGTATAATTTCCTTTCTATAGCAAATTCCTCTTAATTCAACTTTGCTTTTTTATAGACCCTTTAGGATCTTAACCCATGTTTTATTTCAATTTTCCCATGTTTATTTGATTTGATTTCAATATCATGTATTGATTCATTGAATAACGTCCTAAAAATGTTTCTAGGCAACTACTTACAATGAGTTGAGCTATTCAACAAAAGATGTCGCTTTTATCTTTAAATCTATACACTACAATAACGTTGTAATTTGTTAAAATCATAACTTAAATTATTTATTGTAATAAATAACAAATAATTTAATAAATAAACGTAACTATTAGCATTTTTATCTTAAATTTTTATTCCATCATTTTTTTTTATATTATAATAAATCAACTAATACTCGGATAACATCTATGGTTATACAATGAATTATTTACAAATTAGCTAAACGTTATTTTCGATAGAGTAAAAATTAAAAAGTAAATTAAAATTAAAAATGGTAAGAGGTAAAAAGTGACGAGAATCCAAAGTAAACGGTACAACAAAAAATATATTGTTTTTCACTTTTCTTTTTTTAAACACTGTTACAATAATATTAATTTAGGACAAATTACCCTTCTTTTCAATGACTCAATCGTTTACTGTATTTTCTTTTATTTAAACAACAACTGGGATTTTCGCTGATTTTTATTTTAAAATTAGTAATTTTTTTATATTATCTTCGATTCGTATCAATCGATATGTAAAAAGTACATAAAATATCTATTAATTAAGTTGACGGCGTCTTTGTCTTTGACTTAGAGCGTCCGCGAAACGATCCAAAAAAAATGAGCCAATTTTTATAAAATCTTTATGGCACAATTTTTTTTTAGTTTTAGTTATTTCCGGGTTATTTTTAAAAATATCGGGACCGTTTCGGAACACGTAACGACAAAAAAAGCCATTTTCTTAAAAACTAACCCTATAAATTCAACAAGGCACTCCATTTTCAGGTTATCTCTTTTTTGGATCCTTTTCTTTTTTTTTTTTAATAAATAATCTGTTATTCTGATTTTTATACAAAAAATATGAATATATATTTATATTAATATATATATAGCATTTACATTTAGCTGTATATAATAGCTTTTAATTTTTTAAAAACTCTTACTTTGTATTTTTTCTTTTTTTAATATTCTTTTTTAATTACAATTATCTCACAAGCCTTGCGACGTACCTAGAAAGAAATATTACACATTTACATTTTTTTTTTTTAATAATATTTTGAAAAAGAAAACCTTTTTTCTTTATTTTATGACATTGAACCCATTTTAATAAAAAAATTCTTGTTTATAAGAATCAAAACAACAAAAAAAAAGTTGTTAACATTATTCATGAATTCGAGAAGATTTTTATAAACAAAAATTAATTTTTAACAATAATATAAAAATTTCATACCATCATAATAGCACATAACCAACAATTTTTTTTTAATTTTCTCTTTAACCCTTTAACACACACCTTTTATATTTTTGATTAAAAATAACAATTTTGTGCGTTAAAGTATTAAATAATTTATAGCGCTTTCGATTTATATCTCTTCTTGTTGTATTCCAACATTGATTTACAGTAATAAGTCGTAAACGCTATGTAACCTCTTTTTAATTAATAATAAATAAAAAAGATTTAATAATAAAAGTTGTAAACATAAACAGATCTCAATCCTACCCAATTATACAATTACTTTTTTATAAATCTACCTATAACCAAAAAAAAATTGCTTTCAATATTTACAGTTCATCATCCCTATTTACAAAGTGATTTTGTCTTCATCTCATAAAAACCTATTGCACATATTAACAAAAACTGAATAAAACCGAAAATGTAAAAGGATATTTTATTCCCTACGTGTTTTATTTTTCATCATTCCCATTTCCAAAAAGTTTTGTTTTCGTTTTCTTCTTTGAGAACAATCAAATGTAATAAAAACGTTTCTCATGTGAAAACACTAACAAAAAGAAAAACGTCTCTCAGTCCGTCTTCTGAGAACAATACAATTCTTTGAGCGACTTCAACTCATCGATGAGCGCTTTGTTTTGATTTTCGAGTACAGCCACACGATTTTCAAGACATTTTATGTATTCTTTCTTTTTCCGTCGACATTCGCGCGCCGCCTCCCGATTTTTCAACAGTCGCATTTCGCGTTTTCTTGCTTGATCTTCCGAACCACCACCACTTAAACTCGCACTTTGTGCTACAACTAACAAAAATAATAAAATTAAAATTAGGTTATGTTTTGATTAAAAACGTCAAAGTGACAGATACAAAATTTTTAGGTTATATTGAAACTTAAATATCGAGATTAATTATTTTATGGTGTATTTACCAGGAACAAAAAATTCTTGTCCTTGAGCATATTGAACGATGGCTCCTCCCGCCGTAGAATTAGTCATCGTTAGTGTGTGTATGTTTTGTCCACCTTCCCCACTAGAAATTTGAATTGCTCCAGCAGGAATAACTAAAAACATAACAATTAGATTATTAACAGATTTTTTTAATGAAAAAATAAACATTGAAGTCTAATTTTAAGCGATTAAATGTAGTTATTACACAAAATGCCGGGAGGTTATGTTGTGGTTAGGATTTTGTTGATTGGTTAGTAACATTTTTTGTGATGGTTACATTATTTTTGTTTCGTTTTTCACCTTTTCTCCCCATCTCTCTTTTCGTTGTCTTTTAAATGAATAACTAACCTGTGTGGTATGGGATAGAATGAGATGACAACTCACTGTCAGCCTCCGAGGACGTCAGCTCTACCTTCGTCTCTGCGAAAACAGCAAATCGTCGTTACTAACTAAATTTGTTTGTTTATATTCATTTATGTTTATCAAAATATCATCTAAATAAATATTTAAAAAAATTTTTTTTTATATTGTTGGTAGCCCATTGCTGGTAATTTCTTTTTAGGTTAACTTATCCCATACCACATCTTTTTAATTATTAATTTAAAAAAAAATATTAAAATCAACAATGGGTTTTGGGTAAAATTCATTCTAGGAATTATTTTTAAAAATTATAGGTTATGACAATCTTATTAAAACATCCATACAACATTATATACTAAGCTTATCCTAATTTACGTCAATTCAAATTTAATCTTTCGATTTTTATTGAATCTAACCTCACTTTTATCGCTTTTATTATTTTTTCTTTAATTTGATCGTAATCTAATTTTTATCTAATTAAATTCTTTTTGTAAAAAAAAAACATTTCAACTCATATTATATTAAAAATGTCATTAATTTTATTTATAGCGCCATCTCATGGTATTTATAAGAATTAAAAAAATTTAACCTCAAAATTAAAAATTGTCAACTTAATCACATTTAAACGTTAAATTCGTCAAATTTTTATTAAGAATTCTAATAAAATAGTCATAAAGTATAATTTTACCACTAAAAGGTATCTTTTCTCACCGGCTATTTCACCACCTCCAAGATCGTTAAGTATTTTTCGATAAGATGGTCGCCTGGTTAATAAATCCCGTCGTTTCTTTGGAGATTCTTCTTCTGAATAGCTGTCGTCACTTGCTGTTTCAACAACCTAATCATAAATTAATTAATTTTTGTCTAAAAAATAATGAATTTAACCCAAACCTGTAATGTTTGTAATCCACCTTGAGCCGTTTGAATGACAGAACTTGGTTTTCCCACTAATATAACGTTCCCTTTACTTAAAACCGGCTGTATATTTGTTGCTGTTTGTATAACTGATTGCTGATTCGGTTGAATCACTGATTGTACCTATAAAATCGTAACAATTTATCAATATCTCTTATCATTAATAAAAAAAATGATAAAATTATTAATAATTAGGTAAAAAAACGTTTATACAATAAAAGTTTTTGTGAAAAAAGAATTAATTCATGCAAATCATATACAAATTTAACATTAAAATGACGACATGCACAGTGGGGGCTAAGTAGAACACCCCTACCTGCGCCTGTGTCTGGGGCAGGGTTAGATGGACAATGTTAGTGGCGGTGACGAGGTGGGGTTGATTTGTGGGGCCTACCGAGGAGGCTATCGCCACTTGAGGATCAGGCGACGGTGCCAACGGGTCAACAGACCCATTTTCTTCCACTATGCCCTCCATTCCTCGACCAATCAAACACCTAAAAAAAATAAACAAACATAAATTAAATATAAAAAAATAAAATTAATTTGTATGTAAAAATTATATTATACATTATTTCATTAATTCTTATTAAAAATTATTTAAAATTTCGAAATATATAGTACTAAAATGATAAATCGGTTGGTACAACTGTTTTAGAGAAATGTCAAATGTTGACAGATAACCTAACCAACAAATCTTCGTTTCGTAACTAGGTTGTCAACAAGAGATAGATAAAAATAATAAGAAAGGGGGGGAATAATAAGAAAAATAATGTTATGAATAAAGTTTGCCCCATTTTTAACAAATCCCGTACTAATTCATCTTAAAACTTGAATTATTCCAAGACGCCATTTCGTTGATTTCAATAATACCTTCGTTTCGCTAAAAGTCGTCTCGTGGCCGCACTCCAACAGCCTTGCAACAGACATTTTCAATATCGCGCACCAAACACCACTGAAATAGTAGAAAAAGGGGGCCGCACACAAGTTGTAACAACAACAACAATATTTAATTTTGAAGTGGGGCTTTTCTTCTTTTTTTTTTTTCGTTTCACTCACAACAATAACAAAAACTGACGTTTTAATAACTTTTTAGCTTTGTTGATGGGGGCGCCCCCTTTCTCTTTTTTTCTTTCTTTCACCCGGATTATTTTTGTTCTTCTGATCGGTTCCGAGACGATTGTCTGACACCCGTGGGGTACTTACCGGTTACGTGTGTCTCGTCACTGGCGAGCTGTGATCGGAGTGGGCAACGGCCGTAATACGTAGTAGCCACGTCAAAGTGTGCGGGCGCTCGTCACTGGAGGAGAATACTGAGCACCCTCGCGCGTCACAGCAATGGCGGCAAAGTCTCTCTCTCTATTCTATTTAATCCCCACCATATCACATCAAAAACGGCAAATAGTTTACCCTCCTTACACCGCGCGCTTCCTACTTCCAATATATTCACGCACTACTAAAAATCTTTTACAACCGGAAAGATTTGAATGTTATTTTTTTATATAATTATTAATCCACATCTTAAATGTACCAAAATCGTATTGTAATGGATTTTTTTATTAATTTGTGTTATTTGAGAGTAAATCGCGGATTAATTATGAAGAGAAGTTACGTCATCGATGACGTGTCACTTTTCACTAAACGTAACGACTATGACGGCTGGCACCAACAAAAACCAACATGAAGTTAGTTGCTTTTTGAAAGTTTACCAACTTCATTTTAATGATTGAATAATATTTTTTTTTTAATTAGGTGTAATACTTATAATTAGTAATTATTTTTAATAATAAACATAAAATTTTTAAATCAAAATTAATTTAAATAAATTTCAATTTATTTCGGTAACTTTCTATATATTTGTCATTTTGACGTATTTTTAACCTAAAAATTAATCTGTCAATCAAATCAAATATAGAATAGCATTAGAATTTTAAAAAACCTTCCAATATAATCGATTTGAAGTAATAATAAATTTTTTTGTATAATAAAAAATAATTTTATTCCTTTTTCTTTATAATTAATGTGTCAATACTTGAATGACTCACGATGACGTCATCTTAAGATAGAATGACGCAAGTCGTTGAGCATGTGGTTTCTCTGACGTCATACTCGGCGAATTTGGGTGTATTATTGAGGGGTAAAATTGGGTGATTATTAAATTACTTCGTTTTTAATGTTAAAATTAATGAAAGAAAGGTGATAAGGAAAAGAGTTTATATTAAAAGGCGATGGAGAGTGGGACGCGGCTTGGAAAAAGAAAGAGAGTGTATGAGGAACGTTCAAGGTTACTCGTTACGCAAATGGGTTAAAATTATCGCTCTCGGACGGTGGAATAAGTGGCTAATTCTTTCTTTATCTTTTTTTCAAAGTTCCGATAGGAATTAGTTGAAAAATTAACAACAATAAAAAATAATTCTGTTTTAATGAATTATAAAGTTGATAATGATTACGTCAAAGGACGAATATTTTATCCTTTTTCTAGAATCTACTGGATTAAATGATTCTAAATTTAAAACTTGTTTATGTAAAATTGTTGATTAAAAGCGGAATTAATGTTTTTGAGAGAAGTTTACGCAATTACTTTCAAAGTTTCGTTTTAATTTACACAATTTTTTCCAATATGTCATTAACATCTATTTATTTTGTTTCATACAATAATATGTTATAATCTTAACAAAAATAGATAAAAAGAAATAAATCCTCTTATCTATATATGTATGGAAAATTCCTTTTTCCGTAATCGTTATAAAATGAATCTCAAATTAAACATGAGTTTATGCAACCCAAATTACACCTACAGTATGAAAATCGCGAATTACTCAAGAATGGTAATAGAAATTTCAAATATTTTTTATGATTTATTTCACTTAGAAGAGTAAAAGCAAAAGTAGATATGTTTTGTATACTGTATCAAATTTGTTCACCTAAATTAGGTACTCTATATTTTGATTTTCATAACCAGTTCTTTAGGAGTGATAAGTAATTAATAGAAATAATTTAATATAAACGCAAATGTTTATTTTATATTTCACCAAATATCTTTTCATTAATTAATAATTTACCGATTTTTGTATCGCAAAATATTCCATCTTTATAAACAATTTCCCCTCTAACAACGGTAGCAAAAACCTTTCCTTTCAATTTCATACCTAAATATGGTGTTATCTTAAAATATAATTCAAAAAGTAATAAATACACATTGATATATATATATATCTACATATACTTACTTTGTTTTTATGGAAAATTTGTTCCTCCACAATCGTTATAAAATCATTTGGATCCCAAATAACGAAATCGGCATCAAATCCAACGTTAATTTTCCCCTTCTTATTATGCAACCCAACTAGCTTTGACGTATTTTGGCTCATATACTTGCTAATTTCAAATATCTTTTTATTCCTTTTATTTAATTCGGTCCAAAATAAAGAAAGACCTTAATAAAATTTAATTATTAAATAAAATTAATTAATAAAATTGGTTTTTACCAAATTGTAATGAAGATATCCCACCCCAAGCGGTTAAAAAATTTCCACCCTTTTTTAAATCAGGCGTCGAAGGAGAATGATCAGAAACAACCATATCAATAATATCATCACCTAATCCAATTATCCACAATTTTTCTTTATTCTCCTTAGTTCTAATCGGCGGGCAACATTTATATTCAGTTGCCTTATCGGGAATATTCTCAGAATTAAACGTTAAATAATGGTGACATGTTTCAACAGTTAAATTCCCTTTTAACTTTGCTTTTTGAATCGTTTCGAGACAAGTTGCAGTGGAGAGATGAACTATATGAAGTTTAGTGCTAAAAATTCAAATTTTAATAATTAATTTAGCAATTAATTTCAATTTACTTATATCTTCTTGATAAATCAACGATAAACTTTATAGCGTGTTCTTCCATTTTCTCTGGTCGTGTTTTTAAAAACGTTTCGTATTTCGTTGGGTCACCTTCGCAGATATCGTTCTCTTCGAACTCCGCGTGAAATGCCAAAACGGAACCAGTATTCTCTAAAATTTTAATCGTTTTTTCTACGTCTTCCTTTCGAACGTATTCGAATTCGTCAACTCCGGAAGGGGTTAAAAAGCATTTGAAACCAACAACTCCGGCTTTAATCATATTTAAAAGCTCATTCTAAAATAAAAACTAAACATTAAATGGATATAAAATATGTTTATAAATTATTACCTCATTTCCAGGAACAACACCACCCCAAAAACCGACATCGACCCAAATTTGATTTTTTGCTGCATCTAATTTGGTTTTTAAATTTTTTAAAGTTGTTGTTGGTGGAATCGAATTTCTGTAAAAATTGAATTTTTAGATTATGCAACCCAATTGACATTTAAAATTTTTCATTAAAAAATATTGTTTAAAATTAGATTAACTTAACATAATAGTAATTATTGAAATTATTTACAATGGCATATCTATTATTGTTGTTATCCCACCCGCTGCAGCAGCTTTCGTGGCCGTTTCAAAACCTTCCCAATCAGTTCTTCCTGGTTCGTTGATGTGAACGTGTGTATCTATTATTCCAGGCATTAAAACTTTTGAATCAAAATCAAAAATCTAAATAAAAAATTGTTATTACTGTTTGATTGGAAAAATAAGTTTAAATTTACCTGTATGCTCGAATTTTGTAAGTAATCGTTTCTTTCAATATCGCATTTTGATAAAATATTTTTAATTTTTCCGTTAAAATCAACTAAAACACCTCCGTTTAAAAAATCGTCTTCAAAAAGTATATTTTCGCTTAAAAATAACTTCTCTTTCCTCTCCATTTCAAAGATATTTTTTGTATATTTCCTTCACTTTGGGTTTTAACTTAAACCTGTTTGAAAAACAATTATCTTCTTGGAATTCCACGCATGCGTTATGACATAATTATACCATATCAACTGATTATTCTCTTTTAATCATTGCTTAATATTCACTCCTGATAAATGAAAAGAAATGTATTTTTAAAATTTTGTTGATAAATATTATTCTTTAGTTTATTAGTTGTTATATTCTTCACTTTAGGTTATAGTTGTAACTGAAACAAATTAAAGAAACGAAATAATTAAAATATAAATAATTAAAAAGGATTAAAATAACAAATTTGATGGTTTATAGGTTGGGTTGAAACGAATGCAATTAGTAATTTAAAATAGTAGGTTGTCAATTTTGAATATTAACTTCCCCCATCTGTTTATGAAAAATTTAACTGAAATTAATGTTGTAAATTTAAAATGTTTTTATTAATAATCGAATATTTACGACTTTTTATTATATTAAAATCTTATATTTATTGTTAGATAAAAAATTTGATGATTCATAGATTAGGTTGAAATGAATGAAATTGGTTTTAAAATGGTAGAGATGTCAAATTCAGATATTAAGTTCCGCCATCTGTTGATGAAAATTTTAACTAAAATTAATTTAAAATGATTTTATTAAAAATCATATATTTAGGAACTTTTATTATATCAAAATGTTTGTATTTAAATAACAAATTTGATGATTTATAGGTTAAGTTGAAATGAATGAAATTGGTAATTTAAATGATAATGTTGTCAATTTCGGATATTAACTTCCGCCATCTGTTGATAAAAAATTTAACTAAAATTAATGTGGTAAGTTTAAAAAATTTTATTAAAAGTCGTATATTTACGTTATTATTATATTAAAATTAAATATTTCTATGTTTCAATTATAAATAAAATATATGAATAAATAATGTATAAATTAAAAAAAAATTTTTGAATAAAATATCAAAAGACAATGTAAAGAAAATCTAGATGGCGTCTTAAAAACAATAATGATATTCTAATATTTATTTTAATAACTTTCCCGCATTAACTTTTAAAAAATTTATTTATTATGTTTTAAATACCTACATTTTGTTTTGTCCCGATTCTTATTTTTTATTTAAGATCTTAAAGGTGATACGCGATCAGGTGAGTGACTTTCTACAACCAGCAGTAGCAACAGAATCAAACGAGTAAGAATACGAGAGTCGCGAAACGAAACGAAACGACAAAGAGAAGAGAACTTATAACATTTATAAAAACTCACCTCCTTGCTCCTTTTAGTAGTAAAGTAAAGTAGTAGTAGTGTACGCGCTGTGATACTTCGGTGAGGTGTTTTTGAGGTTGTGCACCGTTAAAACTGTGATTTAATCGTCAATTATTAAAAAAAGAAAGATAAAGTTCTATTTAATTTACAAGTTGTGATAATATAAAAGTTAATATATCAATAAAATAAAGATCTAGTGAGTTTTGCAAAAGTTAGTCACGGATTAACGCGAATTTAATTTCGTACATCAGGTGGCTGTGATAAAAAAAATAAACAAAAGAAAGAAAAGATTACGACAACAGAGACGAATGTATCAACTGTCAAAGAAACGTTTGCGGGTGAGTATTTTGTTGGTTTTTTGAAAAATATTTGAACAGATGCTCGAAAATGAAACAGGATGTTGGGTGTGTGGACGTTTTTTTGCGTGGGTGACGAAAAAAATGACGAAAAGAAAAAATAAATAATGCTATTTTTATGGAATTCAAATTATTATAAAAACAATTATATTTAACCTAAAAATAGAAATGATTTAAAAAAAGTATCGATATAGTATTTTAGGTTAAGAAATATGCTGTTTGTAGGCGTTAAAGATATGGCCCAAGGTCTTTTGGACGGTTAGAAAGGGTCCAACACTCAGCGACAGAGCAAATTGAAACTTGAAATCGAATCTTTGTCACTTTACTTTCAATAAATTAATAACGCGACTGTATCATAGACCTCGGCATCATAAAGTCATAAATTATGATAGATAAGTAGATGATCGTACCTTATTTAGTTTAAATGAGGGTTTTGCAATATTTTTGATATTAAAATTTTTTTGTTTTTAAAGCGATCGCTGTAAAATATAATCAAACGTGACCAATAGATGGCACATCACTTGTACGTTAAATTTGGAAATAAATAAGTAATGTTGGTTGCATACACATAACCAATTTTTTTTAAATTCATTTTTTTATATTTTGTTTTTATTGAAATTATATGTGGCGAGATGATAAATTGGTTTTTGAACCGCGGGGCGCGTCCAGCGTAAATCGTTGTTTATTTAAACGGCCCGCTCGGTAACGCCAAATATGGCGCGGTGTCCTCCAAAAGCGGCGCGCAACTTAAGTGCTTACAGTTCGAGTTGCCGCGCGGCGCTTTTTTCTACCTTTTTTTTTTGTTTCGGGTTTGTTTTCGTTTTGTTCGTTCCGCGTCTCGTTATAAGTTACTTCTTCGAGTCGCGTTCGTATAACAAACGTCGCCGTTGTCGACGACTCGCTATTGTCAGATTCTATACCGAGATTAAGATGAGTTAAATGGCGTTTTAGCGACCTTTTTAATACGAACGCAACAAAAAATGCAACTTTAAAGGAAGTGTTAACAAAAAATAATAAAAATCGAAGGACTTACCATAAAAAGATTTGAGGAAAAAAATTGTTTATCATCAATCAATCTTTTAATCTTCTCCAAATTATTTATAAAAAAATTTTTAGGTTATGAGTAAAGCTGTATTGAGGGATCTCTTCTGTTCAACATGATGCGGATTTTTCTTATTGCATTTAACGTATGGCTGTAGCTTTTATGCTTTCGGACTCTGGGTCATATTAGTGCGCATACAAAATCACAGATGTAACTTCACTGTCGCCAGAAGCCTTCTTTGTTTAGATATGAGATAATCGGTGTTTGGCGTAACCTTCATTTATTTGGTCGTTCTCATCTCATCATCTCAGATAATCTCCCTGGTGTTTAACTGAAACTGATCTAAAACACTACCGTCATCCCCAGACGAAACCTGCTCTCGCGCCGTGGCTTCTGATCTTTAGCCTACTACAGCTAGGCACCCAGATGGTGGAGATACCGAGGATACTGCTCGCTGATTATAAGCAGGTCGATTTTCTTTTCTCGCTTGATTATACTGAGTTCTGTGGCAAATCCGTTTAAGCTGCCAAGGCGGCTTTGAAGTTGAAGTGCCAGAGCCCGGGGCGTCGCACCAGAAGCACCTAGGGGCATCATTACATTCGGTCCTCTCATGGCCTGTTTCTCCACAATTGAAGCAAATCTTTTGTATTCTCCTATCCGACCCAATAAATATCTAGGTGCTGTGAAAGGCGGCTCCAACAATTCTCAAGAAACACGAATTAGAATCGAACGACGAACAAGAAGTACACTTACAGAAATGTTTCGCACCATCAGTACTATGGGATGGAAGCTTGGGCATTGAAAGGAATCGAGTTTAAGAGACTGGATTCATTCGAGTTGTGGATATATTGGAGAATATTGAGGATTTCATGAGTGGGCAAAATAATCAACGTACAGAATATTTTCTCCCCCTTCATATGATGAAAGTTTTATCTGAAACTTTTTTGCGATAAAACTGATGGTTTATGAATTATAAGGTCGTCTCGATTTAAATGCCTCATCCGATATATGGGCAATATCAAGAGAGGAGAAAAATATCTAAAACTCCAAGTTATTAAGCAAGAGAAGTGCTGGGATGCAAGAATTGGAAGAGAGAGACGAAAGATATGGTGAAGATGAAGGATCAGGGCTGACACGTTCATTGCAAAACTTCGCTGACAAGGAACGGTGTCATAACATCGTCTTATTCAGACGTCGATATAACCTATGCCTTATTCAGGCACTCTGTCATATAGCGAATACCCACCCGTAAGACTCAAGGCCGCAAAGCCATTCTCAGTCTTGTTCTGACTCTATGAGGTCAGGATTAGGTTCGGTTTTCATGTTTTATTCAGACGTAACCTGTACGTCGCTAACGGTGGTTGTGTTTCAAGCGCACTCTAGTGTTTTGCTCATCAGGGCCGATACGTTGATTGCTGGACTTCGACACATCTTATGCCTTATTTAGGCACTTTGTCAAATAGCGAATACCTATCTCTGAAGATGAAGGAGGATGAGGAAGTTACTATGCGGAAAAGAAATCCATAGAAAAAAGAAACTAACGGCTGAGGAACATTAGGGAATAATTTGGATGCACATGCAATTTAGAGCTGCGGCCTTTAGATTTCCTTCACAGTTTGATTTTCATTTTTCTTCAATGCTTCTGTTCCTTCTGCACTGCGTTCAGTTGTAACCTGTTGACGATTCCATACCAAAGGCGTAACTACACGCAATATCAGAGGCACGTCTTGGGACCAAAATCATACGATTTCGTTCATATGGTTTTATAGGTATACTGTTTCTAAAGCTGTTTGCATAGCAAATTCGATTATTTTCATCATTTAGTACCAGCATTGTTCATAATTTTGCCGAATGCCAAGATCTGCGCTGACTTCTTGAATATTGTTCCAGATGTTCAGAGTCCTGCATCTCATACTACCTTTCCCAGGGCAATCTTAAAAAGCAGAAATGACAGCCTAGTAGACCTTTGTGGCTTTAAAATGTTCTTCTGCCCCAAAAGCTTCTTGTGTATGTGAATTTTTCAGTGGATTTCTAAAATGAAGATAACACAGAATTAACTTTGATTTTAGGATTTTGGTCAAACATTACCTTCAAATCACGCTGCTAGTTGAGAGTTTTTTTTTTAGTTTACAATTTTTCAACTTAAAATTAAACGTTTTAAGCTTTAAGGTTATCTTATGAGTTAAAGGAATATTTATTCAAACATTAAAAATTCTTCTTAAAGTTCATTTTAAAGTTTGAAGCACCCGAAAGTAAGTGAACGAATAAAGAAACGAAAAAAAATCCAAATCTAGACGTTAAGGTCATGGCCCCGGCGATTTTCTTCGTTCGTTCAGTTACTGACCTCTGGCGGCGGAGTACAGACGGAAGGAAGTGCGAGAGGTGGGGCCTCGCGACGAACGACGACTACGACGAGGACTCCAGAGGTCGCGAAATGGGTATATACCAGAAGAAATAACCACGATCAACGCAGTCTTCAGCTGTTTTTCGTGTGTCATCGTCGTTGGTTTAAGCGCGTCGTCGCCAACGTAGATCGAAATAAACCGCGCAAATTTCATTCAAACAAAATATTTATATAATTAAAGTTAAAAGGAGTTTTTGCGGGTATTTTTCGGTAGTACGATAAACGATTAAAGTGTGGCGAAATCAATAATAAATTCTTAAATAGATTAAGTTATACAAGGTGAGATAATACGATTTAATTTTTTTTTATCGATTAGAAATAAGTTTAGGTGAATGTAAAATGTTAATTCTTAGAAGAAAATGGTCATTGGGTTGGTTAACTGTATCTAAAAGCGGGATTACGAGACCAAAATAAGAAAAAAAATCTCCCGATAACTGTTAAAATCTCATTTGAACTCGCAAGGGGGAAAAAGATAAACGAAGATTGCAGACTGTTTTACGGCACTCTAATTACCAAAGGTTTTAAAGACGCAAAGGTTAATTGGAACGCTTTAAATGAGTTTGATAGAAACTTTAGTTTAAAAAATAATGAATTAAAATAATTTGACACTTATCTTTGACGTTTTCAAATTAATTTTTTGACACATTGTTTTTTGATGATTTTTAAAAAATTTACTAATACAGTGATGTTTTGTTTGAAAAGTGAAATTAGCTCGGAAAATTGTGAAATGCGACCGTTATTGTCATTAGCACTCGGATCTTTACTTTCCGTGAGGTTATTTTTAATGAGTCAAGACTTAGGTACTCGAAATTTCGCCAAGTTTCGCCACAAATTAGCATAAATAATAATACAGTTCTTTTGCGGTTTATTGATTGTTATGGGATTAAAAAAAACCGTTTTTTAAATAAGTCATCATAAAACCTAACCTCACTATAGAAATTTTATTAAGTTTTGTGTGAGTCACGAATTCAAATGGTTAAAATTTTCCACCTCTGTGCTATTGTTTAAAAGGTAAAAAGTCTTAAACCTAGGAGGATGTTGAATAGAAAGTACTAAGAGGACTAAGATTTAATTTTTAATCATGTTTCGTTTCTCTTCGTCTAAAATTGACATGTTGAAAAACTTGATTCAAGGAAAAAATGATTAAATAAAAACCGCTTTCAAGCGAACTTCTCAATTGGTAAAACCGTAATTTGTACCGGCGGTCAGCGTTGACAGTTATAATAGAGTTGGTATCACTTGAAAACAAAAAATATATATAAAATAAAAATAACAAAAAAATAAAGGCTGTGGACACTTACCGGATACATCCGGTTAGCCTTGAACGTCGAAAAGCGGATTAAAAACGAACGGTGCGCGAGCGCGCCCTCTCCCGTTCGCAACGATAATTGGAACTAATAAATTGGCCGTAATCACGTGAAAATTAATATAATCTCAATCGCGTTTTATCGGAAAACGATTATTTAGTATCAACAAGAAAATAATAAATAAATAAATTATAATATAAAATTGATTGGAAATTATTATCGAAAATATCTACTTTCCAAAACAATTTCAGCAATTTCCTTCAGAGTTAAAGTTTCCGTTTCGAAACCGGACACTTCGAAACTAATAAGCACTCATTATAAATGTTGTAATAAAAAATTATTAATTTTTACTTTTTTTTTTTTGATATAATTTATATCTCAATAACTCCACAACATTTCCTACCGGTTTCCGATTGTTAAAATTTATTCTTCATCAGTCGCAGTTACGCACATTAAATAATGATGGGAATTTTCTTTCTGCCTGACAGAATCAATAATGATAAATGATTAGCGGATATGATTGACAGCAGGGATAACAATAAACTTTTTTGATTGTTACATGCCATGAGAATTGGTCCAGAGTAGAGTAAACCTTTCTTCAACTCATCGCCTAATTCTTTGTTTGGCCACCATAAATTAGATTGCTGACACGTACAAGTTTTTCTGCCACTTCATTGCTAGCCACACCGATATGATTTGGGATCTAATAATAATGTTATTGCCTTGTTCTTTGTGTTGCCTTGTAATGCTAATTGCAAATACTTCTGCCTACTAGTTGAATACTCTGAAGTACATAATCAGGTTGTAAGCTGACCTACTTGAAAATTTCTGGCAGCAAAGTGTTATCCCAGGTTATCTCTGAAATTTGGCATTATCTACCTTGACTGCCCTGTAATTGCTATCTTCCGTCTGATCAAGACTAAGTCACTTTCTTGCTACTATTTTGGCTTTTGGTTCTTATCGTTTCTTCATTTCTGTGTTTATTTCTGGTTTTGTAATACATGTATTTCGCGGCTGATAACCAAATAGTAATAATGGTAAGCGCTTTATTGTTTACTATGTTTACAATATTTTCTACTATAATATAATACATGTCACCCTCTACCCTGCTCCTCCATCTCCACCCTCTGCTTTTCGCCCAAATCAACTCCCTCATCCATCTCTCGCCCTCATCCCCCTCTCCCAAAATCTATCTCCAGTCCATCGCCTCTTCTCTCCTCTTCTCCTCATTCTGTGATACCTCTCCTCGTCATTTCCTCCCACATCTCAGGTCTATGAACAATGCTTACAACTTTCCTTCCTTCTTGTTCAACTCGCTATCTGACAGGTGTTTGATAACGAATTAGTAATCCATGAAGTTTCTTCTATGTACTATTTGCCATCAAAGCTTAACACGTGCTTGCTTTTATTATGAAATCAAAAGTTTCTTTAATAAGAATTGCTGCAATAGTAAATTTATTTTAGTCTAAGCAACAAACCTAATAGCCATTTGTAATAATAAACCTAATAGCCACATACTCAGATTTGTATGGCAGCATTCAAAATGTGATAAGGAAGGAATGTGGATGGTTCCAGATATTCGTTGAAGAAATAAACAGAATTGAAGAAAGAGATCGTATTTTCTTCACTTCAAGAAAACCTTTGCACTATTAGAATATTAGAGTGTCGTTGAATAGTAGACACTTTTTTCTTTGAAATTGCAGTGAACAGAGTTGTGTACAATGACATTAATATCGGTTACATCTACACTAATTGCGCGACTGTCTTATGAACTTCATGGAAGACCGCCATCACAGTCACGGTAAGGTGAGCGGTGAAGGGAGATAGCTTTTGATGAAACTAGGAAAATAAATAGGTTTAGGCGAAAATCTAAGTTGCAACCTAACCAGCAAAAATATGTGCATGATAAACTGGATAACAAAGGTACAAACGCTGGTTTCAAAGCCATGATTTCCACGAAGGTGTTGTATTTTTATTTAGGGATGAATTGAAGGTGATTCATTGCAAGCTGTTAGACTTGCCACTGCTACACATCTTATGATTACGATTATAAATTGCACTTAATTCTGTTCCAACTAATTCCTTTGATTCTGAAAACTCATTTATATTAGAATGGTGCTAGATATAGAATCATACTTCTCAAACAAAAGATATTTCTCAATGATTAAGCTGTTTGCTGGGCAATCTGCGTTCCGCAATGCTTGGTGGATATATTTTAATTCGTTTAGTAAAACTGTTTTAAATGTCATTGTAACGTCTCGTAAACCTGACCATAACCTCAAAACGCAAAACAAATCGATTCAATTTTAAATCGTATTGAAAGCGCGTGTTTGTTTATCGCCGATTTTAAATCGATCACTTCACCTCTGTACATTATTTAAATTTATTCGAAAAAGCAATAAGGAAAAAACATTGAGTTCGTAATCTAACCTTAAAAATATGACTAGCGGTGGCGGTATCCATTGTTCTCAACTTCTCAGTACAGAAAGTTGGCGGTGGTGGCGGCGACGTCGTCTCATAATCGCGTTGTCCTTGTCATCTGACAGGATTAAAAATTTGACGGCAACGTTGGGGTTAAGGCCTATCCTATACGGTTTTATTTAACCGTTGTTTCCTTTCTTTTCATTGTGGCTTTCTTTTGTTTCGATTATTGCTTAATTGAAATGACAACCTTGTATTATTCCTTTATTTTTCTCAATACGCACTGTACGTACATGATACCCACATATAAATATTTAGATTTAAAGGTTATGCTACCGGATTCATGTTGTTTAATCTTGCGATAATAAAATTCTTTTTTAGTTTTTTTTAGATTAATGAATTTGTGATTAAAAAACTAAATAAAATCAAGTAAGGTATATAGAAATGTCATAGTTCACATTGATTTTTCCAAAACTGGGTACCCTTCATCGCACCAAATTAGGGAAAAGCCTTCGGGACGTCAAAAAGATATTCATTATAACATTAGGAAGTGTTAGATTTTTTTTTAATATCACAGTGACATCATCCCGCAACGGCATTTATAAATACTTATTAAAACATCAACAAAACGCAATAATTACGAGTCGAGTTTTCTTTCTCTTATTTTTCAAGGTTAGAAATTAGGTGCCTTCTTCTTCTTCCTCTTTCTTTAACAAGGAAAATCATTTTTATCTCTTTTTTAAATGTCAATTCAATAAAAGCAATTACCCGTTCGTTTCAAATCTCCAATAGCGGTTTTAGTTGAAGAGCCTCCTAAGAAGAGAACGAAGAAAAGATGATGATGGCAATTTGCCCGGACATATGTGCTGCGGCGCCGACATCCGGGATATGGTAATACCCGCTGATTGTCTACGTTACAGTTAACGCCATTACGTTTGTACCCGTTTTCGAAGACCGAGGTTATTCTTGTAGTGTACCGATAGGTGTTATTACCAGAGAAACACCTTGTTCTATTTTAGTATTTAGCGACTCTTCTTTAATTTTATAATATATTTAGTTTTTTATTTTCATTCAAACTAGAAAATAAAAAATACTTGATGTATATCATAATAATTTACGTCTATATACATTGTTTCACTTACATTTTATTAATATTTTGTCTTCACTAATGTACACATTTTTGAACTTTGAAGTTGACTTTGACACTTTATCAATAAACAACAATGTCGATAACATAGAATGCAATACGTATTACAATTTGTTACGTAAAATAAATCCAAATAATTTCGTTTTCTTTATTATGTTGTAATTCGTATCAACAAATTAAATTCTAACATAAGTCAAAATTTATTAGATTAATTTTAAAGGAAATTTATGTTTAATTTTGATGAATATGTTGGGAGAATATGTCACTAGGTGTCACTCAATTCAATTATAATAATTAGAATTTTTAATACGTTGTTGTAATTTATTATTAATAATATCAAAAGAAAATTATTATTTGATTGATAACGGTTTAAAAATCATTATTCAACTAAACATACTTTGTTAAATTTGAATTAATTAATTAGATTCGGTATAGGTAAAGTAGAAAACTGTCACCTATAATAACCTCAATTAAAAATCAAATATTTTGTTTACTTTCAAACGCTATCATTGCGGTTATTTTAATAAATTAAGTAAGTAGTTATTTTATTAAAGATTTGTGTTTCAGATGATTTTTTTCTCAAGTATACTGTCGTTTATAAGACTTAAGTCTGGTTTAATCCGGGTTTGAAAACGCTATGAGGTCCCCCTTCGGTGGACAATAAATAGTCCGTTTAAATCGTTGAAATATCGATAACGCTCCGACTCTCCGTGGTTCTATCGGTCACGACGGTCTCGTGTGTGGAAAAACTTCGTCAGTCGACCGCCGTATATGGAGATATGACTTCGGAACCAGACCGAAGCCAAGCGCTCTCAACGTTAAGCTTTTTCTTTGCTGTTAGCGCACAACCTCTACAAACGCCTACGAAATACACTCTAGGTACAAAGATTCACTAAACGAAGCGAGAATAAAGGAAAAATATTAAATTACATATTTTTTTGGTTTAATTGCGATGATAACATAATTAATTTTTCATTTTTTTGCTAGAATTTTGGAACGATTCGTTTTACAAACTGAAACGATGGAAGTTGTCGCCGCAACGCCCGGCAACGGAACTGTTCCACCGTTCCATAACCACGACGTACACGAATGGTCCAGAATCGACAGTCTCACCGGGTGTCTTGAAAGAGCCAGATTGGAGACTGACCACTGGACAGCGAGCACACAAAATTCATCGCATAATTATAGGAAGGTAATTAATTTCTTTTAGTATTTACAAACAAAAAAAAACGTTTTATTGAAGTGTTTAGATATTCCGATGAGATTGAAAAATCATTTATGATGATAGCATTTTGAGTTTCTCTAATTCCAATTTTTTCCTTCTTCCTTCTGTTCCCGTTCAAAGCGTGACCGCACAGAATGAATGGCAATTCGCTTCGGTGAGCGCTTTCTCCGATTTAAAACGAATGTCTAGTTTCAAAGCAATATCTTTCTCATTTTACACACAAAAAAAGGCTTACCAACCTTATAGGTAACTTAAATTACATCTTAAACCATGAAAAAATACATCAATTAAATAAGATTTTAATTTTTATTAAGATTTCTTTTTGAAATTAAAAATTAATAATAATGGAAGTTGTTTACATTTATTTCATTATAAATTTCTAATTAAAACAAATCGAAATTTTAATGAATTTTAAATAAGAACCGGCGTGCGAATACGTGACCGTAGTAAAACGACGGCGACGACGACGACAATCGTAACGTGACATTCATGTAAATTGGTGTCGGTGGTGGTTGTGGCGAGGTTGAGTGAAAGTAAATCGGGTCTTTGAGTTAAAGAGAGGCGAACTTGAGAGCCACCCAACAACAACTTTGTGCAAAGTTACAAGAAAAAGTAATATAGTCAACACAAATTGAGTTAATAAAAGAAAAGAATTTTTATTGAGTTTTAAGTGTTAATTTGAAAAAAGGAAATCAATTCGATTTGGTTTTGAAACTCTAACCTATTTTAAGTAAGTAACTTAATTTTATTAAATTACCTTCTAAATCGAGTTACGTCTCAGAAAATTACACCTTTCGAAACGATTGAGACGATTTATTTTAATTTACTTTTTGCCAAATCGTCTTTCCCAATACAGCTGTAAAGAAAAATTAATGTTAAAAATCATGGTAAGTCCTTCAGCATAGTTTGCGCAAACACCTTTTTTAAATCCTCCTTTGAATTAAGAAACATAACTGTTAAAAATCCAACTGGAGGAGAGTGTTGAAGTAGTACTCCGGATTTTATAGCAGCAACTCTATAACAGTTGTATTAGGGGAAAGATTTGATATGTTATGGCGATCATCTGGCTTATTCTAATGGATAATATTTATCTATACGATAAAGACTAAAGCTTAGACGCTGGCAAAAAGACTAAAAGGAAACGCAATGATTTATATTACCTTTTTATTAACCTTTTCGATGCAACCTAACCAGAAGACATGAAGATTACTCAATATCCTTTAAGGATTTAAATGAAATTAATGGATTGTAATTTGGGTTGCCTATGGTGTGAATGATAAGATAAAATTTTGAATTATTTAATCGGGAAATTTAAATGTCTTAAAGATTTGTAGACATTTTGAAATTATTGTTCTTCTTTTAACGTTTAATATTCATCATTTACCGATAAAACTTGAGCAATAATTAATGTTAAATTAAAAAAAACTTTTTAAACGATTTCTCTCCATCTAGCGATAACTCCCCGTGTTAAATAATATTTTGACAGTTAAGTACTTATTTACAAAGAAAAGTGTAAATGGACCAAAACACGTTTAATAACTTAATCATTAATTAATACCATAGGGTAACTTCATGAAGATTGCTAAATTCTAACATACTCTTTAAGGATTAAAATGAAACTAATGGGATTGTAATTTGGGTTGCCTATAGATTGAATGATAAGATAAAATTTGGAATTCTTGATCTTAAAGATAAGAATTTTGAAATCATTTTTATTCAAATTGAATATTCATCATTTACCAATAAAAGTTAAGTAACAATTAATGTTAAATTAAAAAAACATTAAACAATTTCTCACCCCATCTAGCGATAACTCCCCGTATTAATTTTAAATCATATTTTTGACAGTTAAAGTTTTTGAGTACTTATTTCTTCTTAAAAATATGCTATATTACAAAGAAAAGTGTAAATGGAGTAAAAAAACTCATCAAAATACGTTAAATTACTTAATCATTAATTAATTCGATAGTTTCTACATTTTAATAATTGGTATTTTCATAATCTTTTTTAACATAACCTAAAAAATTATTTTAGGTTAATATAATCGATTAAATTTTTAATATCTTTTGATTTAACTTTTAGATACGCGTTATTCCGTATAACGGAGAACTGATAAACTTGAACTGATAAATTTGTATCGACAAAAAAATCTGGTTTGAAAAATAGTTCAAAACATGAAAAAGAAACCGCCTCTAAATACTTTATTACATTACGAATGCAGACGCATTTATCATTCGGACGTGTCCGGAATTCTCCCAGAAAATCCCACGCGAGAAATACGAAGAATCAACCGATTTGGAATTCGTGGAAGTGCTTTTTCTTATTTTAAATGAACCGCTATTAAAATGAGTTCAAAATCACTCGTAAAACAAGAATTAAATTTGAACTCTTTCTGTTCACCTTGTTTCAATTCGTTCTTTATTTTTTGATTTTTACGTTTTATAGTTGTGTTACTTATTGGCCAATTAATGTTTTTGAAAAGATCGAGGTCGCGTCACCACCTAACCTCATGAGTAATGCTAAGACAGCTTAAACAAAGACTGTTGGTCTTTTCTCAGGTAGTCGACAGCAGGGCTCGATCTCGACCGGACGGACACGTTCAGCAGGAAGCTAAAAGGCAGCTGGAAGTCTTCAATAGTCACGTACCCGGCGGACGTCTTCAAGTCATCAAAAGCCATACAGTTTCAAGTAGCAGGTGGACCTCAACATCTCCATCAACAAATCCAATTGAATTTGATAATTTACAGGTTAATAATTTTATTTGTGTCTTTGTAATTACATTAATTATTTTTTTTATTTTAGCTTTCTATAAATCCAATAGATTTATCAACGGAAAAGTCAAAAGCCCACCTTTCACGATCCACAAGAAGACCACCAAGTCGATCTTTACTACAAACAACGGCAGCAACAAATTTATATAGGGTGTCTCAAATATGTAATGAATTTCATAACGCTGCAATAGAAAATGTTAACTTTGGAGCAAAAACAACAAAAACACCGGTTGAAGAAAGAGAAAATGGTGATGGTATTGAAATTATCGAATTAGAAAATGATAGTTCAAGTAGTTTAACGAAAAGTTCGTCTTCAAACGAAAATTTAATTAATTTATTATCAGATCAAAAATTACCGATTAAAAGTAGCGAAGATTTAGAGGATTTAGAACAATTACAAAATTGGAGGAGGACTTCGAAAATAAGGAGGTCTTTACAGTTTCCTGTAAAAAATGTAAAAAGTTATCAAAAAGTCGACGATTTACCTCAAAATACCGGAAGTGTGAGAAGAATCAAAGAGGATTTGGAGAAAGGGAGGAGGTTAAACGCGGCTTTAAGAGGGAATAGCTTCGATTTTGATGCTTTAGATCAAATACTTCAAACTATTAATATAGATGAAAATGAAAATAAAGAAGCTTTAAAACAAAAAGACAATTTTGTTACGGTTGATTCAATAAAAGAAATGAAAGGGAAATTAAAAAAAACGCCATCATTTAAAAATAAATTAGATGAAGATGATGGCATAGGTACGGAATGTTCCCCAAAAAATAACGTTCGATCTTACATTTATGGCATGGAAAAAAATGGACAAACTGGGAGTTTAGAATCAAAAAAACATTTCTTAAACAAAAATGAAGATTGGCATAATCGGAGGAAATCGTATGGTTTTGAAAAAGTACAACAGGATGAGACGATATCGAATAAATCAAAATCAAAAGTTGAATCCTCAACGGATAGTGGAATTTGTAGATCATCAGAAATATTTCCATTCACTAAAAAATCATCATCAAAAGTTAATGTTAATGATTTTAATAATAAAAAGGAAGGAACAACGATAACTATACCGATTATATCAAAGAATTATTCCCCTTTGGTGGAACGAAAAAAAATTTTTGAACGCGAATTAAACGATGGGATATCATATTCAATTGAATCTTGGAAAAAAAACGATGACATCAAACGACATTCAATAGCCGTTGACGAAATGAAATACGTTAACGAAAATCAATCGAAATTTCGGCGAACATCATTAGCTATTAACACAGATGATGATGATAATTTGATTCGGGGAAGAAAAAAAGTCGAATTTTGTAAAACCGAGGTACATTTTGCCGCCGATTCAGGTAAAGTTAATATTGTTGAAACAGATGAGAAACCACCACCAACAAACAACTTTCGAAGAAGACGTAGATATTCGGGATTAATCCCTAATGAAGAATTTAACGCAAACGGTCTTCCGGTATTTCAATTCGGGGATGATCAACAAATAAATGAAGATGAATCTTTTCAACAAACGTTCGGAATTGTTACTGTTAATAACAATATTAATCCGAATGAGTTTATCGATGAAAAAGATAAAAATATTGATAATATTGAAACTGAGGCACCTAAAAGTATTCTAAAAAATAAACCTATTAAACCAAAACCGTATATTTTAGGATTAGAAAATTCCTTAAATCATTATAAAATTGATTCTTTAAAAAACGATTCAAACAAAAATGATTACTTTAAAAATGATAATTCCCCGTGGGGTGTTAAATTAAAACCTGTAGATTTAAACCCTCCGATTTGGAGATCAACCGTAACTGTAAGAAATACATTTTACGATCAACAAAATCAAAATCACGAAAATAATAAACTACAAGATAATAAGTATAATTCTGATAATTTATTAAATTCAATAAGGATCCAATCAACTCCAAATTCAATTGATTCACCCTCGTTTTGCTCCGTACAAGATCGAATTAAACAAGTTGAAGATTTAAAAATTGAAAATAAAGGTTATTCGACTAAAATTAATTTTGGAAATGGTGGATCTGCTACGATTGTTGAAAGAAATGGCGAGAACCATCGAAATTTGTTAAATGATAGGGTAGGAATGACGAATTTAAGGAATGAAAGGGGTACTTTCTCAAGAAATGAAGATGGATTGAAAGGTGAGTTATTTTTCATTATTATATACGACAATAACCTTGAATTTGATGCAAATTATTTAGTAAATATTAATTAATTTAATAAAAGTGGCTTGACAAGTGACAGGTGTAAGTAACGCCATCTCTTAGAGTTTACTAAAAATTTGTCATCAATTTATCGTAAACTGTAAATTATTATCTTTTTTCGTAGACTAAATATTTCTACTTGTGCATGCAAATCTTTTTATTTTTTTTATTCATTTTCTTTTATCTAACACCGTTTTATTTTTACTTTTTGATCGCTCAATAAAAAGTAGTTAACTGTTTTAACCTCAAAAAAAAAGTTTGTTTCGAATTCGCGCACTACACAACTTTTCAGATAACACAACAACAACGAAAATAACTATTGATCTCAACAACCGAACCGCAGCCGCGTCTCAACCACTCAAATCAACCTCATTGATACTCAACACACTTAAGACTGAAACAACCCATAACCTCCACAATCATCATCATCCTCACCGAAATCATAATAACGAAAACGAATCGAAATTAGCTGTACAACAACTTGAAGAACTGAAGAAGCTTTATGAAGACGTTTATAGTGATGATAGCGAAACCGATAAAGAAGTCCAATCGTTTATGACGAAAAACTTAGACAATGGTATCGAGGATGCTGGAAGTGTCATTTCTGGAAGCTGGACGAGAGCTACAGCTTACAAGAATATTTCACAGTACGCCCAGACTTGTAATGTTGATGACGGTAAAAAAAGGTTGCATGCACAATTAGAAAAAGGTAAAATAATTTTAAAAATCTGTCAAAGTTTAGTGTTGACATAACATGAAGTTGGTAATAATGGTTACCAACTTCATTTTTATTTTCATATAAACAATCTAAGTTTTAAAATATTGCATTAAATAATTATTTATTATTAGATGTGAATGGTTTAAACAACATTATAAAAGTCACACCATCAATTCAGCGTACCAATAATGAATCGAAACATTATCAAGATATGTCTAAGAAGCCGTTAAAACCATCTAGTCCACGGACAACACTTTATCAAAACCAACAAAAAAATGGAATCAATTTAAAAACTCCTAATTCAGAGAATTTGGTTCTTAGACAACCAAAAAAATCAGAAATGGCTTACTTTGGGGTGCCAATTTCGCCGCAAGTAACACGTCGAGCTGAACGTAAAGATTTAAGAGCAGATAAAAATAAGGCTGTGCAAAAATTGGATTCAAACGAACGAAATCAAAATCCGATTTATGAAAATGTCGAGCGAATGAATAATAATTCAAAGAAAATGACTCAAACTAAATTGAAGCGTGAATTTGATGCCTCAATTTTAGATGAATTAACTAAAGCTGCCGATCAAATTCTTCAAGCCGTTAATGGTTACACCGACGAAGATCATAAATACACTACGACGGATGATGAAAAGTCGAAACGAAGGGTGGAACCGTTAGAAACGATTTCTGAAACGAAATCGTGGAAACAACAAAACGAAAGTAAAATGAAACAGAAAAATGTTTTTAGTAAACAACAAAAATTGTCTTCGTCTTCCGTTGATAGTGTTAATAAAGATAAACATTCGATAAAATCTACGAGTTCTGTTGAACGGAAAAAGAAATCAATGGAAAGTAATTCTAAAGCGATCACGAAAGCGAGACGTTTACAAAGAGCATCGAGTCGGGAGGCTTTATTACAATCCCACGGATCTTCATCAGAAGATTTAGCCATCGAGGTACCTCCATTAAGAAAACCAAGATTGATTCGAAAAAAAATTACTACTGCAAGTATGAGTTTAAGCGGAAGTAGTATGGAGGTTAAAAAAAAGGAGAAAAATAAAGATAATGAAAGGTAAGAAATTAATAATTATTATTCTCTATTTTTTTAATTCGGAGGAGTAAAATGAAAGTGTAATTTTTCAAAACTATTTTTTGGCGGGAGTTTTAAATCCAGAGGGGATTTTAAGTAAACTGTATTTATAAATTTAATTACTTATTTGTTTAAACATAATGAAAACCAGGACAAAGTAAGTAGGTACTTACTTTGTCCCACATAAAATGCAACATGTCAATATAATAATAATAATCACATTATTGGGGTAATAGTACGCGGTACTTTGTAAATCTAGGGACTTTATTTTTACTGATCAATGGCAACTCTTCTTTTTGGCCCTTCAATTTGAAAACACTCCTCCGAATTAAAAAATAGAGTATAATTAATAATAATTAATCAAATTAAGTATAATTAATTAATTAAATAATTGTTTTTTTTTAGATTACCTTTGGCACTTCCTGAAATTCGACATAAAACAGCCGTTTCCACTATCCGTTCAACAGCAGAAAAGGCTAAAGATAATAAGTTAAAGGCAGAACATAAAAAACGACCGATTAAAAAAGATATTAAAAGTAAGTTAACCTAAAAAAATATATTTGACATTTCTTATGACAGCTAACTTCAGTTAATATTTAAATTTCCCGCGATTAAATTGATTTTTAATTGACGTTTAAATGTCAAAAAAAATTTTCGTTTTGGAAAGCAATTTAAATGTATTAATGTCCGATTACAAAGAAATATTGAATGTTAACGATTATTTAAACGATCCTTACGTGGACTGTACATATGTGCGGATCTGTGGTGGGTTATTGCGTTTGCGGAAAACGTACACGTTGAGTAATTACAAAAGACCTCATCCTCTTCCAAAAAATTGGAAAAGATTTCAATATCGAATATTATCACCGTTAGATTTAAATAAAATCTCAAATTTTAATATTAACAATAAAAAACTCGACCTGATGGTATCGATAAATTGTCGAAGAGACGGGAATATCATTCATTTACAAAATCAAATTAAATTTTTGGAGAATTTATCCCCGGAAGAAATCGATCGAATTAATTGTATTAAATTTGCGAAAAATTGTAAACGGAAAATTTGTTTGGCGATTAAAGAAAAATTGTTTAAAATTATTAATAAAATGAATAAAATAACGTCCGGTGAGTGTTATGATGGTTGTAATTGTGGTTGCGCAACGTTTAGAAGTGATGATACTGAAGATTTAAAACGTAAACTCAAAGATCCCGATGAAATTTTATCCCAACTTGAGCAATTCGAAAAGAAGCATTTAAAAATTTGTGAAGAATGGAAAAACAGTCGAAATAAACAAGATAAATCAATTCAAACCGACCTTTTTGTTTGTAAATGTCAACAAAAATTTGAAATTAATGATAATTTTGAGTACTTAAAACCAGGTGGGGATTATATTTATCATGAACATTGTCCAAACGAACCAATTACTTTATATAAAAATTGTGATTATACTGATTATGAAGATGAAGATAATTTCTCTTTAAATTGCGAGGCATTAAGTTCTGGAATAATAACGGAGAATTCATGGAACGTTTATATGTTAAAATATAAAGCGTTAATTGATGAATATAATAAGAGATGTAAATTAAGAAATTATCAAGAAATTTTATCGAAGAAATACGAAAAAAGTTTAAAACAAAAATTTAATCAAAATAAATTAAAATCAAAATATTACTCATATTACCCAAGCAACAACAATTATTATCCTCAAGAACCAATTAGCATCACCACTTTGTATTTTAACAACGAAAATTTACCGACTGAGTCTACCGATTGTTACTCGAATTATGATCATTCTGATTATTATTCCGATACTTCAACTTACTCAAAGTTTTACACTCAAAATTATTTTAGAGATTATTATGATGAAGAAATCAATTATTCTGATTATTATCATAGAGAAAATCTTTCGAGAAAGAAATTTAATAAAAATTTTAATGTTGTAAATGGATATTATTTGCAATAAATTATCTTAAATGTTTCTGTACTGTTTTATTAGCAATAAATAGATTTTTTTTGTTAAAGTGCCTTTTGGAAGTTCGAAAGTTGAAAAATCCGCAAAAGATGGGGCCACATCAACACATCATCAACAGCAGGTTCATAAGGAAAAAATTTCGACTGCGTATGTATCTATGAATCAAAATAATAGATACTACTACGCAAATCCGTACAGGAAAAGGCATAAAGTTATTGAACGGAAGCAGTGTTTACCCTGTTTGTGTTCATGATGTAGAAAAAATAATTGTTTGAGAAATGTTGCTAGGTACAAAAGTGGTTTTTGTTTTTATTTGACGTAAAACAAGTAGATTTTTTTAACAAACTAATTTATTATTAATTTAAAACTAAAACGGGATTATTTTTGAGTTGGTTAGTTAATTTTTTACCAAATTTAGGTTGGTGATAAATTTAAAATGATTCAAATTGAATGTAGATTAACATTTTTGTACCTAGAATCAATTAAATTCTAACAATTAAGTAATTTAATAATAATAAATTTAACAATTAATTCATAAGTAATCAAAAATTATTAATTTAAATAATTCTTTTCCATTTATTTTTTTCAGGAATATAAAAAAGTGTACCAGATATGATTCGACAACGAAACGATGAAAAATCGAAAAAAGAAACGCTTCTTTATTTAGAATTTAAGTTCCTAAAAAAGCATCGATTTAAACTAAAAAAAATCCTTTTTTTATAAATATAACGATTTTTAATTTAATGTTAACATGGCTTTAATCAAAACAAATAAGACTAATTCAACGAAAAAAAAAGGGAAGAAATCGCCTAACAACGACAAATTCCGTCCATTTAATTTATATATTTTTTTTTTAATTACTTTCTAATGTGATTTTTGTTAACTCCTTTATTATTATTTAAAAAAATATATGCTTGGTATTTTGTGATTTTTTTATATGTGCTAATTTAAAGACTTTAAACAAAATAAAGACTTTAATTTTATATAAAAACTAATTGTCATTTACTTAACTTTGTTATAAAAGAATTAAATTTAGTTATTTTTAAGGTTATGTTTATTTTTTAAAAAGACAATTTTATAGGAATTTATCTTGATTGTATTGAATGTTAATTTAAGAGATTTTACGTTGTTTTCGCTTGGTTTAATATGGAAAATAGGAAATTCTAGAAAAAGAATTAAATTAAAGGATTTTGAGGTTATGTTGTTGAATGACAACTTTATTACAATTCATCCCGATTTTATTTAAAATTAAATTTAGAGATTTTATTTTGTGTTTCCATTTGGATGAATATTAAAACCGGTAAATTTTGTTTTATTGATACGTAAATAATTTAATTTGAAAAGAAAGGAAATTCTATAAAGAAATTTGAATTGAGGTTATGTTTATTATCCTAAACGTCAAAGTCGGTGTAATTAATGTCGATTACATTTAATATTAATTTAAGAAATTTTACGTTGTGTTTCTGCTTGGCTAAATATTTAAAGTGATAAGTTTTGTTTTGGTGAAATATCATAATGTTTTAAAATGGAAAGAAAGACAGTTCTGGAAAAAGGAACAATTTTGAGGAATTTTGAGGTTATGTTGTTGATTGACAACTTCAGTGCAATTTATTCAGATTTTATTTAACATTAAATTTAGTGATTTTATTTTTTTGTGTTTCCATTTGGATAAATATTAAAACCGGTAAGTTTCGTTTTATTGATACACGTAAATATTTTAATTTGAAAAGAAAAGAAATTCTATAAAGAAAATTGAATTGAGGTTATGTTTATTATCTTAAATGTTAAGTTGAGAGTAATGAAACATTTTTGACGTTTTGTTTAACAGCTTTTTATTTATCACAATAATTGTCATTTAATTTTAACAACAAAACTAAAAAGATATTATTTACGCTTCTTTAGCTGCAACATTAGTATAATTTAACCAAGCATCCAATGAATTAATTTGATGTAAAACACTACTTTTACTCGTACCACCAATGGCTTGGTATTGTTCTATACTATTTTCGTAATTCCAAACTTTAGCCACATCAGAATCAAAGTGTTCACTAAAAAAATAAGTAACGATTGATTTATAAATTAGAAAAAATAAGGATCGTGTTACTTAATAGTTTTAAGCTCCTCCAAGGTTAAGTCGTAAATAAAAACTTCCTTTTTTTCAGCTTCCGTAACAACTTTCCCAGCTGCATGATGAGCTTCCCTAAATGGAACTCCTTTTCTCACCAGATAATAAGCTAAATCGGTCGCTAACATTTCAAAGCTTAAAGCTTCCCGACATTTAACTGAATTTACTTTCAAAAATTCAACAGTTCCTTTTGCAACTTTTAAAATTGAAGTTAATTTATCGTAAGTACTAAACATAGTTTCTTTATCGTTTTGAAGATCTTTGTTGTAAGTTGATGGAAGACTTTTTAAAGTCATCATTAAACTGCAACACTACAAAAAATTGTTACAACAAATTTAATGTTAAAAATTACAGATTTCTGTAATTACCTGTCCAAAAAGACTACCACCAATTCCCCGAATTAATTCTAAACTATCAGGGTTTCTTTTTTGTGGCATCAAACTACTTCCAGTGCTATGAGAATCGCTGATTGTAACAAAATCGAATTCTTTCGTGCTAAATAAAATTAGATCCTCTGCGAATCGGCTCAAATGAATACCGGTTAGCGATGCCCAAAATAAAAATTCAACGATGAAATCGCGATCGCCCACTGCTTGCATGCTATTTTGTGTGATTGCATTGAAATCTAAAGAATACGCCAATAGATGGCGCTCGATGTGGAACGGATTTCCCGCGATCGCCCCACTTCCCAATGGCATAATGTTTGTGTGGGTGTAAAGTTGTTCTAGTTTATCCGAATCGGATTTAAAATTCCAAGCATGACTAAAAAGAGTTATTTAAAAAAATATTCTAAGAAAAGTTTGAATAAAAACCTCAACAACCAGTGGCTCCATCTAACGGGCTGTGCTCTTTGTAAATGAGTATACCCCGGCATAACTATTTCAATTTCTTTTGTTGCTCTATTCACGATTATTTGAACTAAATCTCTCAGACATTTATCGAGTTCATTTATTGATTTTTTTAACCATAATTTCATGTCGGTTGCAACTTGATCGTTTCGACTTCTTCCAACGTGGATTTTTGTTGCAGGTTCTCCAATTAATTCTTTTAGCCTTCTCTCGTTTGCAGTGTGAATATCTTCATCTCCAGGTAAAATCTTAAAATCTCCTTGTTCCCATTCAATTTTAATCCGATCTAAACCATCACAAATCGATTTAGTTTCATCATCGGTTAATAAATTGATAGAACATAAACTTTTCGAGTACATTTTTGAGCATATTATATCTTCAGCGTATAAGCGTTTATCTAAATCAATCGATGAATTTAATTTTTCTAATTCTGGACTTGTCGACGTAGTAAATCTTCCACCCCATAATTTATTAGACTAGGAATTATTTAGAATAAATTTTAATTAATTAAAAAGTAAACGTTCTTACCATTTTTAAACGATTTATTCACAAGATTTTAATTCACACTCTTATGAAATGCGAACGAGATATCCTCTTTTTCTTTAAACAGTGTTATCAAAGGTCAAAACTTATTAGCGAACCGTGAAAAGAAATCAAACCGAATAACAGACACTGGCCAAAAAATACGTTAATAAAGTAAATAAATAAAAGGATTTATTTTAAAACTTATCTACATAATTCTAAATTAAATAATTTTAGTTTGAGGTTATAAATTTAAAACTGTCAAATATATTAAGTCGATAGAGTAGAGAACAATTAATCAATTAATATAATAAATTAATTATTATTTTCGTATTATTGAAAGTTTCTTTAATTAAGGAAAATGTGGTTTGCAAAATTCTAATTCGAAAAAAAAAAAAAATTTGAATTACAAAGATTTTGAATTTCCCGCTATGAAAATGTCATCAAAAAATTCTAACCTAACTTTTTTTATTGGAACTTTGATTTTTTTATTGAATTATTCATCATCATTGCAACCACAACATCTGATGGATCTTGGCCTATTCTAGAATCAGCTTCCACTTTCTTCTATCTCGTGCCTTAGCTTTCCAGTTTCTAACTCCCAGCATTTTTAGACTTTCTTCCACCTGGTCCTTACATCTGCATCTAGGCATGCCCTCTTGCGAGTTTCTATGCCGTCCAAGTAATCTTCATTGCCGTCAAGCAGAAGAAAGGTTGGGTTTCTTTTTTATTGAATTAACGTGTTAAATTAAAAAGTAAAGTATCGTTTTTAAAACTTTAATCATTATAAATTTTACAAATTAAACTTACTCTACTTTAAAAATACAATTCATTTTTTAAATAACCATTAACCTCGGTGCAATATTCATGGACATCAATTCTTGGAACAATAACTTGGCGGCGTAGGGTAATCGAATTTGACTAATTTGAGTCTTATTTTTACACCCTTTACATTCAAAAGTATTATTTCGTAAATTAGCGATTGCGATTAACCCGCAAAAATTACAAATATGAATTCGATACGGATCGGAAACTTCAAATAAGCGTTCCCTTAAAAATTGAGCGGCTCCGTGCGAAATTTGACAATCTCGTTCCATCTCGCCGAAACGTAATCCTCCATCTCTAGCACGACCTTCCATAGGTTGTCTAACTAAAATTTGTACCGGACCTCTCGCTCGCGAATGAATTTTATCGTCAACCATGTGCTTTAAACGTTGATAATAAGTTGGTCCCAAAAAAACTTGCGCGTTAATTTTTCTTCCTGTATGTCCGTTATACATAACTTCATTTCCTCTTAAATGATAACCATATTCTTGTAGCAAAGTTGAAATTTTTTGTACGTTTACAGCATCGTTAAATGGAGTTGCATCGCCAATTTCACCTTTATTAGCAGAAACTTTTCCTTGTAAGCATTCAATTAAATGGCCGATTGTCATACGCGATGGAATAGCGTGGGGGTTAATTATAATATCAGGTGTTAAACCTTCGCAAGTAAACGGCATATCTTCTTGTCGATATTGTATCCCACAGGTTCCTTTTTGTCCGTGACGAGAAGCAAATTTATCACCAATTTGGGGAATTCGAACTGATCGAACACGAATTTTACAAAATTTATAACCCTCTGAATTTAATGTAATCATAACTTGATCAACAACGCCAGTTTCACTGTTTCTTAAAAACGTTGAAGCATCTCTTTTTGTAAATCGTTTAGTTGTCCCATCCAACTCATCATCATGTTCCGGTAAAGTAACCGTTTTTCCAATAACCACATCATCCCCGGAAACCCTTACTCCAGGTGCGATAATCCCATCATCATCTAATTTATCATAGAGGGCGTTTCGCATTCCTTGGCATGTTTGCCTGGTGGGTTTCTCAAATTGTTCTTCTTGATCACCCATTCGTTTTGATTCAGCGTCTTTATACGAACGATAAAAAACAGAACGGAAAAAACCTCTTTCAACAGCTGATGCATTTAAAATAACGGAATCTTCTTGATTATACCCGGTGTAGCATAAAATTGCTACGATGCTATTAATCCCAGCGGGTAATTCTCTGAATCGTAAATATTCCATCGAACGTGTTGTAACAAGTGGTTTATGGGGGTAATATAAAACGTGGGCTAAGGTATCCATCCGGACATGGAAATTTGTTATGTAGACTCCCATAGCTTGTTTACCCATAGCACTCTTAAAATATACAAAAAAAAATTATTAATAATTTGAAGCTGTCAAAGTTGAGCCAAAAGTTTACATTTTGTTTTGTATTTCGGCTGTAAGTAAACCGTAGAATTTCAAACTTTGTACGTAATTACTACTAGTTAAGACTTTATTTTCAAGCATACCTTAAACATCACTATAAGGAAATTTGTATATGTATACAGGTGTCCCGTATCTTCCGGAGCAGAGCATTAGATGGTTTATAAAGTCCAATCAAAAAAGAGGAGATCGTAAATCAGAAAACATTTCGAAAAATTGTTATTAGAAAAATCGCTTCAGAATAATGTATCCTTCAACAGTATAATGTTGTGATCCGGAACATACGGGACACCTGTATATGAGGTTGTATCGGTTCCTATACTGCAATACTTTGATTTTAATTTGTGCGTGAGGGGCAAGAGCGGGAGTGTTTCGTGACGTAAATGGCGGCGAATTGCGCGCGCAACTTCAAGGTCATGTTTAGTGAGAGTTGAAACACTGTATACAAACCTTAATCTCACATGTCATATGATGCAGTGAAATTCAATTGTGGCGGCATTATTTGACAGGTGTAATTGTATCTGACTAAGGTCCGTAAAGTATTGTACAAGGTTGGCCAGACGAAGGATTTGAACGTATGAAAGTTAGTAAAAGCATATGTATGTTTGAGATAAATTACTTCGTTTCAGTCTTTAATTCCCACTGCTTCGTAACTCGTGACGTCACCCCCCTTTTCCCTTCAAAATACGTTCTGCTGTCTATGGCCAACCTGTACATCTGACGAAATCCCATCCAGGCGGAATTTCGTTAGTTAAAGCTTTTATATACAGCGTGAGTTATTAGTATCCCGGCCGACGATATATGTTTTCTACAAAAGTTGTTTGATTCACCACTTTCTGATAGTATATGATAGAATCCATAAGATATTAGATACGCTATAGGGGTGTTCATAAAGCTTAGTTACTTTTGATGTTTTTCAAATGACTTTTTCATAAGTTTCAAACGGTTTAATAACTATCGACCGCCGGGATACTAATTAATAGCTCATCCTGTATATACCCAATCCAACCTATATTCTAGTGGTTCGGTTCTTAGCTGAATAATTTCAAAATATCCCCAACAGATGGCGCCACATGCGTACAATTTTTAGTACGAGTTTTTTTTTAGAGAGTTGCATGTCTAAGAAGCTGTTTTCTATGGTCAAAATTGAGGTTATATACCTGATAAGTATTCCTAGGACTTTGATTATGATCGGGAAATGGAATAATCGAAGCACAAACTCCCAAAATCATTGCAGGATGAATTTCGCAATGTGTATAAGTGGTACAATAAGCATATTCTTTATCTTGTCGCAAATCATCGGGTGTCATCGCAATCATGACTGTTTCTTCTTCTAACGTATCGATATATTCAACCACACCTTATAATAAAAATAAAAATTAATACATCTTATTAAGTTAATTAATTAATTTTAATAATAACCTGAGGCAACTAAAACTTGCCACCCATAATGTGTATAATCCCTTTCTTTTAACATATCAACATGACTTTTCTTTAAAAGTAATTGTCCATTTTCGACGATTAAAAGTGGTCTACAAATTCTGCCTGCATCTGTATAAATTCGAATCTCGCGATCTCGAATATCACGAATCATTGATACCTCTGATACGATAATATCCATTTGTCTTCTTAATTTTCGTAACGTAGCCATAAGTTGTTCGGGGTCTCGATGAATCCCAACCCAGCAACCATTAACAAAGATTTTTGTTGCATCTGCTATAGCTGAGGGGGCAATTTCTTCCAAATTTTCCATACTCCATTCTTCCAAAAATTCCAAAATCGGTGAAGGTTGCGAACCAACCGAAATATAAGCCATCAAAGCAAGATTTTTAACCAAACCAACAGCGGCACCCTCCGGCGTCTCAGCAGGGCAAACCATACCCCATAAAGTATTATGTAATTGTCGAGGTTTAGCTAATTTACCATCTCGACCAATTGGGGAATTAACACGTCTTAAATGAGATAAAGTCGAAGCAAACGTTAAACGATTCAATACTTGCGAAACACCAGCTCGGGCTTGATGAGCTTTCTTTTGATCGCCCCAATTTCCCGTAGCCAAAGAATAACGTAAACCATCAGTAATCAATTTTGTTTTAATCGCTAAATCTAAACTGAAATCTTTTCCGCGATCAATAAATTTCTGGGCGTACATTCGAACCTCTTTCATTAAATTTTTAAATAACCCTCTAAATAAAAACGCCAATAACGGCCCGGCTAAATCTAATCGTTTATTTCCATAATGATCTCGATCATCTAATTCTCTTCGTCCTAAAGCAGCTAATAACAATCTATGTACCATATAACCTAAGAAATAAGCTTTTTTTGTTTCGCAGAAATCAGAAACACCAACGTGAGGAAGCATTTCTTTTTGTAAAATTTCTCGAGCGTATTTAATACGTTTTTCGCGGGTAACACCCGGTCGAGCACCACGAGCTCCAATAAAATTTAACGCTACATTTTGTTCTTGAATGACAAAAGCTTCATCTAAAGATGGTTTGACCATTTCCATCATTTCGGGATCGTCAAAATCGTAAATGATGTGTTCTAAAATATCGCGATCAGCAACAAAACCCAAAGCTCGAAAAACAATCATAATTGGAACTTCTTGTTTTATATATGGTAAAATAGCTATGATTCGTTGACCAATGGCTGCTTTTTTAATCGCTTGACCGCCTCTAGCCATCATATTAACCCACAATGTTGAGGTTGGACGTGAACTATGCTCTAAACATGAACGTATTTCTGATTTATATGCATATTTTCCGTCTTTCATTGAAAAAACATAAACAGTATTTGTTGCCATTTTTTCTTGAGCAATCAATACTTTTTCTGAACCGTTAATAATAAAATAACCCCCCGGATCTAAAGGACATTCATTCAACTCTGTTAAATCACGATCGGTTAATCCATTAAGTAAACAATAAGTTGAGCGAAGCATAATCGGAATTTTCCCAATAAACGTTTTTTGATGTTGCGTTTCAACCGGATCTTCACCTTCTTTTATTGCAGTTTTTGTGATATCAACATATAAAGGAGCTGAATATGTAAGGTTTCTTAACCTAGCTTCATTAGGCATCATTGGAGATGGGGCTCCATCTTTTTCCCAATGTGTCGGTTTAGAAAGATAAATCTGTTCGAATTTTAATAAATATCGAGGGGGTGTTTCAATTTCGCCCCTTGTGTGTTGAGCTTCCGCTTGTAAATCAATTGCGGGGGAATCTTCGACGATTCTTTGCACAGACATTTGTATAAATTCGTCGAAACTATCCAATTGTTGGCGAACAAGACCTTTTTCATCAAAATATGCGTTAATAACGATCCAACAAGCTTCTTGCCACAAATCGGAACTGATTTCTTCCGCATCTTCTTCTTCAAATTGATCTATAAATTTAAAGAATAAATAATTTGAGGTTATGTTGAGGGATTAAATCTAATTTTTGGTTTTAATATGATTTTATTGATTTCTTTTAGACTTTTTTTAGTTAATTAATAAACGTTTGATTTATTTACCTTCATCTTGTTCATACATCTCGATTTTTCTTCAATATAAACTCGAAAAACCGCTTAGCATAAAGCAGAACTAAAACACAGCCAAACACAGCAGATTTGACAGACGCGGTCACATACGTGAAGTTGGTTTATAATCAAATTATAAAAACAAAATTAATTAAAATTAAAACAATTATTTATTTTTAAAATTGAAATATAAATAATACTAACTTATATCAATTTACAATAATAAAAATTAGGCTTAATTCGTTCACAAAATTGTTTAAAAACCAACAGATGTGAAGTTGTCTACGTCAATAATTTCTTGTAAACAAACTTTTTGACATTTTTATAAAATCCAAAAAATTATTTATTATTTGTAAAAATGGCTAAAATAATTGAGAGACATTTCGAAAACCCTTTTCCCGAGTATTCAGAAGACTCAGCTAAAAATGTCATTTCAAATAAAACGGTAAAATTCATCTCTAACAGAAACCATTTAAAACTCCTTTTTTTAAAATTTTTCTTTTTTTAGATTGATAAATTGAATAAAGTTGTAACGGGTTTAGATGAAAAATGGGAAACCTGTATGAGACAACTCTCGCAATGTCAGTCACACGATTACACCGTGTATACAGGCACCTCAGGAATAGCTATGTTAAGATTTTTAAAAGATCCCGATGATAAAGCCAACTTATTGGTAAGTCAAATTGTGTTTGTGAAGTGACTTTAAAATATTTAATAATTTAAGGAAGTCAAACGATTATTGATGCTGAATAATTTAAAGAAGAAACGATTAACGTTTTTATGTGGAGATGCTGGTCCCTTAGCTTTAGGTGCTGTTGTTTCATATAAACTTGGTGATGTAGTTTTTTCAAGAAGTCTGATTGAGGAATTAGCAGAATTACAAAAGGCTGTAATAAATTATAAAGCCGATTTACCAAACGAGTACATGTATGGACGAGCTGGATATTTATATGCAATCCTTTACATAAACAAACATATTTCCCCACCACCAATAGATGATTATTTAATAAGAAAAGTAGTTGAAGCAATTTTTAATGCCGGTCAAGTAGAATCTCGAAATAATATGTGTAATCAACCGCTTTTATATAAATGGCATGATTCCTATTATCTTGGCGCGGCTCATGGAATGTCAGGAATAATGTATTTATTATTACAAGCAAGAAATTACGTCCGAGAATCTGAATTAAACGATTTAATTAAACCAACAATTGATTATTTAACAAGTAAAAAGTTTGCATCAGGTAATTTTCCATCATCGTTAGGATCACAAAGTGATAAATATATTCAATGGTGTCATGGAGCCCCTGGTTTTGTTTTTATGTATAGTGAAGCCTATAAAGTTTTTGGCGACCAAAAGTATTTACAGATGGCTTTAAAATCAGCTGAAGTTGTATGGAACAGGGGATTAATTACGAAAGGTTATAGTTTGTGTCATGGTGTATCTGGGAATGCTTATTGCTTTTTAGAAATGTATCAGACGACGAAAGATTTGAAACATTTATATCGCGCCATTAAATTTGCCGAATGGTGTATTGATTATACGAAGGAACATGAAGAACACGAACCCGACAGACCTTTGTCTTTATTTGAAGGAATCGCTGGTCCTATGTATCTACTTGTTGATATACAGAAACCGATGCATGCTAAATTTCCTGGATTCACTCTTTAAATTGTATCATAATAAAATTGCTGTAATTTTAGAGATTATAAACATAACCTAAAATGATTGATTTGACAGGAATGACTTAATATGGTTAACTTTTGGTGTTTATATGTGATTGTATGTATTTATTTCTGGATATACAGAAACCAATGCATGCTAAAAATCCTCGATTCACTCTTTAAATTGTATCATAATAAAATTGATGTAATTTTAGTGATTATAAACATAACCTAAAATGGTTGATTTGACAGGAATGACTTAAGATGGTTAATTTTTTTGTAGGTTATATGTGGTCCTGAGTATTTATTTCTGGATATACAGAAACCAATGCATGCTAAATTTCCTTGATCCACTTTTTAAATTGTATCATAATAACATTGTTGTAATTTTAGAGATTATAAACATAATCTAAAATGGTTGATTTGACAGGAATGACTTAACATGGTTAGTTTTTTTGTTGGTTATAAGATGGCGTTTTTAATTTCGTTGAATTTTTATTTTAAAAAATAAATTATATAAGTATAACTTTATAAAATCACAAATTTGGTAACTGTAATTGTTATAAAAATATTCAAAATGTTATTAATTCTCATATTATATCCTTGGCTTATACTAAAAAAATTCTTTTTTGCTTTTTTCTCATTAGGATCTCTCATTCCGCATTGTTTATAGGAAAGCTTTACTTTTCTCTTTGTATTAATAAACCCTGGAATGTATAAAGTCGGTGAATCGAGTCTTCCTATCGAAAGTAATCTACTAAAATCTTGTTCCAATTGTCCCGCAATTGGTCCTTTGAAATGCATCAAAAATTGTACGCAAGCGTTGTTATGTAACGTTCGTACTTTTCGTGAATCAACGGTTAACATCCATTCGGGAATTCCCATAACTTCTCTGACATCATCAATAAATTGTGCTCTAAAAACATAATTTATAAATAAATTGAAAATGAGATTTTTTTTTGATTTACAGAACAAATCGTGGCGGTTTTTCTATGTTTGCATATTTAATTATATCATAATCTGGTTCAATATTAGCGCATGCGTATCTTCTGGAATCTTTATTAGGGCTTAAAATTACGATTGATCTTCCCATTGCATTCTCAACACCTTCCAATGGAAAATTTGGATCGACCAAAACTTTCCGTTCTAAACCTATATCAATCGTACCTAATCGTGCTGATAAATCACCTACGTAACATCTTAATGGATTTTCCGGACCACATTCTTGATTATAAAGTTCAGACTAAAAACAAATTTTTAAAATAAAAAAAAAAATGTATAAAATATGTTATGTTTACATTTAAGGGATCAGCTAATTGTGTATAATAAGGATTCCAAACATAACCAGCAGCAACACATCTTGTATTTTGGGTTTTAACAGAAGCATCAACACCAACTGGGTTAACATAAATCGCAAAATCATGATTTCTCGTCTGGAAATTGATTAAATGTTGTGATAATTATTTTTTTATGTTAATTTTTTCTTACAATATTTCTATCGAATTTTCCAGGATGTCGCAATTTTACCTCGATGACCGTATCACTTGCACTTCCATCATTATAAATTAATTGAGTCATTCTTAAGTAACCATAAGCGAACCCATCGGGGTGATGAAACGATGCGATGGCACGTAATTCTCGTGCTTCAGATGGGCTATATCCACGCTCTATAGTTGTGCAAGCCCAACGACGACTGTCAAACTAAAAAATTTAATATTTAAAACGTTTTTTTTAATAATTTCGATACTAACTCGTTTATGAATAACGATAGATCGTCCTAAAATACTAGAAGGACCAAATAACGGTAACATAGTATCGTTATAAGCCCCCTTAAATAGAGTATGATTATCTAAGCCACCAAATTTTCCACTTAAATCACCCATTTCATATTGATCTGATGTTCCGTGATATGTTCGTGGTGAAGATAATGGTGAAACCATTAACGGATTCCAATGGCCATATAAAGTAGTGGCTTCGCATGGAAATTCCAAATTTTCTTCTATAGGGGTCTAAAAAATTTGTATTTATATAAATTAATTACTTTTAAAATGAAAATTTTACCATATGAATATGATAGCCGGAATTATCATCTAAACCATCTAAATCAACCTCAATATTTGTGATATCATATTCGGTTTGTTGATAAAATTCTATTTTTCCTTTTACAGTTAATGGATCCCCGTTTGGAAACCAATCTCGAGCTACAGCTTTTCGACGATAAATTCCACCAATTCTAAAAGAATCAATTAATTGATTCAAATTAAGGTAATTTTATTTAAATTTTTTACATTGAACAAGCCATTCTTTCCCCGCGCGCTTTTGGCCCGTGATCATCATAAATTACAAACGATTTTCCTAAAATTGTGTGAGGACCCGTTAATGGTAAATAAGAGTCGATTAGATACTTTCTAGTTATTCGATCGCTATCAATTTTTTTCCCCGCAATTTCTAAAGGTCCCAATCTAGTTGATAAATCACCAACTCGACAATAACCCATACTATCTAAGTAACATCCTTCTGATGGTGCTGATTTATCTAAATCAATCTAAAAAAATATATTACATCACCTCAAATGTCAAATTTTTTAATTATTCCCTCCGTTCAGAAATAAGTGTCTGATTTTCTTAAAAATTAATTTATTGAAAGTTAGCTATCAATACAAATATTGTTTCTAAGAAACATTTGACGGTCATTTAAGTATTTGAATTGATGATATCTTTTGTATGTTGATAAAGCCCAAAATAAAAATTTATAAAAACTGGAAACCTCTCTGTAAATGATGTTTATTCATATGCCACACTTTGTAATTATTGTCTCCATCTACTTTCATGATTTCTACCATACACTGTTGGTGCGAAAGAACACTCAATTCGGAAAAGGCTTTTTCAACAACAAGAATTATTTCGTCTACAGTTTAGCAAGCCGATTGTTGCTGCGATGACTGAATTGCATTAAAAGAGCCTAATCTAAGACGTTTGTATCGGGATTGGGTGGCCGACATAACATTTTGATTTTGAACCCAGTTCTATTTGAAGCTTCATTAAACTCATTGTCATCAGCAGAGCTTCATTAGAGCTTCTGCAAACTCACTTACCAGGAAGCTTGATGATGGGAACTGATAATGTCACAGCGGGCTATCCCTGCATGGAAAAGCGCCCCTCATATATGGATTGGAATGTGGCTAGAAAAGTCGTCACTTGCACATCCGTCGAGAAAATAATTTTTATTTAAGGTCTTGAAAAGTCGCGTTTTTGGATTAAAAACTTATACTGTAGGAAAAATTACAAAACTTTTTACTGACGTTTAAAAGCAAGACCGCCTTTTTTTAATACTTGAAAAAAAAATCGATATCGGACACTTATTTTTAGACGGAGGGAGTATTTTTTTTACTTTAAATGGATTATAAATATCTCCAACACTCATACAACGATTTTGCCAATCGTAAAAATCTTTTCCCGGTGGTAAATCGTGAATTGCCCAACGATGCTCGGCTGAATTATTTAGGTTAGAACCATCGGCGTGAACTAAATAATCAAAAAAAATTGAAGTATCTCTCCATGGTTCATTGGAAGGTTGTCGAAAAACGATCCTTCCTACTATTGGATATCGAAATAATACTTGAGCCGTAAACATTGGTTGTAAATGTTTAAAATCTTGATCGTATAAAGTGATAGTCCCGCAAATCCAAACTTGCATCGGATTATTAATGTACATATCATTTTTATCAAGTTCTTCTAATTTATAAAGAACGAAAGCTCGATTTACAACAGAAAATTGACCTTGTAACGGTAAATAAGTATCCCAATATTTTCCAAGTAATTCTTGGCTGTTTTCAATTAATGATTTTTCTGAGTTACGACCTAAAAGTTTTCCTGAAAGGTCTCCAATTGGATATTGATCTTGCGTTCCATAACCTAAACAAATATTTAAGTATAATAAAAAAACATTTTTGAGCTTATAAAATACCGTTTGGGATAACGTTGATATCATTTTTTAAGGGGTTAAATATAAATTTACTTGTTAAACACAACCTATTATAAGGATCGATTGTTTTTGATGGGCTCAAAGGTAATTCGTGGATTTTATAGGCTCCGATTGACGAAGAATAAACCAACTTTGTTTCAATATCATCACGAGCTGTTGTTATGTTAAAATCGATAAATGTTGGTTCAAATAAATTGTGTTGTGATAGTTTAATTTCTCCTTTAATTCCTCCGGATTGAAGAATAACTCTTAAATAAAAAAATTGTTATTGAGTTTAAACTGTCAAAAAATTAATTTTTTCGAAAACGTATTTAGCCGCGCGTCACTCAAGACGGCTAAACTCGAATGATTCTAGTTTTAGGTTTTGTGTTAATTCTAATGATAGTGCTTGTGCAAAACTAGTTGTAACACTAGACTGATGAATGAATGATTCTAGTTTTAGGCCTTGTGTTAGTTCTAATGATAATGCTAGTGTAAAACTAACAATAGACCGAGAAATTTTTCTAGTTCTCAATGTGACAATTTGAATTGGAATTTAGTAATTTAGCGTACTGTTGTTCGTACCTTTCGTGGAATTTCTCTGGAAGTAGTCTTTTAATAGAACTCTGAGCAATTACTCTTATTTCGGGAGGTGCACATGCAACATTTCTTGCAGGTTAATACATTTTGTGTTTTGACAATTTCTAACTGTCAATTCAAATTTCTATTTTCAAGTGTTACCAACCGCTACATACCTATTTCCCTACATTGTCAAAATTTATTTTATTTGTTAAAAAAAGAAGGATAAAAACGCATACCATTATTAGTTTATTATACTCTTACCAAAAAACCACTTTAAAATGACGTTTTCATCTGTCATTCTGAACAAACTTCAACCTTTAAATCTTAGCGGCAAATTTAAAAATATAACACGAATTGGAATCTATACTTTTTAAATTAAAAGAATGATACTGGTAATAATTGTTATTGCTGTCTCTTATCATTCCCACCACATTCCCACTATTAATAATAAAATTGTTAGTTTAATTAAATTATTTCAGTATAGACGCTAATGCCATCTTACGGTGGGATTTCGACATACAATCAAAGATCCCTGGGTCTGGTAGCAATGCATGTCAAATGAAACAATCAACTGTCAAATGATTGAAAATTATACATTTATTAATTAATTAATAATTTTTAGTTCGTAGATAAAATATTGTATGAAACTGTGCGTGAAGTAATTTTTGCTAAGTTGCTAACTTCACACACTGTTTCATAAATAACTTACGTCCTGGACGGAAAAGACGTACGTCCAGTTACGACAATCAAAGAATTTGATACTATTAATTGTTAATTTAATGTTATGAACAAATTATAAACACAAAATAATCAACATTTAATTGTTTTATCGTTTCATTTCATATTTAAATGCAAATTTATAATAGCACATTTGTTCAATATGTGAGGTTAAGTCGATGTGACGTTTAGTTGATTGACGTAACATTAATTGAATTCTAAATGTCATTATTGAATTTGGTCGTTTTATTAATGTATAAACTTTAGAACACGCAGTTTTCGAAAAAATTTTGTTTGATACACGATAGCGAAATTTTTTTGCATAACTAAATAACTATTTAACTTACTTTGCATTAATTGGATGTTCATATTGGATTTTAGCACATGCTAAAAAACTATCGGGATGTTTATTTCTAAATATCACCAAGTATAATCTTCTTCGCACTCCCGTTAAATCGTTTGGTAATAACGTTAAAGTTTCGTCCCTAAATAATGTTTTATATCGTTTCTTTTTATCGCCCGATACCTTAACTTTTCCTACTCGTAAATCGATATCACCCATTGTTTGATTATTTCCTGAATTATCTGGGTCGAAAACTAATTGTAACATGTTGCAATTTTCTTCGGATCTTCCTTTATGTCCTTCTAAGATGTCGGTAACAAAAATTTTCCAATTGTGTTCTGTAACATCGATTTTTCCAATTTTTTCGACGTCTCCAACTCGGTATAAATCTGTTGAAATTAACATTTCTTTGTTATTATTCTTGGTTGAGAACCAACGGAAAGAAACCATCCCAGCTATGGGAGTATAAAATCGCGCAACTGCGGTTTTCTCTAAAACTTTATCAACGAGTGTTATTGAAGAACATGCATAAGAATTAGTTTCCAAGTTTTTTAACAACAAAGATTTTCCATAAAGCCCCTTAATTCCGGTTAAATCAAGTTTATTCGTTGCTATTTCAATGGTATTATTATCTGGTAAAATTAAATATCCAAATATTTCATCGAAATTAATCAATTTCTTTCCTAACTTTTCTGAGGAACATCGATTTTCAATGGTTGAATAATCAACAGGGAATTCCATAAGGTACCAAGAAAGAGTTTGTGATGCATATTGAAGAGTTAATTCTAAATCGGTTTTTAAAATTACAGTTTTATTTTGGTGGTAAATAAATGAGATTGTTCCGTGGAGACCTTGCGATGAAATGTACGATTTTAATTCGATACAATTTGTTACGGTTAAAGATCCTGAAAATGGAAAGTTTTAAAAAAAACAAGGTTATTGGAACAAATTTAAAATATTGTTTATCTCACCTAATAACACAAAACTTATCATAAACCACTTTAGAAACATTTTTTAAACTAAAAATCTTGTCTTTATTGATAATGTTAAGAGATTTTTAAATTTTTTTCTTCATTTTTAAACATAACCTATCTCGATTTCTTCGTGTGTTCTTTACGGAGGTAAAAACTGTAATAGAAAGTAAACCTGCGCTAAGTTGAGGCTAACGTAGCGTGACTCATACCTCTTGTGATATTGTACTAAGTCGTTATTGTTGAATTCATATAATTTTTGAATGATCCCGTGAAGAATTCTACCTGGGATTTCCAACAAAAAGAAAGATTATACCCAGGAAGAAGATTATTATTCTTTTTAACAAAGAAAAGTGATAGAAATAAAATGAAATTAAATAAAAATCTATAAATAATGAAACACAAAATATAATAAAATTTATTTACGCTTTATTTTATACAGTTCATAATAATAATTAATAACCCTCGAATAGACCTATTTTGATGACACGATTATTTATAATGCACGTTATGGCGCCAAAAATAAGATGGAGAAAAAGAAATTAGTTGCGCATGCTGATGTTAAGTCTCGAGACCGGTACTATTTTAAATAAAAAAAATTTTATTTGATGTTCTTGGAGATGAATTGGCGCGGCCGGCGCGCAGAATATCGCGGGGTTAACGAAAGAAGTCATTGGGGAAGGTTGCTTATGCAGCTTCACCTTCACCTTCTTCCTCTTGGCTACCGGTGAGGAGTGTAATTAGGGCCGCGGTATCAATCCTACCATTATCATCGATTTCCATTACATCGAAGGCATCGTCCACTTCTTTCGCTGTGAACTTATCACCCCAGGTCATAAGGGCATGTCTGAACCTAAAAAAGAATACATAAATATTTTAAAAAAATGTTTAAAATAGGTTTGAATTTAGAACTGTCATTGTCAAATACATCAAATAGGTTGGAATTTAAAACTGTCATTATCAAATTAACAAAAAAAATAATGAACGTAGCCAAATATTAATTACGATTCAATTTAATTAATTTTTAAATAAAATAATTATAATTTTCTAAGTGATTATTCATAATAATAAAATTCTAAAATTTCGTTATAAATTTCAAAAATATATTCGAAAATAAAAATTAAGTTGCGCCATCTATTTAAAAAGCAATCTTATTTAAGAAAAGTGAGGTTATATTAATACCAATATCTTAAATAATTTGGTTTATTTCTGTTTTGCTTTAACGTTTAAGTATAAAGTAGTGGTTACGTAAATTTCTTTTATGTTTATTTTTAGCAACCACCTCCAAAACGTAAAAACATCGATGAAAGAAAAATCCCAGACGCGGTCTAATTGCGAATCGGAACGTCTTTATTAGGTAACAAGAGGTTCCGAGCTTATTGGCAAAGCTCCAAAAAGCTATTTTTAAACTTCTACAAATACATGCGCATAAGAAACTCCTTTTTTGTTCTGGGACCTAGTATCGTATTACACAAGGAATTTAAAATGTTAGGTTATGTTACTTACCGATCACTATCGATGGTACCGCTTTCATCAAAAGATTTGAACGCGGCTACAACGACTTCATCATCATCGGTACCACCTGAATCTTGCATACGGAGGGCGAAGAGCGATAACCACTGTGTGAAGTTGAGTGGTCCGGGGGCCTCATTGATCATTTCGTCGAGCTCTTTTTCGTTGGAAAGTTTGCCGACTTGGTCGAAAGTTGCCCTAAGATCGCTTTTACTAATAATACCGTCTTTGTCGGCATCCATTAGTTGGAAGGCTTCCTTGAATTCAGCTACTTGATGCTGGGAGAACATCGAGAAGACATTCGAACCAGATCTTTTAGCTTTTTTCGAGGAACCTTTTGAGGAAGCCCTCGTTTCGGCTGCGGGTGCGGCCGCAGGAGCATCTCCTTCTTCCTTCTTCTTCTTCTTAACCTTTTTCTCTTTATCCGCCTAAAACAAAATTGGTTGTGATGATTTCGTTTCTTTCTTCGTGGACACTTTTTATTATTTTTTTTTTTTTTGTTTCACTGCACTTTTTCGTTATTTATAGTTTCCGGGATTTAAAAACTTGAACTTACCATGGTTCCGGTGTCGATGTAATGCCCTCTTTGCTACGCCCGCAACTGAGCGGAGGAGCTGGAGGTGCGAGTTTAAATAAAGTTTGCCTGTATAGTGTCCAGGGGCTCCCTTCTACTGAAGGGGCCATATATAGATTGTGCCAAGAATAGGACAGGAACGGCCCAGGTTAGCTTATAATGAAACATTATAGTCGAAGCTGACTTCGAACCATAATTACTAAATCTATACTTAAAAAATCAATTTTAACCACAAATTTTTTTAATGATTCATTTTATCGTAATCTAATCCAAATAAAATTGGATTATTTGAATTCCTATAAGTTTTAAAATCAATTACTTTTAATAAAACATCTTTGCTTTAATAATTAAACGATTTTTCCTCACTTTTTTGTAATTTTTTTTTTGTAATATGATCATTTTCTTTTCTTATTTTAACTAACTCAAAGTACAAAATAAGATGAATTCGGATCAACGAAACGCCATGCCATCCTTTGAATGTGTCTGTTCTGTTTATTTTTAGTTTTTTGAGGTCATTAAATTCCTGCTAGCTCGTTGCGCGCAAATGTTTATTCTCCGTCCATTTCTAGACTATTTTATACGAAGATTTAGTTCTTTTTATTTCGAACTTTCCCGGGGAGAAGTTTTGCGTGAAGCGATTTTTAGTTCAAGGTCATCTAACAACATTATTTTTGCATTCTTCAAGAATTACATAAATAAAAATCGTTGAAATCTTGTCTGGTGAGTAATCAAAGTATGGATAAATGCCAGAAACATCGTCTTCAAGGGAAAGTAATTATTTATTTAACCAAATTTTCTTTACATTCATTTATTATTTAAAAAAAATCAATAAAATCATTAAGGGTAGTATTGATTCTCCTAGATTTCTTGAGGTTGTTAATTTTCCTGTTCCTCCTCATACAAATGTCTTGCAGAACTCTGCCATGTTGAGAATGGCGCGCACAGTTACATCGTAGCGCGGGGGTTGATGTCTTTTGCGACTCTCTATGCGTGTTTAAGCATTTGATAATAATTGTGGCGTGTAAAGCTCATCATAATTATTAGTTTATATAAGTAAATTCCATATATTTGGATGCATTTTCTTGTTATTTTTGAGGCATGGTGCCTTGAGTTCGTCCCGGTTCCCTGCTCAACTGTATATATTAAATAAATAAATAAAATTGTTATCGAGATTAATTTATTATCGTACTTTTAAATGGAAAATACCACTTTAAAGATTGAAACATTCTTTAATAAGGTTATTATTTCAACAACTTATAATTTTTAATATTAGGCATTCTTCTATACACTTCGCAATATGTTCTAGGATTTGGAAATTCTTCACACTTTTTTAACTCTGTGTCCAAAAATAGAACTTCCTACTCTTACATTTGTGCTTCCCAACTCAATCTAAAAAAAAATATAATAAAGATAACAGAATTTAAATGAAAATTGAATTCTTATTACAGCATGTTCAAAATCATCAGACATTCCCATTGATAACCCAACACTTTTCCATTCCAATCCCAAATTAGTACAAACATCATCTTTACATTTACTCAACAAAAGAAAATCCGGATTTGGACCTTGAGATAAATCGTAACCAAATTGTCCTATTGTCATTAAGCCATCGAAACAAAGATTTTCGCATTTTTCAATAACAAATTTGCTCAAAGTTACGACATTATCAGGATTTGTTCCATTTTTAGCTTAAAATTAAAAATGTTTATTTCAAAAGTCAGTTTACTTGAAAATTATTCACCATCCTCTCCACTTGTATTAACTTGAATCATAACCTTTAATTTGTTCTTTTCCCTACAATATTTACTCCAACCACTATTTATTTTACTAGCTAATTTCTCATCATCAACAGTTTCAATTAAGTACAAATTAGGAATCGATAAGACTTTATTGACTTTATTAGTTTGTAAGTTTCCAATGAAGTGCCAACGGATTTCTTTGCATTTCTCTAAAATTTCCGCATTCGAAGCTTTTTCTACTAATTCACCAACATAGTTTTCACCGAAATGTCTTTGTCCCGCTTCGTAAGCCTCGATTATCATTGAGACAGGTTTCGTTTTGCTTACTGCAACCAATTGTGGACTCACTCCTTGTAATTCCTAGTTAATCAAAGTTAATAATAATCAATTTTAATTATTGTTAATGTTAAAATAAGAAAGAATTTACAGGTTTTCGACGATTACACGCTTCCTCTATACGTGACAATATCGTTTTAACACCCAATTTTACATTTATTTCTTCCATCGCCTTTAACATAACCTCAAAAAGTGAAGTGGAAAAAGTTAAAACAGAAATTTATGTAAACATTATTTTTTTAATCTCGTTAAAAAGACTTTCTTTTAGACACTTTAAAGTTTACTTTTATTTATTTATTATTAGGTTAGAATATTTACTTTAGCTGCTTATTAATAGATGGCGCTCTTTGATATCACTTAAATCTTTTTTTTAAATAAATAAATATTCTATTATTTATAATCTGTATTATTAATCTCAATATCCCAATCTTTATTTTTATAGTAAATGATTAGATAATTAAAAATTATGAATTACAAATTTGTGGTGTATGTCAATAGATGTCGTTACTTATATAAAGTGATTTTTGTATATTAAGGTTGTATTTATACATAGTTTGAGTTGCGGTTTCGTAATTGGCAATTTAGTGTAATTTAACGCCAATGTGCGTAGTTATTAATATTAAACGGCCGTTTTAACGTTGAAGTAGGTTCGGTTCGGCCTGGTTAATTGCCGGTGTTTGATGTAAATATGCAGGAACGGGCCCCGACTTTAATAGCGGCAGGAAACGGCGCGGCGGCGGCGGCGGTGAGAATTATTGCTTTTATTAATTAATTCCGCGTCTATTTAGGCGTGATTGATTGCGTCCTAACCGTTAATTCGTTTAAAGACATCTCGTCCTCGTCCTCTCGGCGAAACCTAATAAAATACGCGCCATCTAACCATTTCAACAACTTTTATTTAATTTATTATTATTTAGAAGGAGATAAAACAGGATTTAATGCGCGTTCTATTCATCTTGTAACCAGAATATAAATAGTTTCTCGCCAAAACGAGATTTCAACTCGATCGAGGCTCATTCATGATGACATTTACAAACGATTCCGTAATTGACAGTTTGGAATGTTGCTGCTAAACTTACCAACTGTAATTGAGACGATGATTTAAAACATTTAGAATTAAGGAGAAGGTGGACAATTTCAATTTAAATTTAGAAATAAATAATAATATAAAAAATTAAAAAAATTTGAAAAGTTAAAAAAAATGTTTTGGTAAATTTAGTTTTCTTAGGTTGGTTGCAAGTTGTAACCTATCAATTATAATCCGTCATCTGTCATTTTGTTAAAAATTAATAATAACATTGCTTTCTAATTAATGTTTTAACAAGAAAAAAAAGCGTTTGGAATGTTATAGAAATTACGTAAAATACTGAAATTACTAGAAACGGTAAAAGGTGGAGGCGGATAAAGAAGTAAGTACTTTCTAAAATCTTAAAATCGTCATTATGATTTTGTTCGCGTTTTAACCCGCGCATTTACGAAAACTTATAATTATCTATTCCGAAAAAAAAAAATGTTATAAAGTAAAATGAACTGTAATAAGTAAACCGACCATTTCTTGGGTAATTAGTTTGGTTTTTTCTAAAAGAACGAGACGCTAACGACTAAGTTCCTATGACGACTAAGCGCTAAAAAAATCGTCCCGGGAGGCAATTTGCAAAATAGGAAATAAAAATCACTACCTATGGACGAGGACGGAAAGAAAGCCAATTAATTAAATCCGTTACACAAATTAAGCGACCGCGTCAATTGCTTCCTGCAATCTTAGCGACGAGAACGACGACGCAGAACGAGAGAGAAAGATAGAGAAAGGCGAGAGGCGAAAGACAAACAGCACAAAAAAATTGGCGACTTAAGAATCCGGTAATTACGCAATTTGCAATCGTTAACCGCTCGAAATTACTAAACTCCTTCCTGTTGACCATAGATGGTCGTTGCTCGCTCGTTCGTTCGTTTTAACAGTAATATACCAGGTAGAGGTTGACACTTGACAGCTCACTTCGTGTCCACACAAAATTATATCTATGCACATTTAAATTAACGTTTAAACCTTTAAAATCTACATTCTTTTCAAAGAGATACGGAAAAGTGTGTGAAGGGAATCTTAAAATTCTTAAGGGCTTAGTACACATGTCAGAGGTCAAGATAATACAAATGTGGAGGCCATTAATTACCCTCGAAGCTGACCGCGCGTAGGCAGAAAACATCCCGCCGGATCAAGTTTCGAGAGTCCTGTTTCTGTCATTAAAAACGATCCGGGCCTCGTTTAAAGGTGAATTTAGTGGTCTGGACGTCACAATTTTATGCCAAATTTGTTATTCCCTGATTAACGGCGGAAAAGAATACACAAACAGGAAGCTCTTTTTCTTTAGTATTTTTAAAATCCGAAATTCACGAGATTTTGTGGTATTAGAGAAATTTATTCGGCAATAAATCACTGACAACTATCTTAAGTTAACGATCCCATTTTTTTCCTATTTTTGGTGTTTTTTAAGTGGAGACCACACGTGCTTAAAACGGCTCGCGACAACCGCATCTGCCCACCACTTAAAAAGTGTTAGGACATCGTTGAGAGGTAGTTTCCGATAAACGGGAACGATGTGTCTTGTAGAAATGGTTAGTAGTTGGAGAGATAATAAACGGTTGTATAGAGATACCACTCGATTAGGGGGTAACTTTATATCGGGGGCAAATTTAGGGGGCGTTACGAACCATCAACCACGTCACGCACTTAGTTCTATTTATCTCTATAGAGGGTTGTTGCAATCAACCCTCTTTGTAACCGTATTATACGCCAATTTTGTAAAACCACCCTTAATTTATTTTATTATATAGTTAACCATTATGATTAAGGGGACACCTTTTTAAGTTATTTATCAACATTTTTGTACTAATATGAAAAAAAAAAGTGATTAATTCCAGTTAATAATAATATATACATATTTAGATGCGATTTGATTCTTTTGGCAAAAAGAATTAAGAACGGGGGTCTCCTGCAGAACCCTGTACCAGACCAATTCGAGGTTGTGCTTCAAATACGAGGAAGGAATAAGGCAAAAAAGCACCTGAGTCCCTAGGAGTCCACAAATACTAACAACTCTTCTTGGAGTGCAATTATCGCTGGATCTGTGCACAAAATAATCACAAGAATGGTAATTCAAATATGGCTAAGTCAGGTTCGTTAAGAACCGGGTGACAAATCAACCCTAATAAATCTTGGAATTTTTTATGAATTAGAAAATATCGTGGCCGAAATAAGCAACATAACTCTAACATGCATCAAGACATTATAACAGCACCTTACTTGAGAATTTAACCCGACTTATCGCTATCGACTTCATGCCCGTCACAACGATAATTACCATAAAATAGGTGTAGCAATAAATCAGTGACATGAATTACTAATCAGCTTACTTTGAGGCACTTCCTAAGTAATGAAATGGGGCGCTACTAATTACAGACTCATCTGTGATTCACGGAAACCAGTTTGTAACCAGTTACCAATCGACTCGCATGTCGAGTCGCCTAGTGATTTGAATTTCCAGTTTCCAGTGATTCAGCAGGATGAATGACTAATAACTCAACCTTTTGCAATGATTTTATATAATTTTCATCTTCCAGGCTACTTAAAAAAGCATAAAACAGAGAAGGCAGAGATCTGCTGCACGAGGTTGTATCAGTTGTATCACTTGGCATGTAAGGAAGTCCTTCTCGTCTTCTCATAAAATTGTGAAGGACGCAAGCTGTTTTGATGACGAATTTCTTAGCTTCAGTTTATCGGGTGCGGATTGGTCCATTCAAAACAGCAAACAAAGTAATAGGGAAAAGGACCTATTAGTGGCGAAGGGAGAGGAATTTCAAGTCCGTCATTTTGAATCCAATGTTTCATTGCAGCATAACCTGTTTCAATCAATGTGAAAGTACCATCAGCATCACAGCAAGACGTTAATACTATTGAATGAAATGATTTTTAATTGAAATTAGGATATTGTAGAACAAAGGAAAAGAAGGTGAAAATTCCTCTCAAAGTATGACCCAGAACCTTCTTCAGTTCATCTTCTAATATAACATATGATGTTTCATCGTTGCTGGAACTATCTTCTGAAGCTGACAAAACGATATTTGACTTGATATTGATTAAAATAATAAAGGAATTGTATTAATCTAGTAAAATTAATAAATTTATAGTATTGTATCAATTTGTAGAAACTAATACAAATAATATCAACATTGATATTGGCCGTCGACACAATTTCCGCATATCGAGATTGTTTACATGCAAACAATTAACCGATATCTGAGTATGGTTTATCTTAATGCCCCTCTAATTACTACTAATATTGTAACAGTTAAACGGATTGCATCATTATCCAGAGTCGATATCGAGACGTCTATTTTTAGTTGGTCGATAAGAAAAAGGGAGATGTGCGCACAATTTCAAAGAAAATATTATTAGTTTTCGTTTCATAACTTGTTGTACGGATTTTAATTAATGTTATTAGTACATTGAAATTGAACTTTAACATTTATTATCGATGTAATTTAATCGTTTTCAATGTTTGTTTGATTTGTACTCTTTAAAATTAATTTATTAAGTTTTGGGCGTTTTAATTTGATCGGGTATTAATTTGATACGTTAACAGGATATTACTTTAAGAGCCTCGGTAGCGCAGTAGGTAGCGCGTAAGTCTCATAATCTTAAGGTCGTGAGTTCGATCCTCACCCGGGGCACTTTTTTTTTTTCTCTCTCAATTCTTTAAATATATCTTAAACTTTTTCTGTATTCTGTATTTTTGAAAAAAAAAATTCACTTAACAAGCAAAAAGAAACAATAAGAGATGGTTATCATGTAGAAAAGAGGAGAAAAATCCACGATAATTATGACACACTCCTGAATTATGGTGGACGAACGGACGACCATAAATTAGATGGGTATCGCCAAGAGAAGCCTCGACGGTGACGGTCACGGAGCTACGGGAAAAAGACGGGAAAGAGGTCAAAAAACAACGAGAAGGGTGCGCGCACACACACACCTGCGGAGTCTAAAAACAATTGATGATGCCCAACTACAGCCGTCGCGATCCTTCGGACAAAACGTTTAGTAGCATAGTCCGAAAAGAGGCGGTCGTGCGAAAAGAAACACTACATTAAAAAGAAAAGGAGAAAAAAGGACTAAGAAGGTAGAGAAACAATCTTTGAAACGGATCGCTCACCTTTTTGAGAGTGTGAA